AAGACCGGAGGAGATCCCGGTGGCCGCTTCACCCTGTAGATCCACATGCCGTCGACTACGTTCGCCCCCGGAGGGGGAACCTCATCGACGTAGGTGCCTGTGGATCTGTAGGAGGCCATCTCTGCGTCCATGGCAGCTCTCCACTGAGAGGCCCAAGGCCCTGACACTGCCTCAGCGTAAGTGCGAGGAGTCGGAATGTCGCGAGTACAAGTCATCAGGTACATGAGGCAGCCAGCACCCCCTGAACGAGCAAACCAAGCGCTGTGGAAGAAGGCAGAGAAGTGAGGAAGGTGAGAGGAGAGGAGAGAAGAGGAGAGGAGAGGAGAGGAGAGGAGGTGGGGGGCCAGGACCGGCGGACCCGCTTACGAACCTCCTTTTACAAAGGGGAGGTGAGAGAGGGAAGGGAGAGGAGGTGGGCTAGGCGGGCTTGAGCGCGAAAGCTCATAGCGATCCCCCCCCGTTAAGAACCCCCAAGTCCCGATGAGGAGAGGAGGTGGGCTAGGCGGGCATGAGCGCGCACGCTCAATGCGATCCCCCCCCGTTAAGAACCCCCTAGTCCTCACCCCCTCGTCACTCAACCCCGTCAACCTCACACCTTCCGCACCTGTCTTCTCCCGCCACCCCCTCACCCTTCTGCACTTCTCTCCCCCCCCCCCCTACAGCAACAGTTGCTGCAGGGAGAGAGGAAGAGGGAAGGGAGGGAGGAGTGGCAGGCTCCTCACACCCGCCCCCCCCCCCCCCCCCCCCCTACAGCAACAAGTGCTGCAGGGAGAGAGGAAGAGGGAAGGGAGGGAGGAGGTGCTGGCTCCTCACAACCTCACACCCGCCACCCCCACATCTCCCCCTCCTCCCCCCCCCCCCCCACGACGGAAGCAGTGGAAGGGAGGGCGGGCGGGAGGGGGCAGGGCGGCGGTAGCTGCTGCTGGCGCTGGCGCGGGCGGCTGGCGCTGGCGGTAGCTGCTGCTGGCGCTGGCGGTGGCGGCTGGCCGCGGTGGTGGCGTCCGCGCTGACGGGCCACGCTGGCGGCGGCGCCTGCGGTCCGGGCTGGCGCGGGCGCTGGCGACGGAACGGGGGGCCGCGAGGCGACGAAACGGGGTTCGCGGACGACGGGAAGGGGTGCGCCCCGACGACGGAACGCAGGGCGCCGCGGCGACGGAACTGGGGGGCAGCGGGCGACGGGCAGGGCGTCCGCGGGGCAGCCGACGGGGCGTCCGCGAGGCAGCCGACGGGGCGTCCGCGAGGCAGCCGACGTGGCACGTTCGGGGGGACGGGCAGGGCGCGCGTGACGGGCGAACGGGGAGAAAAAATAGCGCATTTCGCGCTGTAGTACGGGCGGGCCCATGATTCTTAAAAAAAAGAGAAGGTTCCGGGAAAGAACCAGCTCTGTACCATGTCAAGATAGTAGCTAGAGGTGAGGAGCCATGCTAGGGTGAAGAGGAGAAAGTGTCGAGAGAGTTTAGGCAAGGAAAGAGGGGTTTCACTATAGCACACAAGGTACATATAGCAAAGCAACAAAGAAGGTGCACCACCAACTCTTAATAATAATAACTACAGTACCTACAGCACGCAGGGTATATATTAAACATATTGTTTGATACCAACTCAACCAAGACTCCAACAACTTTTCCTATTCACCTCCAAGCCCCACCATAAGGCACATGACTCCTCATAATTTTCCATGTGCTCTCCTTTCCTACTCATCAAAGATTACCCAAGTCATCCACTTCCTCCAATTATCCTCCTCCCATGTGCCTTCAAGCACATGCCTCCATTTCCTAGTCATCAACTTCCACATGCCTCTCATTTATTCCTTCCTTCCTTCCTTTCCCAAGTCACCAAAGTTGCCACCTCATCACCAAGGACCTTATGATTACTACCTCACCTCTCCTACCAAGTCACCAAAGCTATCCTATCTCCTCCACTCATCCCTTCACAAGTCACCAAGTCCTCTTCCAACACTACAAGGCCTACAACTCCAACTCAACAAGTGCTCAACCACCACCACATGCTCTACTACTATTCAACTCCAACAAGCATCTCTACAATTTTTCAAGAAAGTTCTTCAATGACAACAATGCTTCTCAAGCTTCCTCATCAAGCTCCTCTTCAACTACAAAGGCTCCTTACTAGCAACCAAGTTCAATGTCTCCAAAGTTGATACTCTCATGCAACTCTCTTCCAAGGCTACCATTTGATGGTTACTCTTTCTATGCATGCCTATGTATCCCTCATGGATCTTTAAGGCTTGTACTATACCTTTCTTAATATAAGTTTATGCTCATAAAGTTCTCTCTCAGTTAGTCTACAAAGTAGTCACCAAGTTAAGAGTAGTCTACCTCATACTCCCTAAGAGTATAAGGAAGCTACAAGCTACAAGCTCAAGGGAGGATCATCATCCAACCCAAGGCTTGGAGTCATCCCAAGTAAAGCATACAAGCTCAAGCTTTTCCCCCAAGTTACTTCTACAACTATCCCTAGTAAGATTCACTCAAGTAAGTGTTCTTCACCTCTCTCACTCTCTCAATAAGCTCACACTCATCTTCTCTTATAAGTTCTTATCTCATCAAGCAATCCACCTTACACAAGTTTCTCATTATAGTCACAAGTTCTAAGTATCATCTTCTCTTCTATCATGCTCATCCACATACGCTACAGTTCCACTGTTCACTCTTGTCTTATTCTAGTGTGCAATCATTCCCTTTTGTCTTAATCTCAATTCTCTACACTGGTTGCCTCAGAAATCGATAATGTCATATCATCTAGACCTCTTATCTTCGTGGCTTAGCTTGTTTGAAGGGTCACGAATCTAGACCGTCCTGCTCGTGCCGTTCCTGACAGTGACCTGTCAGTGTATAGTTTACATCCCATCGTGAATGCGAGGCATAATTCCCTGAGAAACGATCAAGAGATTCCGAGGTTGTTTTCCTTGCGTTGATGCGTGATGATCGTTCCGCAACGCTTAGTCTGACGTCTGCATCGCATTCGTATCGTATCGTATCGTATCGCATCATTTGTCAGTTAGCGCCAGCAGCAATTGTCGCCGACCTGACACCACGAGTGTCGCCATCAGCGATGCGCATTAGATCAACGGCTCACAGTGATTTCCTGTCGACGTCTTCTTGTTGACTTCAACCTGTTACAATGTAAGGGGTCACTGACGAGAATGGTTCAAATAATCTAAACGGATGCAGCTATTTCCTGCAGGCTTTTTCATATAAAAGGCTTGGATGTTTCATACGACGCTCACGAGGTGCACAGCTCTAATGACTCGTTCTTTCCGTCTACGTCAAATTCTCTGGCACGCAAGGCGGAACATCAGAAACGACCTCCTTCCTTGTTCGCGCGTGCATCCGTTCCCCATATGACGTTGACTGATCTTCGGCGGTGCTCCTCCTAGGCTCTGCCGCGCCGGCATTCTCTCTGCTGCCGCGCCAGCATTCTCTCTGTCAGATTCTGACAGTGCCTGTGAATCCCCAGCGGCTTCCTCCAGGGTCTGCAGCGGCAACATGCTGTCCGCCGAGTTCTGAGGTCCCTGACCCCCCCCTCCCCCCCCCCCCCCCCCCCCCCCCCCCCCCCCTTGCCGCTCCCCCCAGGTTCTGCAGCGGCAACATGCTGTCCGCCATCTGCAGGAGCGCCGGGTGGGCCTGCGGTGCGTCACCTGACCCCCCCACGGCAGCAGCAGCAGCAGCAGCAGTAGCGGCGCGGGAGTGTTCCCCGGACGATCAAGGGATGAAGCTGCGATCGTCAGTCACGTTCTCCCGCTTCCCCGGAGCTTCTCTGGTACCACACAGCCGCCCACATGCCACCCGCACTCGCATTTAGATCGGCCCTAGATCAGCCCTTGCACGTCCCTTCTCCCGTGATCGTTCGTACACCTTCCGCTCAGTTATCCCCCCATCCCCATTAGTGTCACAACACACCCTCCCACCTGTCACTCGTGCTCTCTTCCATCCCCTATTAGTCACACCGCCTTCTCAGATCCTCACTTGCATTTTTCCCCTCCCTCCCCGCCCACTCCTCCCACGTCCATTGCCCTGCTCCGCCCCCCGTCCCCGCCCACTCCTTTCCCACCCCAATGGCCTGCCGTTTTCCCCCCCTTTGTCCGCGCCCGCAGCTGGCGGGGACAGCAGCAGCGCCGCCAGAGGTGGCGTGGGTGCGCCCTCTGGACGCCCATGCGGCGCCCCTCAAGGAGTTCTCCGTCACCTTCTCTGAGGCCCTGCACAATGTGCGTGCTGCGTGTGATTCATGTGATGTGATGTGATGCATGTGTTGCTGTTAAGAGATCATGCATCCCACCCAAGAGCCTTAAAATGAGTTCTCCGTCACCTTCTCCGAGGCCCTGCGCAACGTGCGTGCTGCGGCGTGCAGCGCATGTGATGTGCATGCATGCAATGCTGTATAGAGATAGTACATGCCTTGAGCATCAAGGAGTTTTCCGTCACCTTCTCTGAGCCCTGCGCAACGTGCGTGCTGTGGGTGCTATGGGTGCCGTGCTGTGGCTGCTGTGGGTGATGTGGTGCTGGGGGGTGCTGTTGGTGTGAGTGGCGAATCAGGCATGCTGTGTGAATGACTGCAGGATGCATCTTGTCTCAAACACTCATCTATCGAACCTCTGTCAAGAAATATTCCCTCTTGTCCAACCCCTCCTCCTTTTTCCCCTCCCATCACGTTCCCTGCCCTCCCGCACGTGCAGCTGCCACTGGGGGTGCGCCTGTGGTCGCACAACCAGAGGGAGAAGTCTCAGGGCCGGGTGAGTGGGTGCATGGAATTTTCTACACGCATGAGTCATGACGACTCATGATGCTCCTGCGTACTGCGCTGTGATGTTTTTGAGAATTCTAAAAAACATAGCCTCTGGCATGGGATATGCTCTTGTTTCGTCAGTGTCATGTCACCACCCAGCCACACGCACTCACACGCCTTGTCCTCATGCATGGGGGAAGCATTCCCAATCACATGCCCATTCCCCTGCGTTGCCTCATGCATCCCCCCCCACGCCCATGCCTCTGCAGGTGCCAGTGATTGACCCTTTCTCTCGTGAAACACAGCCATCAGCATGTCACGGAGTGCCTCTAGGAGGCATCGGGTAGGCCCACCTACCTCTAGGGCTTCACAATGCATGGCCATTCGTAACCCCAGCTCCCTTCCCCTCTCACCTGCCCACGTTCGCCCGCCTATCTGCCCTCCACCATCATGCCTGCCCTGCCTCGCTCTGATTTCCCGGTTCACCTGCCACCACTTGTCTCTCTCTCTCTCCGCCCTCCGCCCTCCGCCCTCCGCCCTCCGCTCAATTTTCTGCTGTCTGCGGCCCGCCCCACTGGGCCCTGCTGCGTGCCTGCAGGGCGTGCAGCATAGGGCGGGGGTTCCGGGGGGAGTTCAACCGATGGCAGTTTGCAGCGGGGCAGTGCGAGGACGCACCCGTGGACGCCGACCAGTTCTCTGTGAGCTCCATTTCTCATCCCCGCTGCACATGCTTTCAGTCGCAGCAACCACGAGAATGAGCATTTTGACTCCCAGTTGGGACAGTTTGCAGCGGGGCAGTGTGAGGACGCACCCGTGGACGCCGGCCAGATCCGTCCCCTCCTGCAAATGCTTCCACTTACAGCAACTACGAGAACGAACACTTGGCATGCCAGTTGGCCGGTTTGAGCAGGGCATTGTGCCAGAGCATGGGACGAAGCAACAACTGGCACAGAGGTAGACCTGCCAGGTTGTTTTTGAGAATTCTCGAAAACAACCTGCAACAGCATGGGACGAAGCGACAACTGGCACAGGGGTGCACCTGCCACCCATGCGCTGCCCAGGCGCGGTCAAGGCCCTTGGAGGAGCTGCCAACTGAAACCCTTCTCGCTGGTGGCACTGCCTCTGGAGGTGTGCATCACAAGACAAGTGGAGAGCCCAGCGGACCAGCCCCTCAAGCGCTCATCCGTGCTGTACCCTGGCGTGCCCAAGGGCGTTTGAGGTCCCTCTATCTGAAGCTGTTGGCTCCGTTCGTTTCATGGCGCTGCCTCAGCAGGTGTTCATCACACGGCAGGCTGATAGCCCAGCGGACCAGCCCCTCAAGTGCTCTTCTGTGCTGTACCCTGGCGTGCCCAAGGGCGTTTGAGGTCCCTCCGTCCGGAACCCTCCTCTCTGTGGAACTGCCTCGGCAGGTGTTCATCACAAGGCAGGCTGAGAGCTCAGTGGACGAGCCTCGCAAGTTCTCTTCTGTGCTGTACCCTGGTGTGCCCAAGGGCGTGCGGAGGAAGGCGAGTGGGTTGGGCATCGACGCGTGGGGGTGGAACATGGATGGCTCCCGCAACACCTACTATGCTCTCTTCCCGCGCGCCTGGACCGTTTATCAAGGTAGCTAGCAGATGGAGCCAGCATGTCATGCTTCTAGTGCTACACTGGGGTGGGACATGGAAGTTCATGCATAGTGGCTCTAATAGCGTGGGTGTGGATGCATGGTTCAGGGTGCAATTGAGCATGCAAGAAGGTGTGCTCCTGTGTGCGTTTGAACACACCTGTGTGCGTTTGAACACACCTGTGTGCGTTTGAACACACCTGTGTGCGTTTGAACACACCTGTGCTTGCAGAGCCAGACCCACAGATGACCATCTCGTGTCGCCAGGTCTCCCCCTTCATACCCAACAACTACCAGGAGTCCTCCCTCCCCTCCTCCGTCTTCGCTTTCACTGTACGCTCTCCCTCCCCGCTCCCTCCTTACGTTCTCTCTCCCCCCTCCCCCCAATTCTCGCTTTGTCACTCTTCCTTCGCCACCTATCCCTGCTTCTTGGTTCGGTTCACGCTGCGTTTAGCTCGTGCAATCTATTTCGAATGTGGCCCTGTGCTCACTACGTGCAAGCATGGCTCTGTGCTCACTACATGCACGCATGGCTCTGTGCTCACTACATGCACGCATGGCTCTGTGCTCACTACATGCACGCATGGCTCTGTGCTCACTACATGCACGCATGGCTCTGTGCTCACTACATGCACGCATGGCCCTGTGCTCACTACATGCACGCATGGCTCTGTGCTCACTACATGCACTTGTGCGCCTGTCACATGCCTTGCCTATCTGAGCAGCTGGCTAACACAGGCACCACAGCTGCTGACGTCTCACTCGTCTTCTCCCTTGCGGTAAGTTCCCCCCTGCTTGCGGTAAGTTCCCCCCTGCTTGCGGTAAGTTCCCCCCTGCTTGCGGTAAGTTCCCCCCTGCTTGCGGTAAGTTCCCCCCTGCTTGCGGTAAGTTCCCCCCTGCTTGCGGTAAGTTCCCCCCTGCTTGCGGTAAGTTCCCCCCTGCTTGCGGTAAGTTCCCCCCTGCTTGCGGTAAGTTCCCCCCTGCTTGCGGTAAGTTCCCCCCTGCTTGCGGTAAGTTCCCCCCTGCTTGCGGTAAGTTCCCCCCTGCTTGCGGTAAGTTCCCCCCTGCTTGCGGTAAGTTCCCCCCTGCTTGCGGTAAGTTCCCCCCTGCTTGCGGTAAGTTCCCCCCTGCTTGCGGTAAGTTCCCCCCTGCTTGCGGTAAGTTCCCCCCTGCTTGCGGTAAGTTCCCCCCTGCTTGCGGTAAGTTCCCCCCTGCTTGCGGTAAGTTCCCCCCTGCTTGCGGTAAGTTCCCCCCTGCTTGCGGTAAGTTCCCCCCTGCTTGCGGTAAGTTCCCCCCTGCTTGCGGTAAGTTCCCCCCTGCTTGCGGTAAGTTCCCCCCTGCTTGCGGTAAGTTCCCCCCTGCTTGCGGTAAGTTCCCCCCTGCTTGCGGTAAGTTCCCCCCTGCTTGCGGTAAGTTCCCCCCTGCTTGCGGTAAGTTCCCCCCTGCTTGCGGTAAGTTCCCCCCTGCTTGCGGTAAGTTCCCCCCTGCTTGCGGTAAGTTCCCCCCTGCTTGCGGTAAGTTCCCCCCTGCTTGCGGTAAGTTCCCCCCTGCTTGCGGTAAGTTCCCCCCTGCTTGCGGTAAGTTCCCCCCTGCTTGCGGTAAGTTCCCCCCTGCTTGCGGTAAGTTCCCCCCTGCTTGCGGTAAGTTCCCCCCTGCTTGCGGTAAGTTCCCCCCTGCTTGCGGTAAGTTCCCCCCTGCTTGCGGTAAGTTCCCCCCTGCTTGCGGTAAGTTCCCCCCTGCTTGCGGTAAGTTCCCCCCTGCTTGCGGTAAGTTCCCCCCTGCTTGCGGTAAGTTCCCCCCTGCTTGCGGTAAGTTCCCCCCTGCTTGCGGTAAGTTCCCCCCTGCTTGCGGTAAGTTCCCCCCTGCTTGCGGTAAGTTCCCCCCTGCTTGCGGTAAGTTCCCCCCTGCTTGCGGTAAGTTCCCCCCTGCTTGCGGTAAGTTCCCCCCTGCTTGCGGTAAGTTCCCCCCTGCTTGCGGTAAGTTCCCCCCTGCTTGCGGTAAGTTCCCCCCTGCTTGCGGTAAGTTCCCCCCTGCTTGCGGTAAGTTCCCCCCTGCTTGCGGTAAGTTCCCCCCTGCTTGCGGTAAGTTCCCCCCTGCTTGCGGTAAGTTCCCCCCTGCTTGCGGTAAGTTCCCCCCTGCTTGCGGTAAGTTCCCCCCTGCTTGCGGTAAGTTCCCCCCTGCTTGCGGTAAGTTCCCCCCTGCTTGCGGTAAGTTCCCCCCTGCTTGCGGTAAGTTCCCCCCTGCTTGCGGTAAGTTCCCCCCTGCTTGCGGTAAGTTCCCCCCTGCTTGCGGTAAGTTCCCCCCTGCTTGCGGTAAGTTCCCCCCTGCTTGCGGTAAGTTCCCCCCTGCTTGCGGTAAGTTCCCCCCTGCTTGCGGTAAGTTCCCCCCTGCTTGCGGTAAGTTCCCCCCTGCTTGCGGTAAGTTCCCCCCTGCTTGCGGTAAGTTCCCCCCTGCTTGCGGTAAGTTCCCCCCTGCTTGCGGTAAGTTCCCCCCTGCTTGCGGTAAGTTCCCCCCTGCTTGCGGTAAGTTCCCCCCTGCTTGCGGTAAGTTCCCCCCTGCTTGCGGTAAGTTCCCCCCTGCTTGCGGTAAGTTCCCCCCTGCTTGCGGTAAGTTCCCCCCTGCTTGCGGTAAGTTCCCCCCTGCTTGCGGTAAGTTCCCCCCTGCTTGCGGTAAGTTCCCCCCTGCTTGCGGTAAGTTCCCCCCTGCTTGCGGTAAGTTCCCCCCTGCTTGCGGTAAGTTCCCCCCTGCTTGCGGTAAGTTCCCCCCTGCTTGCGGTAAGTTCCCCCCTGCTTGCGGTAAGTTCCCCCCTGCTTGCGGTAAGTTCCCCCCTGCTTGCGGTAAGTTCCCCCCTGCTTGCGGTAAGTTCCCCCCTGCTTGCGGTAAGTTCCCCCCTGCTTGCGGTAAGTTCCCCCCTGCTTGCGGTAAGTTCCCCCCTGCTTGCGGTAAGTTCCCCCCTGCTTGCGGTAAGTTCCCCCCTGCTTGCGGTAAGTTCCCCCCTGCTTGCGGTAAGTTCCCCCCTGCTTGCGGTAAGTTCCCCCCTGCTTGCGGTAAGTTCCCCCCTGCTTGCGGTAAGTTCCCCCCTGCTTGCGGTAAGTTCCCCCCTGCTTGCGGTAAGTTCCCCCCTGCTTGCGGTAAGTTCCCCCCTGCTTGCGGTAAGTTCCCCCCTGCTTGCGGTAAGTTCCCCCCTGCTTGCGGTAAGTTCCCCCCTGCTTGCGGTAAGTTCCCCCCTGCTTGCGGTAAGTTCCCCCCTGCTTGCGGTAAGTTCCCCCCTGCTTGCGGTAAGTTCCCCCCTGCTTGCGGTAAGTTCCCCCCTGCTTGCGGTAAGTTCCCCCCTGCTTGCGGTAAGTTCCCCCCTGCTTGCGGTAAGTTCCCCCCTGCTTGCGGTAAGTTCCCCCCTGCTTGCGGTAAGTTCCCCCCTGCTTGCGGTAAGTTCCCCCCTGCTTGCGGTAAGTTCCCCCCTGCTTGCGGTAAGTTCCCCCCTGCTTGCGGTAAGTTCCCCCCTGCTTGCGGTAAGTTCCCCCCTGCTTGCGGTAAGTTCCCCCCTGCTTGCGGTAAGTTCCCCCCTGCTTGCGGTAAGTTCCCCCCTGCTTGCGGTAAGTTCCCCCCTGCTTGCGGTAAGTTCCCCCCTGCTTGCGGTAAGTTCCCCCCTGCTTGCGGTAAGTTCCCCCCTGCTTGCGGTAAGTTCCCCCCTGCTTGCGGTAAGTTCCCCCCTGCTTGCGGTAAGTTCCCCCCTGCTTGCGGTAAGTTCCCCCCTGCTTGCGGTAAGTTCCCCCCTGCTTGCGGTAAGTTCCCCCCTGCTTGCGGTAAGTTCCCCCCTGCTTGCGGTAAGTTCCCCCCTGCTTGCGGTAAGTTCCCCCCTGCTTGCGGTAAGTTCCCCCCTGCTTGCGGTAAGTTCCCCCCTGCTTGCGGTAAGTTCCCCCCTGCTTGCGGTAAGTTCCCCCCTGCTTGCGGTAAGTTCCCCCCTGCTTGCGGTAAGTTCCCCCCTGCTTGCGGTAAGTTCCCCCCTGCTTGCGGTAAGTTCCCCCCTGCTTGCGGTAAGTTCCCCCCTGCTTGCGGTAAGTTCCCCCCTGCTTGCGGTAAGTTCCCCCCTGCTTGCGGTAAGTTCCCCCCTGCTTGCGGTAAGTTCCCCCCTGCTTGCGGTAAGTTCCCCCCTGCTTGCGGTAAGTTCCCCCCTGCTTGCGGTAAGTTCCCCCCTGCTTGCGGTAAGTTCCCCCCTGCTTGCGGTAAGTTCCCCCCTGCTTGCGGTAAGTTCCCCCCTGCTTGCGGTAAGTTCCCCCCTGCTTGCGGTAAGTTCCCCCCTGCTTGCGGTAAGTTCCCCCCTGCTTGCGGTAAGTTCCCCCCTGCTTGCGGTAAGTTCCCCCCTGCTTGCGGTAAGTTCCCCCCTGCTTGCGGTAAGTTCCCCCCTGCTTGCGGTAAGTTCCCCCCTGCTTGCGGTAAGTTCCCCCCTGCTTGCGGTAAGTTCCCCCCTGCTTGCGGTAAGTTCCCCCTGCTTGCGGTAAGTTCCCCCCTGCTTGCGGTAAGTTCCCCCCTGCTTGCGGTAAGTTCCCCCCTGCTTGCGGTAAGTTCCCCCCTGCTTGCGGTAAGTTCCCCCCTGCTTGCGGTAAGTTCCCCCCTGCTTGCGGTAAGTTCCCCCCTGCTTGCGGTAAGTTCCCCCCTGCTTGCGGTAAGTTCCCCCCTGCTTGCGGTAAGTTCCCCCCTGCTTGCGGTAAGTTCCCCCCTGCTTGCGGTAAGTTCCCCCCTGCTTGCGGTAAGTTCCCCCCTGCTTGCGGTAAGTTCCCCCCTGCTTGCGGTAAGTTCCCCCCTGCTTGCGGTAAGTTCCCCCCTGCTTGCGGTAAGTTCCCCCCTGCTTGCGGTAAGTTCCCCCCTGCTTGCGGTAAGTTCCCCCCTGCTTGCGGTAAGTTCCCCCCTGCTTGCGGTAAGTTCCCCCCTGCTTGCGGTAAGTTCCCCCCTGCTTGCGGTAAGTTCCCCCCTGCTTGCGGTAAGTTCCCCCCTGCTTGCGGTAAGTTCCCCCCTGCTTGCGGTAAGTTCCCCCCTGCTTGCGGTAAGTTCCCCCCTGCTTGCGGTAAGTTCCCCCCTGCTTGCGGTAAGTTCCCCCCTGCTTGCGGTAAGTTCCCCCCTGCTTGCGGTAAGTTCCCCCCTGCTTGCGGTAAGTTCCCCCCTGCTTGCGGTAAGTTCCCCCCTGCTTGCGGTAAGTTCCCCCCTGCTTGCGGTAAGTTCCCCCCTGCTTGCGGTAAGTTCCCCCCTGCTTGCGGTAAGTGTATGTTACACCACAAAATTATTAGCACACCCACTGACTCACTAGCTTTGTGTAGAAGCTATGGCCATGCACGCGGGCGCGCGTGCACGCATAACCACTGCACGGCATGCTCACTCTTTTGACCTCTCCTTGCATTCACCCATCATCAGCATTCACATCAGTCTTGACTCTTGTGTGGCATTGCAGAACTCTGTAGGGGGGGATTCTGCAACAACTGGTGGCCATCTCAACACTGCATTTGAGTGAGCACACGGTGCAAACCATCATCAACATCAGCCATCAGCCATCAGCCATCAGCCATCAGCCATGAGCCATGAGCCATCAGCCATCAGCCATGAGCCATCTGCCATCTACCATCAACAATCAGCCATGAAACCGTATCATAATTGTCTGCATGTTCTTTCCTCGTGTGCTTCGTGGCTTGCAATCCCTGCCAACATGCCATGAGATTAATTCTCCCTCGTCTGCCCTGCCAACAATGCTTGTGGCCCTTGTGTGTGCGTGGCAGGATGGATAGGGGCATCAAAGGCGTGAAACTACAGCACAGGTGTGGGTCATCCACCACCATGCATTCCCCCCATCCCATTCACACACACAATGCCTTATGCTCATTTCACACACTACATGATTCAGACTGCTAACAGACTTTCCCTCTCTTTTGCCCTCCTGCTGCCGCTCCTCTGCTGCGTCTCCTCTACCGCCTCGCCTCTTGATGCATGAATGCAGGTCCTCCAAAGTGGGCGGCCCTGTGACTCTTGCCATTGCCGCCCGAGGGGGGAGTGGCACCAGGGAGAGTCACTCCCCTGCCGCCTCTGCCCCTACCCACTCTCCTGTCACTGCTCACTCAACTAACGGAACTGCTGACTCAGCTGAAGGGACTGCTGACAGCAGCACTGACGGGGTGCGCGTGTCTGTCTGCCCGCACTTCGTCCTTTCTGGCCCTTGCAAGGGCCTATCGGCTGCTGACATGTGGCAGCACCTAGAGAAGGTGCGTTGGACCCGTACAGTGCAAGCAAGGCATGACGGCATGCTTGTTGCCTCAGGCCGGCCGATGAATCAACCCCTTCCTCACCTCACCCTCCTTGTCGTCCCCACTTTGACCGCCCTCACATTTGCTGGATCGCACTCTCTTCCCCTCTCCCTCCCAACACTCCACACGCCCCTACCCCCACCAACCAGACCTACACATTCCCCCTCCACCAAGAGACAGCCCTGGCGTCACACCCCTCCTTCCCTTCCAGCACGGCCATAGGGGCACCATACACTGCGTTTCCTTCTCAAAACCTTCACACCTCGCTTTCCCCCCTGAACAACAGAGCCAGCCCATACTCTCTCTCTCCCAACAACAGACTGGCACCTTACCCCCCCACCACGAGTCAGCCCTGGCATCGCACCCCTCGTTCCCCGGCACGGCCATCGGAGCAGCAGTGGCGGCGTCGGTGTCGGTGCCGCCCGGAGCCACCCGCCATGTGGACTTCACGCTCTGCTGGGATGTGCCTGTTGCGCGCTTCAACCCCGATAGCCACTACCTCAGGTGCCCCTTGCTGGGGGATGGGACCTAGAGGGGCGAGGCACAGGGAGGTTGTGGTGATGGTGGGTAAGGTCTATGGGATGAGATAGAGCGCCCGGAGCCACCCCGCACGTGTACTTAACCCTCTGCTGGGACGTGCCTGTTGCACGCTTCAACCCCGATAGCCATTACCTCAGGTGGGTTGCACCACCTCTCGCAGGCCGTTTCGGGGGGGTTGGTACTTAGAGTGGTGAGACCTAAAGGCGAGTCCAAAAGGTGAGACCTAAAGGCGAGTCCAAAAGGTGAGACCTAAAGGCGAGTCCAAAAGGTGAGACCTAAAGGCGAGTCCAAAAGGTGAGACCTAAAGGCGAGTCCAAAAGGTGAGACCTAAAGGCGAGTCCAAAAGGTGAGACCTAAAGGCGAGTCCAAAAGGTGAGACCTAAAGGCGAGTCCAAAAGGTGAGACCTAAAGGCGAGTCCAAAAGGTGAGACCTAAAGGCGAGTCCAAAAGGTGAGACCTAAAGGCGAGTCCAAAAGGTGAGACCTAAAGGCGAGTCCAAAAGGTGAGACCTAAAGGCGAGTCCAAAAGGTGAGACCTAAAGGCGAGTCCAAAAGGTGAGACCTAAAGGCGAGTCCAAAAGGTGAGACCTAAAGGCGAGTCCAAAAGGTGAGACCTAAAGGCGAGTCCAAAAGGTGAGACCTAAAGGCGAGTCCAAAAGGTGAGACCTAAAGGCGAGTCCAAAAGGTGAGACCTAAAGGCGAGTCCAAAAGGTGAGACCTAAAGGCGAGTCCAAAAGGTGAGACCTAAAGGCGAGTCCAAAAGGTGAGACCTAAAGGCGAGTCCAAAAGGTGAGACCTAAAGGCGAGTCCAAAAGGTGAGACCTAAAGGCGAGTCCAAAAGGTGAGACCTAAAGGCGAGTCCAAAAGGTGAGACCTAAAGGCGAGTCCAAAAGGTGAGACCTAAAGGCGAGTCCAAAAGGTGAGACCTAAAGGCGAGTCCAAAAGGTGAGACCTAAAGGCGAGTCCAAAAGGTGAGACCTAAAGGCGAGTCCAAAAGGTGAGACCTAAAGGCGAGTCCAAAAGGTGAGACCTAAAGGCGAGTCCAAAAGGTGAGACCTAAAGGCGAGTCCAAAAGGTGAGACCTAAAGGCGAGTCCAAAAGGTGAGACCTAAAGGCGAGTCCAAAAGGTGAGACCTAAAGGCGAGTCCAAAAGGTGAGACCTAAAGGCGAGTCCAAAAGGTGAGACCTAAAGGCGAGTCCAAAAGGTGAGACCTAAAGGCGAGTCCAAAAGGTGAGACCTAAAGGCGAGTCCAAAAGGTGAGACCTAAAGGCGAGTCCAAAAGGTGAGACCTAAAGGCGAGTCCAAAAGGTGAGACCTAAAGGCGAGTCCAAAAGGTGAGACCTAAAGGCGAGTCCAAAAGGTGAGACCTAAAGGCGAGTCCAAAAGGTGAGACCTAAAGGCGAGTCCAAAAGGTGAGACCTAAAGGCGAGTCCAAAAGGTGAGACCTAAAGGCGAGTCCAAAAGGTGAGACCTAAAGGCGAGTCCAAAAGGTGAGACCTAAAGGCGAGTCCAAAAGGTGAGACCTAAAGGCGAGTCCAAAAGGTGAGACCTAAAGGCGAGTCCAAAAGGTGAGACCTAAAGGCGAGTCCAAAAGGTGAGACCTAAAGGCGAGTCCAAAAGGTGAGACCTAAAGGCGAGTCCAAAAGGTGAGACCTAAAGGCGAGTCCAAAAGGTGAGACCTAAAGGCGAGTCCAAAAGGTGAGACCTAAAGGCGAGTCCAAAAGGTGAGACCTAAAGGCGAGTCCAAAAGGTGAGACCTAAAGGCGAGTCCAAAAGGTGAGACCTAAAGGCGAGTCCAAAAGGTGAGACCTAAAGGCGAGTCCAAAAGGTGAGACCTAAAGGCGAGTCCAAAAGGTGAGACCTAAAGGCGAGTCCAAAAGGTGAGACCTAAAGGCGAGTCCAAAAGGTGAGACCTAAAGGCGAGTCCAAAAGGTGAGACCTAAAGGCGAGTCCAAAAGGTGAGACCTAAAGGCGAGTCCAAAAGGTGAGACCTAAAGGCGAGTCCAAAAGGTGAGACCTAAAGGCGAGTCCAAAAGGTGAGACCTAAAGGCGAGTCCAAAAGGTGAGACCTAAAGGCGAGTCCAAAAGGTGAGACCTAAAGGCGAGTCCAAAAGGTGAGACCTAAAGGCGAGTCCAAAAGGTGAGACCTAAAGGCGAGTCCAAAAGGTGAGACCTAAAGGCGAGTCCAAAAGGTGAGACCTAAAGGCGAGTCCAAAAGGTGAGACCTAAAGGCGAGTCCAAAAGGTGAGACCTCAAGGCGAGTCCAAAAGGTGAGACCTCAAGGCGAGTCCAAAAGGTGAGACCTAAAGGCGAGTCCAAAAGGTGAGACCTAAAGGCGAGTCCAAAAGGTGAGACCTAAAGGCGAGTCCAAAAGGTGAGACCTAAAGGCGAGTCCAAAAGGTGAGACCTAAAGGCGAGTCCAAAAGGTGAGACCTAAAGGCGAGTCCAAAAGGTGAGACCTAAAGGCGAGTCCAAAAGGTGAGACCTAAAGGCGAGTCCAAAAGGTGAGACCTAAAGGCGAGTCCAAAAGGTGAGACCTAAAGGCGAGTCCAAAAGGTGAGACCTAAAGGCGAGTCCAAAAGGTGAGACCTAAAGGCGAGTCCAAAAGGTGAGACCTAAAGGCGAGTCCAAAAGGTGAGACCTAAAGGCGAGTCCAAAAGGTGAGACCTAAAGGCGAGTCCAAAAGGTGAGACCTAAAGGCGAGTCCAAAAGGTGAGACCTAAAGGCGAGTCCAAAAGGTGAGACCTAAAGGCGAGTCCAAAAGGTGAGACCTAAAGGCGAGTCCAAAAGGTGAGACCTAAAGGCGAGTCCAAAAGGTGAGACCTAAAGGCGAGTCCAAAAGGTGAGACCTAAAGGCGAGTCCAAAAGGTGAGACCTAAAGGCGAGTCCAAAAGGTGAGACCTAAAGGCGAGTCCAAAAGGTGAGACCTAAAGGCGAGTCCAAAAGGTGAGACCTAAAGGCGAGTCCAAAAGGTGAGACCTAAAGGCGAGTCCAAAAGGTGAGACCTAAAGGCGAGTCCAAAAGGTGAGACCTAAAGGCGAGTCCAAAAGGTGAGACCTAAAGGCGAGTCCAAAAGGTGAGACCTAAAGGCGAGTCCAAAAGGTGAGACCTAAAGGCGAGTCCAAAAGGTGAGACCTAAAGGCGAGTCCAAAAGGTGAGACCTAAAGGCGAGTCCAAAAGGTGAGACCTAAAGGCGAGTCCAAAAGGTGAGACCTAAAGGCGAGTCCAAAAGGTGAGACCTAAAGGCGAGTCCAAAAGGTGAGACCTAAAGGCGAGTCCAAAAGGTGAGACCTAAAGGCGAGTCCAAAAGGTGAGACCTAAAGGCGAGTCCAAAAGGTGAGACCTAAAGGCGAGTCCAAAAGGTGAGACCTAAAGGCGAGTCCAAAAGGTGAGACCTAAAGGCGAGTCCAAAAGGTGAGACCTAAAGGCGAGTCCAAAAGGTGAGACCTAAAGGCGAGTCCAAAAGGTGAGACCTAAAGGCGAGTCCAAAAGGTGAGACCTAAAGGCGAGTCCAAAAGGTGAGACCTAAAGGCGAGTCCAAAAGGTGAGACCTAAAGGCGAGTCCAAAAGGTGAGACCTAAAGGCGAGTCCAAAAGGTGAGACCTAAAGGCGAGTCCAAAAGGTGAGACCTAAAGGCGAGTCCAAAAGGTGAGACCTAAAGGCGAGTCCAAAAGGTGAGACCTAAAGGCGAGTCCAAAAGGTGAGACCTAAAGGCGAGTCCAAAAGGTGAGACCTAAAGGCGAGTCCAAAAGGTGAGACCTAAAGGCGAGTCCAAAAGGTGAGACCTAAAGGCGAGTCCAAAAGGTGAGACCTAAAGGCGAGTCCAAAAGGTGAGACCTAAAGGCGAGTCCAAAAGGTGAGACCTAAAGGCGAGTCCAAAAGGTGAGACCTAAAGGCGAGTCCAAAAGGTGAGACCTAAAGGCGAGTCCAAAAGGTGAGACCTAAAGGCGAGTCCAAAAGGTGAGACCTAAAGGCGAGTCCAAAAGGTGAGACCTAAAGGCGAGTCCAAAAGGTGAGACCTAAAGGCGAGTCCAAAAGGTGAGACCTAAAGGCGAGTCCAAAAGGTGAGACCTAAAGGCGAGTCCAAAAGGTGAGACCTAAAGGCGAGTCCAAAAGGTGAGACCTAAAGGCGAGTCCAAAAGGTGAGACCTAAAGGCGAGTCCAAAAGGTGAGACCTAAAGGCGAGTCCAAAAGGTGAGACCTAAAGGCGAGTCCAAAAGGTGAGACCTAAAGGCGAGTCCAAAAGGTGAGACCTAAAGGCGAGTCCAAAAGGTGAGACCTAAAGGCGAGTCCAAAAGGTGAGACCTAAAGGCGAGTCCAAAAGGTGAGACCTAAAGGCGAGTCCAAAAGGTGAGACCTAAAGGCGAGTCCAAAAGGTGAGACCTAAAGGCGAGTCCAAAAGGTGAGACCTAAAGGCGAGTCCAAAAGGTGAGACCTAAAGGCGAGTCCAAAAGGTGAGACCTAAAGGCGAGTCCAAAAGGTGAGACCTAAAGGCGAGTCCAAAAGGTGAGACCTAAAGGCGAGTCCAAAAGGTGAGACCTAAAGGCGAGTCCAAAAGGTGAGACCTAAAGGCGAGTCCAAAAGGTGAGACCTAAAGGCGAGTCCAAAAGGTGAGACCTAAAGGCGAGTCCAAAAGGTGAGACCTAAAGGCGAGTCCAAAAGGTGAGACCTAAAGGCGAGTCCAAAAGGTGAGACCTAAAGGCGAGTCCAAAAGGTGAGACCTAAAGGCGAGTCCAAAAGGTGAGACCTAAAGGCGAGTCCAAAAGGTGAGACCTAAAGGCGAGTCCAAAAGGTGAGACCTAAAGGCGAGTCCAAAAGGTGAGACCTAAAGGCGAGTCCAAAAGGTGAGACCTAAAGGCGAGTCCAAAAGGTGAGACCTAAAGGCGAGTCCAAAAGGTGAGACCTAAAGGCGAGTCCAAAAGGTGAGACCTAAAGGCGAGTCCAAAAGGTGAGACCTAAAGGCGAGTCCAAAAGGTGAGACCTAAAGGCGAGTCCAAAAGGTGAGACCTAAAGGCGAGTCCAAAAGGTGAGACCTAAAGGCGAGTCCAAAAGGTGAGACCTAAAGGCGAGTCCAAAAGGTGAGACCTAAAGGCGAGTCCAAAAGGTGAGACCTAAAGGCGAGTCCAAAAGGTGAGACCTAAAGGCGAGTCCAAAAGGTGAGACCTAAAGGCGAGTCCAAAAGGTGAGACCTAAAGGCGAGTCCAAAAGGTGAGACCTAAAGGCGAGTCCAAAAGGTGAGACCTAAAGGCGAGTCCAAAAGGTGAGACCTAAAGGCGAGTCCAAAAGGTGAGACCTAAAGGCGAGTCCAAAAGGTGAGACCTAAAGGCGAGTCCAAAAGGTGAGACCTAAAGGCGAGTCCAAAAGGTGAGACCTAAAGGCGAGTCCAAAAGGTGAGACCTAAAGGCGAGTCCAAAAGGTGAGACCTAAAGGCGAGTCCAAAAGGTGAGACCTAAAGGCGAGTCCAAAAGGTGAGACCTAAAGGCGAGTCCAAAAGGTGAGACCTAAAGGCGAGTCCAAAAGGTGAGACCTAAAGGCGAGTCCAAAAGGTGAGACCTAAAGGCGAGTCCAAAAGGCGAGACCTAAAGGCGAGTCCAAAAGGCGAGACCTAAAGGCGAGTCCAAAAGGCGAGACCTAAAGGCGAGTCCAAAAGGCGAGACCTAAAGGCGAGTCCAAAAGGCGAGACCTAAAGGCGAGTCCAAAAGGCGAGACCTAAAGGCGAGTCCAAAAGGCGAGACCTAAAGGCGAGTCCAAAAGGCGAGACCTAAAGGCGAGTCCAAAAGGTGAGACCTAAAGGCGAGTCCAAAAGGTGAGACCTAAAGGCGAGTCCAAAAGGTGAGACCTAAAGGCGAGTCCAAAAGGTGAGACCTAGGGAGTGAGAGACAGCCAGTGCTGCCTGAGCCACCCGGGCCGTGGAATTCACCCTCTGCTGGGACGTGCCTGCCTGTTACTGGGGGCTGAGGCCTGGAGGCGTGAGACCCAATGTGCTTTATTGACCTACTGGAAAATTGTGCCCTTCTTCTCACATTCGTTCTCTGCATGTGTGCGGCTGTGTGTGTGTGTGGCAGGCGCTACACGCGGTTCTACGGGCACCAGGGCATGGCAGCTCACCTGCTGGCCCGCGATGCTCTGCTGGGTGAGTCAGTGAGTGCTACTGGAGGCGCGGGCGTGGCCGTGGGCGTGGGCGCGGGCGTGGGGGGGGTGATGATGCATGCTCCCAACGGTCATGCGTTTTTTATCTCTGACGTTTGCTTTTGTGGATTCTCAAAAGTTTTGTAAAAGCAGCTCAATGGTGATTGTGTTGAGCTGTGATGTTGAATCCTCAACTATCTCTACCCGCAGGGCGGGGTCAACTTGTCCATGTCACTGCGCCGTGTGTTTGTGTGCCATGGCAGGGTACAGCAACTGGGAGAGGGCCATTGACGAGTGGCAGCGACCCATTCTGCAAGACGACGCCCTGCCTGAGTGGTATGTGCATGCCCGCCCGCCTGCCGCGTGCTTCCTTCCCTGTGCAACTGTGACTTCTCCCCTTACATCCTTAGACTTTCCCCGGAATACCTCTACTGCTTCCCTTCTGCCAAGCCCTTCCTGTCCTACCTTTCACCTGCTGCCCGACCCCCCCCCCCCCCCCCCCCCCCACACACACGCGCACACACACACACACACACACACACACACACGCACACACACACGCACACACACACACACACACGCACACACACACACACACACGCACACACACACACACACACCCCCGCTCTCCCAGGTACCGCGTGACGCTCTTCAACGAGCTCTACTTCCTCACTGCAGGAGGCACCGTGTGGACGGGTAAGTAGGCTGTGTGAACGGGTAATGGCACATGATTGGTAGGTACTTAGGGAACCTGAACGGCTCCTGTACGTCATATCCATCTGTGCTCCCATTGACTCATGCCTAAAGACTCCTCTGACTCACATGGCTCCTGCTCCCCTTTGCATCTCTTCGCATCAAACACTCATGAATCGTCCTTGTTGTTTCACCGTGCACCCCCCTTCCGCCCTCTCGTTTCCTTCCACCCCCAACAGACGGAGGGCCACGGCTGGAGGAGAGGGAGCAGCACGAGTGGCTCAAGCCCCAACACCCCTCCAACTCTCTCGCTCGCTCCGTCCTTCTCATGCCCTTGCCCTGTACGCCCCTTCCCCCCTCCCTCATCCGCTCACCTGCTTTTGGCACCAACCACTTCCTCATGCTCTCCCTATCCCTCCTGCTCCTGCTCTCCCTATCCCCCCTGCTCCTGCTCTCCCTATCCCCCCTCCTCCTGCTCTCCCTATCCCCCCTGCTCCTGCTCTCCCTATCCCCCCTGCTCCTGCTCTCCCTATCCCCCCTGCTCCTGCTCTCCCTATCCCCCCTGCTCCTGCTCTCCCTATCCCCCCTGCTCCTGCTCTCCCTATCCCCCCTGCTCCTGCTCTCCCTATCCCCCCTGCTCCTGCTCTCCCTATCCCCCCTCCTCCTGCTCTCCCTATCCCCCCTGCTCCTGCTCTCCCTATCCCCCCTGCTCCTGCTCTCCCTATCCCCCCTGCTCCTGCTCACCCTATCCCCCCTGCTCCTGCTCTCCCTATCCCCCCTGCTCCTGCTCTCCCTATCCCCCCTGCTCCTGCTCTCCCTATCCCCCCTGCTCCTGCTCTCCCTATCCCCCCTGCTCCTGCTCACCCTATCCCCCCTGCTCTCCCTATCCCCCCTGCTCCTGCTCCGTTCCTACATTCCCTCCTTCCCCATCTCCCCTGGTCGTCTTGGATTCATCCGTTTCCCCTCTTAATCTCCCTCTGCTCCATCCTCAGTATCTTCCACAACCCCCTCACAGCCGTCAAGGATGACCAAGGCAACGCAGTCGAGCCTGCTCCACCTTCAATCACTCCATCCCCCGCACCACCACCACCACCTGCAGCAGCAGCAACACCACCAGCAGCAGCAGCAACTACAGGCGAAGCCACAACCCAGCAGCCGCCCCACCTCGCCCCATCCTCGCCCTTCTCCCCCACACCCCTCCCGGGCCCCTGGAACAAGCCTCCCCCCATCCCAGGCAGGGCGCCCCTCCCCCCCAGCCTCCCCAAGAACCTGCTCCCCCTGGACTCCGCCTCATTGCCCCCATCCGCCCTGCCACGGGCGTCCTCTGCGCCCATCACGCCTGGGCGCCTGCTCTCGAGCACCTCGAGCCTGTTCAGCAACATGGCCATTGGTCTCTTTCCCGCCTCCCCCATGCCCCTCTCCACGAAAAAGCCTGCTGCTGGTGCTGCTTCAGGTGGTGCCATGTCTGCTTCCTCGTCCATCACTCCGCCTATTTTTGGCCCTTCTCTTTCCAGTCTCCTAGCCCAAAGTCCTCAGGTGAATTCTCAGGTTGGTAAGCGAGATCTGCGATCTGGGTTGTCACTGAATGAAGCTGATTTTGCTGCCCAAAGTCCTCAGGTGGATTTTCAGGCAGGTCAGCGGGACCTGCGGTCGGGGCTGTCTTTGAATGACGCTGGTCTGGCTGTGGGGTCTATTGGGAGGATATCAGAGCGGCAGGAGGAAGAGGAGAACGCCGAAAGGGAGGGGGGAGGAGAGGGGAGGACGAGCTATGGTATCGGCGCTATGGTGCTGGATTCGGCACGCAGTGATGTGGGTGGGGCAACCGCAGCAGCGGGAGAGAGAGGGTCGAATGATGCACAAAACACAGAAGCAATATTTGAGGCGCTTCAGGAAGAGACATCCAATAGAAGCAGCAGCAACAACACAGACACGCCACAGTCCGCCAGACAAAGCAGCGACACCACATCCGCCTCCCTCGCCTCCCCTCCCTCTCCCTCCTCCCTCTCATCCACCCCACCACAACCCCGCACCTCCTTCACACCACCCCCCGCCCATCCCTCTCCCTCGCGGTAACCCAGCAACCGTCCTCCCACTCACCCCCGCCCCTCACCCCACACGAGAAGGCGCTGGACCTGCCAGCGCCCATGGCAGGGCGGCTGGCAGGGGGCCCTCTGGGGCCGCACGAGCACTACAGCTGGCGCCTGTGCTCTGGCGTGCAGCTGCTGGCGCAGGGCAGGATGGACGGAGAGAGGAAGAGAGAAGGAAGAGAGCGGGAGGAGGAGGAGGAGAGGGATGAGGAGGAGGAGGAGAATGTGGGGCAGTTTCTCTATCTGGAGGGGCTTGAGTATATCATGTGGAACACGTGAGTATGCATGTTACTTTCAGATTTTCGCTGTGCATGATACATGAACCAAAGCCTATTATTTCTTTTCACCGTTCCTTTCAGTCACGCTGCTGTCCTTCAACTCCCCAGCCTCACCTCCTTTTCAATCTCCCCAGCCTCACCTCCTTTTCAATCTCCCCAGCCTCACCTCCTTTTTACCATCACCCTTTCCCCTCCCCCGTTCCCTTCCCCTCCCTCTTCCGTTCCCTTTGCCTCTCCCTCTCCTTCACCTCCCCCTCCCACTCATTCCACCCGCATCTCCACCAGCTACGACGTGCATTTCTACGCGTCCTTCGCGCTGCTCGCCCTCTTCCCGCTGCTCGAACTGAGCCTGCAACGGGACTTCGCCGTCAGCACTCTATTGCAGGTACGCTCCTGCCCTGCCCTGCCCTGCCCTGCCCTGCCCTGCCCTGCACTGGAAGCTGCAGCCTGCAGACGCTACCATCTTCCCACGCTGTTTTACTGCATGCCTTCCTCTCTATTCTCTTCTTCCCTTTCTCCCTCCTCTCCCTCATCTCCCACCAGTAGCAGCACATGGTTTGGTCCCTATTGCCAGATCACCAGGCATGAGCAACCTGCCTGGCCGCATGCAGCAAGACCAATCCAACCGACCCCCCCCTCCACCATGCTTGCTTCCTCATTCCGACCCTCTCCCCCCCCCCTTCCCTCTCCCTCTTCCCATGTGTGAAGCAACGGCGCATGACGAGGTTTCTAGCAGACGGAGCTTCAGGGGTGAACAAGACGAGGGGCAGTGTGCCGCACGACCTGGGCTGCCATGACCCGTGGGTCTTCCCCAACGCATACAACATCCATGACACCGCACAGTGGAAAGATCTCAACTGCAAGTTCGTGCTGCAGGTGCGCCCTCGTCTCCCCTCGTCTCCCCTCGTCTCCCCTCGTCTCCCCTCGTCTCCCCTCGTCTCCCCTCGTCTCCCCTCGTCTCCCCTCGTCTCCCCTGCGTCTCCCCTCTGCTCTGCAGTGGAAAGATCTAAGCTGCAGATTGGAGCTGCAGATTCTTCGTCTGGAGCTGCAGATTCTCCTGCGTCTGGAGCTGCAGATTCTCCTGCGTCTGGAGCTGCAGATTCTCCTGCGTCTGGAGCTGCAGATTCTCCTGCGTCTGGAGCTGCAGATTCTCCTGCGTCTGGAGCTGCAGATTCTCCTGCGTCTGGAGCTGCAGATTCTCCTGCGTCTGGAGCTGCAGATTCTCCTGCGTCTGGAGCTGCAGATTCTCCTGCGTCTGGAGCTGCAGATTCTCCTGCGTCTGGAGCTGCAGATTCTCCTGCGTCTGGAGCTGCAGATTCTCCTGCGTCTGGAGCTGCAGATTCTCCTGCGTCTGGAGCTGCAGATTCTCCTGCGTCTGGAGCTGCAGATTCTCCTGCGTCTGGAGCTGCAGATTCTCCTGCGTCTGGAGCTGCAGATTCTCCTGCGTCTGGAGCTGCAGATTCTCCTGCGTCTGGAGCTGCAGATTCTCCTGCGTCTGGAGCTGCAGATTCTCCTGCGTCTGGAGCTGCAGATTCTCCTGCGTCTGGAGCTGCAGATTCTCCTGCGTCTGGAGCTGCAGATTCTCCTGCGTCTGGAGCTGCAGATTCTCCTGCGTCTGGAGCTGCAGATTCTCCTGCGTCTGGAGCTGCAGATTCTCCTGCGTCTGGAGCTGCAGATTCTCCTGCGTCTGGAGCTGCAGATTCTCCTGCGTCTGGAGCTGCAGATTCTCCCGCGTCTGGAGCTGCAGATTCTCCTGCGTCTGGAGCTGCAGATTCTCCTGCGTCTGGAGCTGCAGATTCTCCTGCGTCTGGAGCTGCAGATTCTCCTGCGTCTGGAGCTGCAGATTCTCCCGCGTCTGGAGCTGCAGATTCTCCTGCGTCTGGAGCTGCAGATTCTCCTGCGTCTGGAGCTGCAGATTCTCCTGCGTCTGGAGCTGCAGATTCTCCTGCGTCTGGAGCTGCAGATTCTCCTGCGTCTGGAGCTGCAGATTCTCCCGCGTCTGGAGCTGCAGATTCTCCCGCGTCTGGAGCTGCAGATTCTCCTGCGTCTGGAGCTGCAGATTCTCCTGCGTCTGGAGCTGCAGATTCTCCTGCGTCTGGAGCTGCAGATTCTCCTGCGTCTGGAGCTGCAGATTCTCCTGCGTCTGGAGCTGCAGATTCTCCCGCGTCTGGAGCTGCAGATTCTCCTGCGTCTGGAGCTGCAGATTCTCCTGCGTCTGGAGCTGCAGATTCTCCTGCGTCTGGAGCTGCAGATTCTCCCGCGTCTGGAGCTGCAGATTCTCCTGCGTCTGGAGCTGCAGATTCTCCCGCGTCTGGAGCTGCAGATTCTCCTGCGTCTGGAGCTGCAGATTCTCCTGCGTCTGGAGCTGCAGATTCTCCTGCGTCTGGAGCTGCAGATTCTCCTGCGTCTGGAGCTGCAGATTCTCCTGCGTCTGGAGCTGCAGATTCTCCTGCGTCTGGAGCTGCAGATTCTCCCGCGTCTGGAGCTGCAGATTCTCCTGCGTCTGGAGCTGCAGATTCTCCTGCGTCTGGAGCTGCAGATTCTCCTGCGTCTGGAGCTGCAGATTCTCCTGCGTCTGGAGCTGCAGATTCTCCCGCGTCTGGAGCTGCAGATTCTCCTGCGTCTGGAGCTGCAGATTCTCCCGCGTCTGGAGCTGCAGATTCTCCTGCGTCTGGAGCTGCAGATTCTCCCGCGTCTGGAGCTGCAGATTCTCCTGCGTCTGGAGCTGCAGATTCTCCTGCGTCTGGAGCTGCAGATTCTCCTGCGTCTGGAGCTGCAGATTCTCCCGCGTCTGGAGCTGCAGATTCTCCTGCGTCTGGAGCTGCAGATTCTCCTGCGTCTGGAGCTGCAGATTCTCCTGCGTCTGGAGCTGCAGATTCTCCTGCGTCTGGAGCTGCAGATTCTCCTGCGTCTGGAGCTGCAGATTCTCCTGCGTCTGGAGCTGCAGATTCTCCTGCGTCTGGAGCTGCAGATTCTCCTGCGTCTGGAGCTGCAGATTCTCCTGCGTCTGGAGCTGCAGATTCTCCTGCGTCTGGAGCTGCAGATTCTCCTGCGTCTGGAGCTGCAGATTCTCCCGCGTCTGGAGCTGCAGATTCTCCCGCGTCTGGAGCTGCAGATTCTCCTGCGTCTGGAGCTGCAGATTCTCCTGCGTCTGGAGCTGCAGATTCTCCTGCGTCTGGAGCTGCAGATTCTCCCGCGTCTGGAGCTGCAGATTCTCCTGCGTCTGGAGCTGCAGATTCTCCCGCGTCTGGAGCTGCAGATTCTCCTGCGTCTGGAGCTGCAGATTCTCCTGCGTCTGGAGCTGCAGATTCTCCCGCGTCTGGAGCTGCAGATTCTCCCGCGTCTGGAGCTGCAGATTCTCCCGCGTCTGGAGCTGCAGATTCTCCCGCGTCTGGAGCTGCAGATTCTCCTGCGTCTGGAGCTGCAGATTCTCCTGCGTCTGGAGCTGCAGATTCTCCTGCGTCTGGAGCTGCAGATTCTCCTGCGTCTGGAGCTGCAGATTCTCCCGCGTCTGGAGCTGCAGATTCTCCTGCGTCTGGAGCTGCAGATTCTCCTGCGTCTGGAGCTGCAGATTCTCCTGCGTCTGGAGCTGCAGATTCTCCTGCGTCTGGAGCTGCAGATTCTCCTGCGTCTGGAGCTGCAGATTCTCCTGCGTCTGGAGCTGCAGATTCTCCCGCGTCTGGAGCTGCAGATTCTCCCGCGTCTGGAGCTGCAGATTCTCCTGCGTCTGGAGCTGCAGATTCTCCTGCGTCTGGAGCTGCAGATTCTCCCGCGTCTGGAGCTGCAGATTCTCCTGCGTCTGGAGCTGCAGATTCTCCCGCGTCTGGAGCTGCAGATTCTCCTGCGTCTGGAGCTGCAGATTCTCCTGCGTCTGGAGCTGCAGATTCTCCTGCGTCTGGAGCTGCAGATTCTCCCGCGTCTGGAGCTGCAGATTCTCCTGCGTCTGCAGCTGCAGATTCTCCTGCGTCTGCAGCTGCAGATTCTCCTGCGTCTGGAGCTGCAGATTCTCCTGCGTCTGGAGCTGCAGATTCTCCTGCGTCTGGAGCTGCAGATTCTCCTGCGTCTGGAGCTGCAGATTCTCCTGCGTCTGGAGCTGCAGATTCTCCTGCGTCTGGAGCTGCAGATTCTCCTGCGTCTGGAGCTGCAGATTCTCCTGCGTCTGGAGCTGCAGATTCTCCTGCGTCTGGAGCTGCAGATTCTCCCGCGTCTGGAGCTGCAGATTCTCCCGCGTCTGGAGCTGCAGATTCTCCTGCGTCTGGAGCTGCAGATTCTCCTGCGTCTGGAGCTGCAGATTCTCCTGCGTCTGGAGCTGCAGATTCTCCTGCGTCTGGAGCTGCAGATTCTCCTGCGTCTGGAGCTGCAGATTCTCCTGCGTCTGGAGCTGCAGATTCTCCTGCGTCTGGAGCTGCAGATTCTCCTGCGTCTGGAGCTGCAGATTCTCCTGCGTCTGGAGCTGCAGATTCTCCTGCGTCTGGAGCTGCAGATTCTCCTGCGTCTGGAGCTGCAGATTCTCCTGCGTCTGGAGCTGCAGATTCTCCTGCGTCTGGAGCTGCAGATTCTCCCGCGTCTGGAGCTGCAGATTCTCCTGCGTCTGGAGCTGCAGATTCTCCCGCGTCTGGAGCTGCAGATTCTCCTGCGTCTGGAGCTGCAGATTCTCCTGCGTCTGGAGCTGCAGATTCTCCTGCGTCTGGAGCTGCAGATTCTCCTGCGTCTGGAGCTGCAGATTCTCCTGCGTCTGGAGCTGCAGATTCTCCCGCGTCTGGAGCTGCAGATTCTCCTGCGTCTGGAGCTGCAGATTCTCCTGCGTCTGGAGCTGCAGATTCTCCTGCGTCTGGAGCTGCAGATTCTCCTGCGTCTGGAGCTGCAGATTCTCCTGCGTCTGGAGCTGCAGATTCTCCTGCGTCTGGAGCTGCAGATTCTCCCGCGTCTGGAGCTGCAGATTCTCCTGCGTCTGGAGCTGCAGATTCTCCTGCGTCTGGAGCTGCAGATTCTCCTGCGTCTGGAGCTGCAGATTCTCCTGCGTCTGGAGCTGCAGATTCTCCCGCATCTGCAGCTGCAGATTCTCCCGCGTCTGGAGCTGCAGATTCTCCTGCGTCTGGAGCTGCAGATTCTCCCGCGTCTGGAGCTGCAGATTCTCCCGCGTCTGGAGCTGCAGATTCTCCTGCGTCTGGAGCTGCAGATTCTCCCGCGTCTGGAGCTGCAGATTCTCCTGCGTCTGGAGCTGCAGATTCTCCTGCGTCTGGAGCTGCAGATTCTCCTGCGTCTGGAGCTGCAGATTCTCCTGCGTCTGGAGCTGCAGATTCTCCTGCGTCTGGAGCTGCAGATTCTCCTGCGTCTGGAGCTGCAGATTCTCCTGCGTCTGGAGCTGCAGATTCTCCCGCGTCTGGAGCTGCAGATTCTCCCGCGTCTGGAGCTGCAGATTCTCCTGCGTCTGGAGCTGCAGATTCTCCCGCGTCTGGAGCTGCAGATTCTCCTGCGTCTGGAGCTGCAGATTCTCCCGCGTCTGGAGCTGCAGATTCTCCTGCGTCTGGAGCTGCAGATTCTCCTGCGTCTGGAGCTGCAGATTCTCCTGCGTCTGGAGCTGTAGATTCTCCCGCGTCTGGAGCTGCAGATTCTCCTGCGTCTGGAGCTGCAGATTCTCCTGCGTCTGGAGCTGCAGATTCTCCTGCGTCTGGAGCTGCAGATTCTCCTGCGTCTGGAGCTGCAGATTCTCCTGCGTCTGGAGCTGCAGATTCTCCTGCGTCTGGAGCTGCAGATTCTCCTGCGTCTGGAGCTGCAGATTCTCCTGCGTCTGGAGCTGCAGATTCTCCTGCGTCTGGAGCTGCAGATTCTCCTGCGTCTGGAGCTGCAGATTCTCCTGCGTCTGGAGCTGCAGATTCTCCCGCGTCTGGAGCTGCAGATTCTCCCGCGTCTGGAGCTGCAGATTCTCCTGCGTCTGGAGCTGCAGATTCTCCTGCGTCTGGAGCTGCAGATTCTCCTGCGTCTGGAGCTGCAGATTCTCCTGCGTCTGGAGCTGCAGATTCTCCTGCGTCTGGAGCTGCAGATTCTCCCGCGTCTGGAGCTGCAGATTCTCCTGCGTCTGGAGCTGCAGATTCTCCCGCGTCTGGAGCTGCAGATTCTCCTGCGTCTGGAGCTGCAGATTCTCCTGCGTCTGGAGCTGCAGATTCTCCTGCGTCTGGAGCTGCAGATTCTCCTGCGTCTGGAGCTGCAGATTCTCCCGCGTCTGGAGCTGCAGATTCTCCTGCGTCTGGAGCTGCAGATTCTCCTGCGTCTGGAGCTGCAGATTCTCCTGCGTCTGGAGCTGCAGATTCTCCTGCGTCTGGAGCTGCAGATTCTCCCGCGTCTGGAGCTGCAGATTCTCCTGCGTCTGGAGCTGCAGATTCTCCTGCGTCTGGAGCTGCAGATTCTCCTGCGTCTGGAGCTGCAGATTCTCCTGCGTCTGGAGCTGCAGATTCTCCCGCGTCTGGAGCTGCAGATTCTCCTGCGTCTGGAGCTGCAGATTCTCCTGCGTCTGGAGCTGCAGATTCTCCTGCGTCTGGAGCTGCAGATTCTCCTGCGTCTGGAGCTGCAGATTCTCCCGCGTCTGGAGCTGCAGATTCTCCTGCGTCTGGAGCTGCAGATTCTCCTGCGTCTGGAGCTGCAGATTCTCCTGCGTCTGGAGCTGCAGATTCTCCTGCGTCTGGAGCTGCAGATTCTCCCGCGTCTGGAGCTGCAGATTCTCCTGCGTCTGGAGCTGCAGATTCTCCTGCGTCTGGAGCTGCAGATTCTCCTGCGTCTGGAGCTGCAGATTCTCCTGCGTCTGGAGCTGCAGATTCTCCCGCGTCTGGAGCTGCAGATTCTCCTGCGTCTGGAGCTGCAGATTCTCCTGCGTCTGGAGCTGCAGATTCTCCTGCGTCTGGAGCTGCAGATTCTCCTGCGTCTGGAGCTGCAGATTCTCCTGCGTCTGGAGCTGCAGATTCTCCCGCGTCTGGAGCTGCAGATTCTCCCGCGTCTGGAGCTGCAGATTCTCCTGCGTCTGGAGCTGCAGATTCTCCTGCGTCTGGAGCTGCAGATTCTCCTGCGTCTGGAGCTGCAGATTCTCCTGCGTCTGGAGCTGCAGATTCTCCTGCGTCTGGAGCTGCAGATTCTCCCGCGTCTGGAGCTGCAGATTCTCCTGCGTCTGGAGCTGCAGATTCTCCTGCGTCTGGAGCTGCAGATTCTCCTGCGTCTGGAGCTGCAGATTCTCCCGCGTCTGGAGCTGCAGATTCTCCTGCGTCTGGAGCTGCAGATTCTCCCGCGTCTGGAGCTGCAGATTCTCCTGCGTCTGGAGCTGCAGATTCTCCTGCGTCTGGAGCTGCAGATTCTCCCGCGTCTGGAGCTGCAGATTCTCCTGCGTCTGGAGCTGCAGATTCTCCTGCGTCTGGAGCTGCAGATTCTCCTGCGTCTGGAGCTGCAGATTCTCCTGCGTCTGGAGCTGCAGATTCTCCTGCGTCTGGAGCTGCAGATTCTCCCGCGTCTGGAGCTGCAGATTCTCCTGCGTCTGGAGCTGCAGATTCTCCTGCGTCTGGAGCTGCAGATTCTCCTGCGTCTGGAGCTGCAGATTCTCCTGCGTCTGGAGCTGCAGATTCTCCCGCGTCTGGAGCTGCAGATTCTCCTGCGTCTGGAGCTGCAGATTCTCCTGCGTCTGGAGCTGCAGATTCTCCTGCGTCTGGAGCTGCAGATTCTCCTGCGTCTGGAGCTGCAGATTCTCCCGCGTCTGGAGCTGCAGATTCTCCTGCGTCTGGAGCTGCAGATTCTCCTGCGTCTGGAGCTGCAGATTCTCCTGCGTCTGGAGCTGCAGATTCTCCTGCGTCTGGAGCTGCAGATTCTCCCGCGTCTGGAGCTGCAGATTCTCCCGCGTCTGGAGCTGCAGATTCTCCCGCGTCTGGAGCTGCAGATTCTCCTGCGTCTGGAGCTGCAGATTCTCCCGCGTCTGGAGCTGCAGATTCTCCTGCGTCTGGAGCTGCAGATTCTCCTGCGTCTGGAGCTGCAGATTCTCCTGCGTCTGGAGCTGCAGATTCTCCCGCGTCTGGAGCTGCAGATTCTCCTGCGTCTGGAGCTGCAGATTCTCCTGCGTCTGGAGCTGCAGATTCTCCTGCGTCTGGAGCTGCAGATTCTCCTGCGTCTGGAGCTGCAGATTCTCCTGCGTCTGGAGCTGCAGATTCTCCTGCGTCTGGAGCTGCAGATTCTCCTGCGTCTGGAGCTGCAGATTCTCCTGCGTCTGGAGCTGCAGATTCTCCTGCGTCTGGAGCTGCAGATTCTCCTGCGTCTGGAGCTGCAGATTCTCCTGCGTCTGGAGCTGCAGATTCTCCCGCGTCTGGAGCTGCAGATTCTCCCGCGTCTGGAGCTGCAGATTCTCCTGCGTCTGGAGCTGCAGATTCTCCTGCGTCTGGAGCTGCAGATTCTCCTGCGTCTGGAGCTGCAGATTCTCCCGCGTCTGGAGCTGCAGATTCTCCTGCGTCTGGAGCTGCAGATTCTCCCGCGTCTGGAGCTGCAGATTCTCCTGCGTCTGGAGCTGCAGATTCTCCTGCGTCTGGAGCTGCAGATTCTCCCGCGTCTGGAGCTGCAGATTCTCCCGCGTCTGGAGCTGCAGATTCTCCCGCGTCTGGAGCTGCAGATTCTCCCGCGTCTGGAGCTGCAGATTCTCCTGCGTCTGGAGCTGCAGATTCTCCTGCGTCTGGAGCTGCAGATTCTCCTGCGTCTGGAGCTGCAGATTCTCCTGCGTCTGGAGCTGCAGATTCTCCCGCGTCTGGAGCTGCAGATTCTCCTGCGTCTGGAGCTGCAGATTCTCCTGCGTCTGGAGCTGCAGATTCTCCTGCGTCTGGAGCTGCAGATTCTCCTGCGTCTGGAGCTGCAGATTCTCCTGCGTCTGGAGCTGCAGATTCTCCTGCGTCTGGAGCTGCAGATTCTCCCGCGTCTGGAGCTGCAGATTCTCCCGCGTCTGGAGCTGCAGATTCTCCTGCGTCTGGAGCTGCAGATTCTCCTGCGTCTGGAGCTGCAGATTCTCCCGCGTCTGGAGCTGCAGATTCTCCTGCGTCTGGAGCTGCAGATTCTCCCGCGTCTGGAGCTGCAGATTCTCCTGCGTCTGGAGCTGCAGATTCTCCTGCGTCTGGAGCTGCAGATTCTCCTGCGTCTGGAGCTGCAGATTCTCCCGCGTCTGGAGCTGCAGATTCTCCTGCGTCTGGAGCTGCAGATTCTCCTGCGTCTGGAGCTGCAGATTCTCCTGCGTCTGGAGCTGCAGATTCTCCTGCGTCTGGAGCTGCAGATTCTCCTGCGTCTGGAGCTGCAGATTCTCCTGCGTCTGGAGCTGCAGATTCTCCTGCGTCTGGAGCTGCAGATTCTCCTGCGTCTGGAGCTGCAGATTCTCCTGCGTCTGGAGCTGCAGATTCTCCTGCGTCTGGAGCTGCAGATTCTCCTGCGTCTGGAGCTGCAGATTCTCCTGCGTCTGGAGCTGCAGATTCTCCCGCGTCTGGAGCTGCAGATTCTCCTGCGTCTGGAGCTGCAGATTCTCCCGCGTCTGGAGCTGCAGATTCTCCTGCGTCTGGAGCTGCAGATTCTCCCGCGTCTGGAGCTGCAGATTCTCCTGCGTCTGGAGCTGCAGATTCTCCTGCGTCTGGAGCTGCAGATTCTCCTGCGTCTGGAGCTGCAGATTCTCCTGCGTCTGGAGCTGCAGATTCTCCTGCGTCTGGAGCTGCAGATTCTCCTGCGTCTGGAGCTGCAGATTCTCCCGCGTCTGGAGCTGCAGATTCTCCTGCGTCTGGAGCTGCAGATTCTCCTGCGTCTGGAGCTGCAGATTCTCCTGCGTCTGGAGCTGCAGATTCTCCTGCGTCTGGAGCTGCAGATTCTCCCGCGTCTGGAGCTGCAGATTCTCCCGCGTCTGGAGCTGCAGATTCTCCTGCGTCTGGAGCTGCAGATTCTCCCGCGTCTGGAGCTGCAGATTCTCCCGCGTCTGGAGCTGCAGATTCTCCTGCGTCTGGAGCTGCAGATTCTCCCGCGTCTGGAGCTGCAGATTCTCCTGCGTCTGGAGCTGCAGATTCTCCTGCGTCTGGAGCTGCAGATTCTCCTGCGTCTGGAGCTGCAGATTCTCCTGCGTCTGGAGCTGCAGATTCTCCTGCGTCTGGAGCTGCAGATTCTCCCGCGTCTGGAGCTGCAGATTCTCCCGCGTCTGGAGCTGCAGATTCTCCTGCGTCTGGAGCTGCAGATTCTCCCGCGTCTGGAGCTGCAGATTCTCCTGCGTCTGGAGCTGCAGATTCTCCTGCGTCTGGAGCTGCAGATTCTCCTGCGTCTGGAGCTGCAGATTCTCCTGCGTCTGGAGCTGCAGATTCTCCCGCGTCTGGAGCTGCAGATTCTCCTGCGTCTGGAGCTGCAGATTCTCCCGCGTCTGGAGCTGCAGATTCTCCTGCGTCTGGAGCTGCAGATTCTCCTGCGTCTGGAGCTGCAGATTCTCCTGCGTCTGGAGCTGCAGATTCTCCTGCGTCTGGAGCTGCAGATTCTCCTGCGTCTGGAGCTGCAGATTCTCCTGCGTCTGGAGCTGCAGATTCTCCCGCGTCTGGAGCTGCAGATTCTCCTGCGTCTGGAGCTGCAGATTCTCCTGCGTCTGGAGCTGCAGATTCTCCCGCGTCTGGAGCTGCAGATTCTCCCGCGTCTGGAGCTGCAGATTCTCCTGCGTCTGGAGCTGCAGATTCTCCTGCGTCTGGAGCTGCAGATTCTCCTGCGTCTGGAGCTGCAGATTCTCCTGCGTCTGGAGCTGCAGATTCTCCTGCGTCTGGAGCTGCAGATTCTCCTGCGTCTGGAGCTGCAGATTCTCCTGCGTCTGGAGCTGCAGATTCTCCTGCGTCTGGAGCTGCAGATTCTCCTGCGTCTGGAGCTGCAGATTCTCCTGCGTCTGGAGCTGCAGATTCTCCCGCGTCTGGAGCTGCAGATTCTCCCGCGTCTGGAGCTGCAGATTCTCCCGCGTCTGGAGCTGCAGATTCTCCCGCGTCTGGAGCTGCAGATTCTCCTGCGTCTGGAGCTGCAGATTCTCCTGCGTCTGGAGCTGCAGATTCTCCTGCGTCTGGAGCTGCAGATTCTCCTGCGTCTGGAGCTGCAGATTCTCCTGCGTCTGGAGCTGCAGATTCTCCTGCGTCTGGAGCTGCAGATTCTCCCGCGTCTGGAGCTGCAGATTCTCCCGCGTCTGGAGCTGCAGATTCTCCTGCGTCTGGAGCTGCAGATTCTCCTGCGTCTGGAGCTGCAGATTCTCCTGCGTCTGGAGCTGCAGATTCTCCTGCGTCTGGAGCTGCAGATTCTCCCGCGTCTGGAGCTGCAGATTCTCCCGCGTCTGGAGCTGCAGATTCTCCCGCGTCTGGAGCTGCAGATTCTCCTGCGTCTGGAGCTGCAGATTCTCCTGCGCCTGGAGCTGCAGATTCTCCTGCGTCTGGAGCTGCAGATTCTCCTGCGTCTGGAGCTGCAGATTCTCCTGCGTCTGGAGCTGCAGATTCTCCTGCGTCTGGAGCTGCAGATTCTCCTGCGTCTGGAGCTGCAGATTCTCCTGCGTCTGGAGCTGCAGATTCTCCTGCGTCTGGAGCTGCAGATTCTCCTGCGTCTGGAGCTGCAGATTCTCCTGCGTCTGGAGCTGCAGATTCTCCTGCGTCTGGAGCTGCAGATTCTCCTGCGTCTGGAGCTGCAGATTCTCCCGCGTCTGGAGCTGCAGATTCTCCCGCGTCTGGAGCTGCAGATTCTCCCGCGTCTGGAGCTGCAGATTCTCCTGCGTCTGGAGCTGCAGATTCTCCTGCGTCTGGAGCTGCAGATTCTCCTGCGTCTGGAGCTGCAGATTCTCCCGCGTCTGGAGCTGCAGATTCTCCCGCGTCTGGAGCTGCAGATTCTCCCGCGTCTGGAGCTGCAGATTCTCCTGCGTCTGGAGCTGCAGATTCTCCTGCGTCTGGAGCTGCAGATTCTCCTGCGTCTGGAGCTGCAGATTCTCCCGCGTCTGGAGCTGCAGATTCTCCCGCGTCTGGAGCTGCAGATTCTCCCGCGTCTGGAGCTGCAGATTCTCCTGCGTCTGGAGCTGCAGATTCTCCTGCGTCTGGAGCTGCAGATTCTCCTGCGTCTGGAGCTGCAGATTCTCCTGCGTCTGGAGCTGCAGATTCTCCTGCGTCTGGAGCTGCAGATTCTCCCGCGTCTGGAGCTGCAGATTCTCCCGCGTCTGGAGCTGCAGATTCTCCTGCGTCTGGAGCTGCAGATTCTCCTGCGTCTGGAGCTGCAGATTCTCCCGCGTCTGGAGCTGCAGATTCTCCCGCGTCTGGAGCTGCAGATTCTCCTGCGTCTGGAGCTGCAGATTCTCCCGCGTCTGGAGCTGCAGATTCTCCTGCGTCTGGAGCTGCAGATTCTCCTGCGTCTGGAGCTGCAGATTCTCCTGCGTCTGGAGCTGCAGATTCTCCTGCGTCTGGAGCTGCAGATTCTCCTGCGTCTGGAGCTGCAGATTCTCCTGCGTCTGGAGCTGCAGATTCTCCTGCGTCTGGAGCTGCAGATTCTCCCGCGTCTGGAGCTGCAGATTCTCCCGCGTCTGGAGCTGCAGATTCTCCTGCGTCTGGAGCTGCAGATTCTCCTGCGTCTGGAGCTGCAGATTCTCCTGCGTCTGGAGCTGCAGATTCTCCCGCGTCTGGAGCTGCAGATTCTCCCGCGTCTGGAGCTGCAGATTCTCCCGCGTCTGGAGCTGCAGATTCTCCTGCGTCTGGAGCTGCAGATTCTCCTGCGTCTGGAGCTGCAGATTCTCCTGCGTCTGGAGCTGCAGATTCTCCCGCGTCTGGAGCTGCAGATTCTCCTGCGTCTGGAGCTGCAGATTCTCCTGCGTCTGGAGCTGCAGATTCTCCTGCGTCTGGAGCTGCAGATTCTCCTGCGTCTGGAGCTGCAGATTCTCCCGCGTCTGCAGCTGCAGATTCTCCTGCATCTGGAGCTGCACTGCGTCTGGAGCTGCAGATTCTCCCGCGTCTGGAGCTGCAGATTCTCCTGCGTCTGGAGCTGCAGATTCTCCTGCGTCTGGAGCTGCAGATTCTCCTGCGTCTGGAGCTGCAGATTCTCCTGCGTCTGGAGCTGCAGATTCTCCTGCGTCTGGAGCTGCAGATTCTCCCGCGTCTGGAGCTGCAGATTCTCCTGCGTCTGGAGCTGCAGATTCTCCTGCGTCTGGAGCTGCAGATTCTCCTGCGTCTGGAGCTGCAGATTCTCCTGCGTCTGGAGCTGCAGATTCTCCCGCGTCTGGAGCTGCAGATTCTCCCGCGTCTGGAGCTGCAGATTCTCCTGCGTCTGGAGCTGCAGATTCTCCTGCGTCTGGAGCTGCAGATTCTCCTGCGTCTGGAGCTGCAGATTCTCCTGCGTCTGGAGCTGCAGATTCTCCTGCGTCTGGAGCTGCAGATTCTCCTGCGTCTGGAGCTGCAGATTCTCCTGCGTCTGGAGCTGCAGATTCTCCCGCGTCTGGAGCTGCAGATTCTCCCGCGTCTGGAGCTGCAGATTCTCCTGCGTCTGGAGCTGCAGATTCTCCTGCGTCTGGAGCTGCAGATTCTCCTGCGTCTGGAGCTGCAGATTCTCCTGCGTCTGGAGCTGCAGATTCTCCTGCGTCTGGAGCTGCAGATTCTCCTGCGTCTGCAGCACCTGCAGATTCTCCTGCGTCTGCAGCAGCTGCAGATTCTCCCGCGTCTGGAGCTGCAGATTCTCCTGCGTCTGGAGCTGCAGATTCTCCTGCGTCTGGAGCTGCAGATTCTCCCGCGTCTGGAGCTGCAGATTCTCCCGCGTCTGGAGCTGCAGATTCTCCTGCGTCTGGAGCTGCAGATTCTCCTGCGTCTGGAGCTGCAGATTCTCCTGCGTCTGGAGCTGCAGATTCTCCTGCGTCTGGAGCTGCAGATTCTCCTGCGTCTGGAGCTGCAGATTCTCCTGCGTCTGGAGCTGCAGATTCTCCTGCGTCTGGAGCTGCAGATTCTCCTGCGTCTGGAGCTCAGATTCTCCTGCGTTTGGAGCTGCAGATTCTCCCGCACCTGGAGCTGTAGATTCTCCCGCGTCTGGAGCTGCAGATTCTCCTGCGTCTGGAGCTGCAGATTCTCCTGCGTCTGGAGCTGCAGATTCTCCCGCGTCTGGAGCTGCAGATTCTCCCGCGTCTGGAGCTGCAGATTCTCCTGCGTCTGGAGCTGCAGATTCTCCTGCGTCTGGAGCTGCAGATTCTCCTGCGTCTGGAGCTGCAGATTCTCCTGCGTCTGGAGCTGCAGATTCTCCTGCGTCTGGAGCTGCAGATTCTCCTGCGTCTGGAGCTGCAGATTCTCCCGCGTCTGGAGCTGCAGATTCTCCTGCGTCTGGAGCTGCAGATTCTCCTGCGTCTGGAGCTGCAGATTCTCCTGCGTCTGGAGCTGCAGATTCTCCCGCGTCTGGAGCTGCAGATTCTCCTGCGTCTGGAGCTGCAGATTCTCCTGCGTCTGGAGCTGCAGATTCTCCTGCGTCTGGAGCTGCAGATTCTCCTGCGTCTGGAGCTGCAGATTCTCCTGCGTCTGGAGCTGCAGATTCTCCTGCGTCTGGAGCTGCAGATTCTCCTGCGTCTGGAGCTGCAGATTCTCCTGCGTCTGGAGCTGCAGATTCTCCTGCGTCTGGAGCTGCAGATTCTCCCGCGTCTGGAGCTGCAGATTCTCCTGCGTCTGGAGCTGCAGATTCTCCTGCGTCTGGAGCTGCAGATTCTCCTGCGTCTGGAGCTGCAGATTCTCCTGCGTCTGGAGCTGCAGATTCTCCTGCGCCTGGAGCTGCAGATTCTCCTGCGTCTGGAGCTGCAGATTCTCCCGCGTCTGGAGCTGCAGATTCTCCTGCGTCTGGAGCTGCAGATTCTCCTGCGTCTGGAGCTGCAGATTCTCCTGCGTCTGGAGCTGCAGATTCTCCTGCGCCTGGAGCTGCAGATTCTCCTGCGTCTGGAGCTGCAGATTCTCCTGCGTCTGGAGCTGCAGATTCTCCTGCGTCTGGAGCTGCAGATTCTCCTGCGTCTGGAGCTGCAGATTCTCCTGCGTCTGGAGCTGCAGATTCTCCCGCGTCTGGAGCTGCAGATTCTCCTGCGTCTGGAGCTGCAGATTCTCCCGCGTCTGGAGCTGCAGATTCTCCCGCGTCTGGAGCTGCAGATTCTCCCGCGTCTGGAGCTGCAGATTCTCCTGCGTCTGGAGCTGCAGATTCTCCTGCGTCTGGAGCTGCAGATTCTCCTGCGTCTGGAGCTGCAGATTCTCCTGCGTCTGGAGCTGCAGATTCTCCTGCGCCTGGAGCTGCAGATTCTCCTGCGTCTGGAGCTGCAGATTCTCCTGCGTCTGGAGCTGCAGATTCTCCCGCGTCTGGAGCTGCAGATTCTCCTGCGTCTGGAGCTGCAGATTCTCCTGCGTCTGGAGCTGCAGATTCTCCTGCGTCTGGAGCTGCAGATTCTCCCGCGTCTGGAGCTGCAGATTCTCCCGCGTCTGGAGCTGCAGATTCTCCTGCGTCTGGAGCTGCAGATTCTCCTGCGTCTGGAGCTGCAGATTCTCCTGCATCCGGAGCTGCAGATTCTCCCGCGTCTGGAGCTGCAGATTCTCCTGCGTTTGGAGCTGCAGATTCTCCCGCGCCTGGAGCTGCAGATGCTCCTGTGTCTGGAGCTGCAGATTCTCCTGCGTCTGGAGCTGCAGATTCTCCTGCGTCTGGAGCTGCAGATTCTCCCGCGTCTGGAGCTGCAGATTCTCCCACATCTTCATCAGCAGATTCTCCTGCGTCTGGAGCTGCAGATTCTCCCGCGTCTGGAGCTGCAGATTCTCCTGCGTCTGGAGCTGCAGATGCTCCTGTGTCTGGAGCTGCAGATTCTCCTGCGTCTGGAGCTGCAGATTCTCCTGCGTCTGGAGCTGCAGATTCTCCTGCGTCTGGAGCTGCAGATTCTCCTGCGTCTGGAGCTGCAGATTCTCCTGCGTCTGGAGCTGCAGATTCTCCTGCGCCTGGAGCTGCAGATTCTCCTGCGTCTGGAGCTGCAGATTCTCCTGCGTCTGGAGCTGCAGATTCTCCTGCGTCTGGAGCTGCAGATTCTCCTGCGTCTGGAGCTGCAGATTCTCCCGCGTCTGGAGCTGCAGATTCTCCTGCGTCTGGAGCTGCAGATTCTCCCGCGTCTGGAGCTGCAGATTCTCCCGCGTCTGGAGCTGCAGATTCTCCTGCGTCTGGAGCTGCAGATTCTCCTGCGTCTGGAGCTGCAGATTCTCCTGCGTCTGGAGCTGCAGATTCTCCTGCGTCTGGAGCTGCAGATTCTCCTGCGTCTGGAGCTGCAGATTCTCCTGCGTCTGCAGCTGCAGATTCTCCTGCTTCCGGAGCTGCAGATTCTCCCGCGTCTGGAGCTGCAGATTCTCCTGCGTCTGGAGCTGCAGATTCTCCTGCATCCGGAGCTGCAGATTCTCCCGCGTCTGGAGCTGCAGATTCTCCTGCATCCGGAGCTGCAGATTCTCCCGCGCCTGGAGCTGCAGATGCTCCTGTGTCTGGAGCTGCAGATTCTCCTGCGTCTGGAGCTGCAGATTCTCCTGCGTCTGGAGCTGCAGATTCTCCTGCATTCGGAGCTGCAGATTCTCCCGCGTCTGGAGCTGCAGATTCTCCTGCGTTTGGAGCTGCAGATTCTCCCGCGCCTGGAGCTGCAGATGCTCCTGTGTCTGGAGCTGCAGATTCTCCCGCGTCTGGAGCTGCAGATTCTCCTGCGTCTGGAGCTGCAGATTCTCCCGCGTCTGGAGCTGCAGATTCTCCTGCGTCTGGAGCTGCAGATTCTCCTGCATCCGGAGCTGCAGATTCTCCCGCGTCTGGAGCTGCAGATTCTCCTGCATCCGGAGCTGCAGATTCTCCCGCGCCTGGAGCTGCAGATGCTCCTGTGTCTGGAGCTGCAGATTCTCCTGCGTCTGGAGCTGCAGATTCTCCTGCGTCTGGAGCTGCAGATTCTCCTGCATCCGGAGCTGCAGATTCTCCTGCGCCTGGAGCTGCAGATTCTCCTGCGTTTGGAGCTGCAGATTCTCCCGCGCCTGGAGCTGCAGATGCTCCTGTGTCTGGAGCTGCAGATTCTCCCGCGTCTGGAGCTGCAGATTCTCCTGCGTCTGGAGCTGCAGATTCTCCTGCGTCTGGAGCTGCAGATTCTCCTGCGTCTGGAGCTGCAGATTCTCCCGCGTCTGGAGCTGCAGATTCTCCTGCGTCTGGAGCTGCAGATTCTCCTGCGTCTGGAGCTGCAGATTCTCCTGCGTCTGGAGCTGCAGATGCTCCTGTGTCTGGAGCTGCAGATTCTCCTGCGTCTGGAGCTGCAGATTCTCCCGCGTCTGGAGCTGCAGATTCTCCTGCGTTTGGAGCTGCAGATTCTCCCGCGCCTGGAGCTGCAGATGCTCCTGTGTCTGGAGCTGCAGATTCTCCTGCGTCTGGAGCTGCAGATTCTCCTGCGTCTGGAGCTGCAGATTCTCCTGCATTCGGAGCTGCAGATTCTCCCGCGTCTGGAGCTGCAGATTCTCCTGCGTTTGGAGCTGCAGATTCTCCCGCGCCTGGAGCTGCAGATGCTCCTGTGTCTGGAGCTGCAGATTCTCCCGCGTCTGGAGCTGCAGATTCTCCTGCGTCTGGAGCTGCAGATGCTCCTGTGTCTGGAGCTGCAGATTCTCCCGCGTCTGGAGCTGCAGATTCTCCTGCGTCTGGAGCTGCAGATTCTCCCGCGTCTGGAGCTGCAGATTCTCCTGCGTCTGGAGCTGCAGATTCTCCTGCATCCGGAGCTGCAGATTCTCCCGCGTCTGGAGCTGCAGATTCTCCTGCATCCGGAGCTGCAGATTCTCCCGCGCCTGGAGCTGCAGATGCTCCTGTGTCTGGAGCTGCAGATTCTCCTGCGTCTGGAGCTGCAGATTCTCCTGCGTCTGGAGCTGCAGATTCTCCTGCATTCGGAGCTGCAGATTCTCCCGCGTCTGGAGCTGCAGATTCTCCTGCGTTTGGAGCTGCAGATTCTCCCGCGCCTGGAGCTGCAGATGCTCCTGTGTCTGGAGCTGCAGATTCTCCCGCGTCTGGAGCTGCAGATTCTCCTGCGTCTGGAGCTGCAGATTCTCCCGCGTCTGGAGCTGCAGATTCTCCTGCGTCTGGAGCTGCAGATTCTCCCGCGTCTGGAGCTGCAGATTCTCCCACATCTTCATCAGCAGATTCTCCTGCGTCTGGAGCTGCAGATTCTCCCGCGTCTGGAGCTGCAGATTCTCCTGCGTCTGGAGCTGCAGATGCTCCTGTGTCTGGAGCTGCAGATTCTCCTGCGTCTGGAGCTGCAGATTCTCCTGCGTCTGGAGCTGCAGATTCTCCTGCGTCTGGAGCTGCAGATTCTCCTGCGTCTGGAGCTGCAGATTCTCCTGCGTCTGGAGCTGCAGATTCTCCTGCGCCTGGAGCTGCAGATTCTCCTGCGTTTGGAGCTGCAGATTCTCCCGCGCCTGGAGCTGCAGATGCTCCTGTGTCTGGAGCTGCAGATTCTCCCGCGTCTGGAGCTGCAGATTCTCCTGCGTCTGGAGCTGCAGATTCTCCTGCGTCTGGAGCTGCAGATTCTCCTGCGTCTGGAGCTGCAGATTCTCCCGCGTCTGGAGCTGCAGATTCTCCTGCGTCTGGAGCTGCAGATTCTCCTGCGTCTGGAGCTGCAGATTCTCCTGCGTCTGGAGCTGCAGATGCTCCTGTGTCTGGAGCTGCAGATTCTCCTGCGTCTGGAGCTGCAGATTCTCCCGCGTCTGGAGCTGCAGATTCTCCTGCGTTTGGAGCTGCAGATTCTCCCACGCCTGGAGCTGCAGATGCTCCTGTGTCTGGAGCTGCAGATTCTCCTGCGTCTGGAGCTGCAGATTCTCCTGCGTCTGGAGCTGCAGATTCTCCTGCATTCGGAGCTGCAGATTCTCCCGCGTCTGGAGCTGCAGATTCTCCTGCGTTTGGAGCTGCAGATTCTCCCGCGCCTGGAGCTGCAGATGCTCCTGTGTCTGGAGCTGCAGATTCTCCTGCGTCTGGAGCTGCAGATTCTCCTGCGTCTGGAGCTGCAGATTCTCCCGCGTCTGGAGCTGCAGATTCTCCCACATCTTCATCAGCAGATTCTCCTGCGTCTGGAGCTGCAGATTCTCCCGCGTCTGGAGCTGCAGATTCTCCTGCGTCTGGAGCTGCAGATGCTCCTGTGTCTGGAGCTGCAGATTCTCCTGCGTCTGGAGCTGCAGATTCTCCTGCGTCTGGAGCTGCAGATTCTCCTGCGTCTGGAGCTGCAGATTCTCCTGCGTCTGGAGCTGCAGATTCTCCTGCGTCTGGAGCTGCAGATTCTCCTGCGTCTGGAGCTGCAGATTCTCCTGCGCCTGGAGCTGCAGATTCTCCTGCGTCTGGAGCTGCAGATTCTCCTGCGTCTGGAGCTGCAGATTCTCCTGCGTCTGGAGCTGCAGATTCTCCTGCGTCTGGAGCTGCAGATTCTCCCGCGTCTGGAGCTGCAGATTCTCCTGCGTCTGGAGCTGCAGATTCTCCCGCGTCTGGAGCTGCAGATTCTCCCGCGTCTGGAGCTGCAGATTCTCCTGCGTCTGGAGCTGCAGATTCTCCTGCGTCTGGAGCTGCAGATTCTCCTGCGTCTGGAGCTGCAGATTCTCCTGCGTCTGGAGCTGCAGATTCTCCTGCGTCTGGAGCTGCAGATTCTCCTGCGTCTGCAGCTGCAGATTCTCCTGCTTCCGGAGCTGCAGATTCTCCCGCGTCTGGAGCTGCAGATTCTCCTGCGTCTGGAGCTGCAGATTCTCCTGCATCCGGAGCTGCAGATTCTCCCGCGTCTGGAGCTGCAGATTCTCCTGCATCCGGAGCTGCAGATTCTCCCGCGCCTGGAGCTGCAGATGCTCCTGTGTCTGGAGCTGCAGATTCTCCTGCGTCTGGAGCTGCAGATTCTCCTGCGTCTGGAGCTGCAGATTCTCCTGCATCCGGAGCTGCAGATTCTCCTGCGCCTGGAGCTGCAGATTCTCCTGCGTTTGGAGCTGCAGATTCTCCCGCGCCTGGAGCTGCAGATGCTCCTGTGTCTGGAGCTGCAGATTCTCCCGCGTCTGGAGCTGCAGATTCTCCTGCGTCTGGAGCTGCAGATTCTCCTGCGTCTGGAGCTGCAGATTCTCCTGCGTCTGGAGCTGCAGATTCTCCCGCGTCTGGAGCTGCAGATTCTCCTGCGTCTGGAGCTGCAGATTCTCCTGCGTCTGGAGCTGCAGATTCTCCTGCGTCTGGAGCTGCAGATGCTCCTGTGTCTGGAGCTGCAGATTCTCCTGCGTCTGGAGCTGCAGATTCTCCCGCGTCTGGAGCTGCAGATTCTCCTGCGTTTGGAGCTGCAGATTCTCCCGCGCCTGGAGCTGCAGATGCTCCTGTGTCTGGAGCTGCAGATTCTCCTGCGTCTGGAGCTGCAGATTCTCCTGCGTCTGGAGCTGCAGATTCTCCTGCATTCGGAGCTGCAGATTCTCCCGCGTCTGGAGCTGCAGATTCTCCTGCGTTTGGAGCTGCAGATTCTCCCGCGCCTGGAGCTGCAGATGCTCCTGTGTCTGGAGCTGCAGATTCTCCCGCGTCTGGAGCTGCAGATTCTCCTGCGTCTGGAGCTGCAGATTCTCCTGCGTCTGGAGCTGCAGATTCTCCTGCGTCTGGAGCTCCAGATGCTCCTGTGTCTGGAGCTGCAGATTCTCCTGCGTCTGGAGCTGCAGATTCTCCTGCATTCGGAGCTGCAGATTCTCCCGCGTCTGGAGCTGCAGATTCTCCTGCGTCTGGAGCTGCAGATTCTCCCGCGTCTGGAGCTGCAGATTCTCCCGCGTCTGGAGCTGCAGATTCTCCTGCGTCTGGAGCTGCAGATTCTCCTGCGCCTGGAGCTGCAGATTCTCCTGCGTCTGGAGCTGCAGATTCTCCTGCGTCTGGAGCTGCAGATTCTCCCGCGTCTGGAGCTGCAGATTCTCCCACATCTTCAGCTGCAGATTCTCCTGCGTCTGGAGCTGCAGATTCTCCTGCGCCTGGAGCTGCAGATTCTCCTGCGTCTGGAGCTGCAGATTCTCCCGCGTCTGGAGCTGCAGATTCTCCTGCGTCTGGAGCTGCAGATTCTCCTGCGTCTGGAGCTGCAGATTCTCCTGCGTCTGGAGCTGCAGATTCTCCCGCGTCTGGAGCTGCAGATTCTCCTGCGTCTGGAGCTGCAGATTCTCCTGCGTCTGGAGCTGCAGATTCTCCTGCGTCTAGAGCTGCAGATTTTCCCACATCTTCAGCAGCAGATTCTCCTGCGTCTGGAGCTGCAGATTCTCCTGCGCCTGGAGCTGCAGATTCTCCTGCGTCTGGAGCTGCAGATTCTCCTGCGTCTGGAGCTGCAGATTCTCCCGCGTCTGGAGCTGCAGATTCTCCCGCGTCTGGAGCTGCAGATTCTCCTGCGTCTGGAGCTGCAGATTCTCCCACATCTTCAGCAGCAGATTCTCCTGCGTCTGGAGCTGCAGATTCTCCTGCGCCTGGAGCTGCAGATTCTCCTGCGTCTGGAGCTGCAGATTCTCCTGCGTCTGGAGCTGCAGATGCTCCTGTGTCTGGAGCTGCAGATTCTCCTGCGTCTGGAGCTGCAGATTCTCCCGCGTCTGGAGCTGCAGATTCTCCTGCGTTTGGAGCTGCAGATTCTCCCGCGCCTGGAGCTGCAGATGCTCCTGTGTCTGGAGCTGCAGATTCTCCTGCGTCTGGAGCTGCAGATTCTCCTGCGTCTGGAGCTGCAGATTCTCCTGCATTCGGAGCTGCAGATTCTCCCGCGTCTGGAGCTGCAGATTCTCCTGCGTTTGGAGCTGCAGATTCTCCCGCGCCTGGAGCTGCAGATGCTCCTGTGTCTGGAGCTGCAGATTCTCCCGCGTCTGGAGCTGCAGATTCTCCTGCGTCTGGAGCTGCAGATTCTCCTGCGTCTGGAGCTGCAGATTCTCCTGCGTCTGGAGCTCCAGATGCTCCTGTGTCTGGAGCTGCAGATTCTCCTGCGTCTGGAGCTGCAGATTCTCCTGCATTCGGAGCTGCAGATTCTCCCGCGTCTGGAGCTGCAGATTCTCCTGCGTCTGGAGCTGCAGATTCTCCCGCGTCTGGAGCTGCAGATTCTCCCGCGTCTGGAGCTGCAGATTCTCCTGCGTCTGGAGCTGCAGATTCTCCTGCGCCTGGAGCTGCAGATTCTCCTGCGTCTGGAGCTGCAGATTCTCCTGCGTCTGGAGCTGCAGATTCTCCCGCGTCTGGAGCTGCAGATTCTCCCACATCTTCAGCTGCAGATTCTCCTGCGTCTGGAGCTGCAGATTCTCCTGCGCCTGGAGCTGCAGATTCTCCTGCGTCTGGAGCTGCAGATTCTCCCGCGTCTGGAGCTGCAGATTCTCCTGCGTCTGGAGCTGCAGATTCTCCTGCGTCTGGAGCTGCAGATTCTCCTGCGTCTGGAGCTGCAGATTCTCCCGCGTCTGGAGCTGCAGATTCTCCTGCGTTTGGAGCTGAAGTTTCTCCTGCGTCTGGAGCTGCAGATTCTCCTGCGTCTGGAGCTGCAGATTCTCCTGCGTCTAGAGCTGCAGATTTTCCCACATCTTCAGCAGCAGATTCTCCTACGTCTGGAGCTGCAGATTGCAGATTCTCCTGCATTCGGAGCTGCAGATTCTCCCGCGTCTGGAGCTGCAGATTCTCCTGCGTTTGAAGCTGCAGATTCTCCCGCGCCTGGAGCTGCAGATGCTCCTGTGTCTGGAGCTGCAGATTCTCCCGCGTCTGGAGCTGCAGACTCTTTCGCGTCTGGAGCTGCAGATTCTCCTGCGTCTGGAGCTGCAGATTCTCCTGCGTCTGGAGCTGCAGATTCTCCCGCGTCTGGAGCTGCAGATTCTCCTGCGTCTGGAGCTGCAGATTCTCCTGCGTCTGGAGCTGCAGATTCTCCTGCGTCTGGAGCTGCAGATGCTCCTGTGTCTGGAGCTGCAGATTCTCCTGCGTCTGGAGCTGCAGATTCTCCCGCGTCTGGAGCTGCAGATTCTCCTGCGTTTGGAGCTGCAGATTCTCCCGCGCCTGGAGCTGCAGATGCTCCTGTGTCTGGAGCTGCAGATTCTCCTGCGTCTGGAGCTGCAGATTCTCCTGCGTCTGGAGCTGCAGATTCTCCTGCATTCGGAGCTGCAGATTCTCCCGCGTCTGGAGCTGCAGATTCTCCTGCGTTTGGAGCTGCAGATTCTCCCGCGCCTGGAGCTGCAGATGCTCCTGTGTCTGGAGCTGCAGATTCTCCTGCGTCTGGAGCTGCAGATTCTCCTGCGTCTGGAGCTGCAGATGCTCCTGTGTCTGGAGCTGCAGATTCTCCTGCGTCTGGAGCTGCAGATTCTCCCGCGTCTGGAGCTGCAGATTCTCCCACATCTTCAGCAGCAGATTCTCCTGCGTCTGGAGCTGCAGATTCTCCTGCGCCTGGAGCTGCAGATTCTCCTGCGTCTGGAGCTGCAGATTCTCCCGCGTCTGGAGCTGCAGATTCTCCCGCGTCTGGAGCTGCAGATTCTCCTGCGTCTGGAGCTGCAGATTCTCCTGCGTCTGGAGCTGCAGATTCTCCTGCGTCTGGAGCTGCAGATTCTCCCGCGTCTGGAGCTGCAGATTCTCCTGCGTCTGGAGCTGCAGATTCTCCTGCGTCTGGAGCTGCAGATTCTCCTGCGTCTGGAGCTGCAGATTCTCCTGCGTCTAGAGCTGCAGATTCTCCCACATCTTCAGCAGCAGATTCTCCTGCGTCTGGAGCTGCAGATTCTCCTGCGCCTGGAGCTGCAGATTCTCCTGCGTCTGGAGCTGCAGATTCTCCTGCGTCTGGAGCTGCAGATTCTCCCGCGTCTGGAGCTGCAGATTCTCCCGCGTCTGGAGCTGCAGATTCTCCTGCGTCTGGAGCTGCAGATTCTCCCACATCTTCAGCAGCAGATTCTCCTGCGTCTGGAGCTGCAGATTCTCCTGCGCCTGGAGCTGCAGATTCTCCTGCGTCTGGAGCTGCAGATTCTCCTGCGTCTGGAGCTGCAGATGCTCCTGTGTCTGGAGCTGCAGATTCTCCTGCGTCTGGAGCTGCAGATTCTCCCGCGTCTGGAGCTGCAGATTCTCCCACATCTTCAGCAGCAGATTCTCCTGCGTCTGGAGCTGCAGATTCTCCTGCGCCTGGAGCTGCAGATTCTCCTGCGTCTGGAGCTGCAGATTCTCCCGCGTCTGGAGCTGCAGATTCTCCCGCGTCTGGAGCTGCAGATTCTCCTGCGTCTGGAGCTGCAGATTCTCCTGCGTCTGGAGCTGCAGATTCTCCTGCGTCTGGAGCTGCAGATTCTCCTGCGTCTGGAGCTGCAGATTCTCCCGCGTCTGGAGCTGCAGATTCTCCTGCGTTTGGAGCTGAAGATCCTCCTGCGTCTGGAGCTGCAGATTCTCCTGCGTCTGGAGCTGCAGATTCTCCTGCGTCTGGAGCTGCAGATTCTCCCGCGTCTGGAGCTGCAGATTCTCCTGCGTCTGGAGCTGCAGATTCTCCTGCGTCTGGAGCTGCAGATTCTCCTGCGTCTGGAGCTGCAGATTCTCCTGCGTCTGGAGCTGCAGATTCTCCTGCGTCTGGAGCTGCAGATTCTCCTGCGTCTGGAGCTGCAGATTCTCCTGCGTCTGGAGCTGCAGATTCTCCTGCGTCTGGAGCTGCAGATTCTCCTGCGTCTGGAGCTGCAGATTCTCCCGCGTCTGGAGCTGCAGATTCTCCTGCGTCTGGAGCTGCAGATTCTCCTGCGTCTGGAGCTGCAGATTCTCCTGCGTCTGGAGCTGCAGATTCTCCTGCGTCTGGAGCTGCAGATTCTCCCGCGTCTGGAGCTGCAGATTCTCCTGCGTCTGGAGCTGCAGATTCTCCTGCGTCTGGAGCTGCAGATGCTCCTGTGTCTGGAGCTGCAGATTCTCCTGCGTCTGGAGCTGCAGATTCTCCTGCGTCTGGAGCTGCAGATTCTCCTGCGTCTGGAGCTGCAGATTCTCCTGCGTCTGGAGCTGCAGATGCTCCTGTGTCTGGAGCTGCAGATTCTCCTGCGTCTGGAGCTGCAGATTCTCCCGCGTCTGGAGCTGCAGATTCTCCCACATCTTCAGCAGCAGATTCTCCTGCGTCTGGAGCTGCAGATTCTCCTGCGTCTGGAGCTGCAGATTCTCCTGCGCCTGGAGCTGCAGATTCTCCTGCGTCTGGAGCTGCAGATTCTCCTGCGTCTGGAGCTGCAGATTCTCCTGCGTCTGGAGCTGCAGATTCTCCTGCGCCTGGAGCTGCAGATTCTCCTGCGTCTGGAGCTGCAGATTCTCCTGCGTCTGGAGCTGCAGATTCTCCTGCGTCTGGAGCTGCAGATTCTCCTGCGTCTGGAGCTGCAGATTCTCCTGCGTCTGGAGCTGCAGATTCTCCTGCGTCTGGAGCTGCAGATTCTCCCGCGTCTGGAGCTGCAGATTCTCCTGCGTCTGGAGCTGCAGATTCTCCTGCGTCTGGAGCTGCAGATTCTCCCGCGCCTGGTGTCACATGTGAATGAGGCCGCCCGGGCACCATGGCACGCCCGGGCTCTAGTCCTGATTTCATCAAGGTCTTGTCTGTCCTCCTTTTGTCGTCTGCTTTCTCCGCTTCTCCTCTAACTCACAGCTATTCAGCGAACCTAACCCCCCATCCAGGTGTGCAAGGTTCAATGTGCGGTTCTGCATGGTTCTGCATAGTGGTGTGGGGCTGCTTGTTTGGCTGCTCAAGCACTGTCACTCCATGTCCCCCGCCCCCCCCTTCCCCCCACCAGGTGTGCCGGGACTACAGGGCGACGGGCAACGTGCGGTTCTGCAGGGCGGTGTGGGAGGCGGTGGTGGCAGCAATGGATGCGGTGGAGAGGTTCGACCGCGACGACGACGGGTTGATTGAAAACGACGGCTTCCCTGACCAGACCTATGACAACTGGTATGTTGTGGCATGTTGCACCATGCCATACTGCCAGCATGGTGCGTGTGCCACCTGTTTCATGGCCAGCATATCTGTGTGTTCTCGTCTAACCTCAACAGCGCTGTAGCAGGCTGCACTGTAGTGAGAGAAGCGATCTCCACCCCAATTCCTTATCTTCTCTTTCCGTTTCTCTCCAGGCCAGTGCACGGAGTGAGTGCGTACTGCGGGGGGCTGTGGCTGGCAGCGCTGCAGGCGGGAGCAGCCATGGCGGATGCAGTGGGCGAGGCCAAGTACGCCCAGTACTGGCGGCAGCAGTGCGAGCGGGTGAGAGAGTGGGGCGGGGTGTTGTGATAATAGTGAGTGGCCAAGTATGTGCATTCCTGGTTCCCCATCATCTTACCTCACTTACTCCTTCCCTCTTTCTCTTTCCCTCTCTCCCTCCCTGCTTCACTGCATGCCTCACTCCACTCCCTGTCTGTGTGTCCTGGCAGGGAAGAGAGGCATTTATCGCTAAGCTCTGGAATGGCAGGTTCGTACATTTGCACTTGCACCCACATCCCCTACCGCCCTCGCCCCCTTTCCCCTTCACTGGAATGGCAGGTCCGTACATTTGCACCCACTTCCCTTACCGCCCTTGCTCAAACGGTCCTTGCTCAAACGGTCCTTGCTCCCTCTCCCCTTTACTGCCTTGCATCCTCTCCTCTTCCCTTTACTGCCTTGCATCCTCTCCTCTCCCCTTTACTGCCTTGCATCCTCTCCTCTTCCCTTTACTGCCTTGCATCCTCTCCTCTTCCCTTTACTGCCTTGCATCCTCTCCTCTTCCCTTTACTGCCTTGCATCCTCTCCTCTTCCCTTTACTGCCTTGCATCCTCTCCTCTTCCCTTTACTGCCTTGCATCCTCTCCTCTTCCCTTTACTGCCTTGCATCCTCTCCTCTTCCCTTTACTGCCTTGCATCCTCTCCTCTCCCCCTCGCCCCCTCATGTGTCTCGCCCTCCATGCCGTTCCCCCTAACCTCCCTCGCACGTTTGTCCCTTGCCTCACGCCCCTCCCTCACCCCTCCCATTGCCCCTCGCCCCGTGCACCCCTCCCATTGCCCCTCCCATGCTGCCCTGCCTGCAGGTACTTCAACTACGACAGCGGCAGCAGCAGCAACAGCAACTCCATTCACGCGGATCAGCTTGCAGGCCAGTGGTGCGTGCAGGGGGATTGGGGTACGGGGGGGTGGGTGGGTGACAAGAGAAGGGGTGCGGATGGGTGGGTGACAAGAGAAGGGGTGCGGATGGGTGGGTGCACCTGTGGAGCTGTGGCCTGCCGCTGCCTCTTTTCGACTCGTTGTCACCCCCTGCCCCCTCTCCATATTCCCTTCCTCCCTCCCCTCTCCGCTCCCGTCCCCCCTCCCCTACCCACCCGCCTCCCATGTGAGGGAGGCAGGTACCTGTGGAGCTGTGGCCTGCCGCCGCTCTTTGACTCAGCCATGGCGTGCAAGGCTCTGCAAATGATCTTCGAGTGAGTGGGGTGGGCGGACTAATGCAGATGCTATATATTTCATGGGCATCGAGTCGTGCTTGTGATACTGAATATTTGTTGACTGGAAATAGTCTGTGTGGTGCTATTTCACTGCATGTTTGCACTGTGTGACTCGCGATACCTGCTTTTCTGACTTCGTTTCAAAGTATGTCCCATGCCACGTGTTTCATCCCCCATATGCCCGATGCCCCATATGCTGCACATGCCCCACATGCCCCACATGCCCCACATGCCCCATGGCCCATATTTCTGCCCCATGGCACCATCAGGTACAATGTGATGTGGCTGGAGGGGGGCAGCATGGGGGCAGTCAATGGCATGCGACCCAACGGGCAGGTGGGATGTGGCCAGGTGGGATGTGGGCTGGTGGGATGTGGGCTGGTGGGATGTGGGCTGGTGGGATGTTTGCTGGTGGGATGTGGGCTGGTGGGATGTGGGCTGGTGGGATGTGGGCTGGTGGGATGTGGGCTGGTGGGATGTGGGCTGGTGGGATGTGGGCTGGTGGGATGTGGCCAGGTGGGATGTGGGCTGGTGGGATGTGGGCTGGTGGGATGTGGGCTGGTGGGATGTGGGCTGGTGGGATGTGGGCTGGTGGGATGTGGGCTGGTGGGATGTGGGCTGGTGGGATGTGGGCTGGTGGGATGTGGGCTGGTGGGATTTGGGCTGGTGGGATGTGGGCTGGTGGGATGTGGGCTGGTGGGATGTGGGCTGGTGGGATGTGGGCTGGTGGGATGTGGGCTGGTGGGATGTGGGCTGGTGGGATGTGGGCTGGTGGGATGTGGGCTGGTGGGATGTGGGCTGGTGGGATGTGGGCTGGTGGGATGTGGGCTGGTGGGATCTGCATCTCTGTGCCGGCGTGCCCCATGCTCTCCATGCCCCATGCTCTCCATGCCCCATGCTCTCCATGCCCCATGCTCTCCATGCCCCATGCTCTCCATGCCCCATGCTCTCCATGCCCCATTCATTCCACTTCACTCTCCTTTCCATTCTCCTCCTCGCTCTCCACTCTCCATTTCACTCTCCTCCTCGCTCTCCACTCTCCATTTCACTCTCCTCCTCGCTCTCCACTCTCCATTTCACTCTCCTCCTCACTCTCCACTCTCCATTTCACTCTCCTCCTCGCTCTCCACTCTCCATTTCACTCTCCTCCTCGCTCTCCTGCTCGCTCTCCTCTTCGCTCTCCTGCTCACTTTCCTCCTAGCTCTCCTTCTCGCTCTCCTCCTCACTCGCCTCCTCAATTCGCTGCTACTCTATCAGGTGGACAACACGTGCTTGCAATCGAGGGAGGTGTGGACAGGTGTCACGTACGGATTGGCCGCCACAATGATCTATGAGGTGAGACTGCATCATGCATCATGCCCTCATGTATCACTCATGCACCATACCATCATGCCTCACCCGTGCACCATGCCATCATGCCTCACTCGTGCACCATGCCATCATGCCTCACTCGTGCACCATAGTCGCAACACTGGCATGGTCTGAGGTGCAGTATTCTCGAGATTTCCATCTGCCCTCAACTTGCCCATAGCATGGCATACGGCATGGCATGGCATGGCATGTGTGGCACAGCATGACATGCATGGCATCGCATCGCATAGCATGGCATGGGGTTGCGTGGTATGCATGACATACATGGCATGGCTTCAAGCCACCTCTCACCAACATCGTATCCGGCTCATGGCATCAGAGTGGTGCTTACATGCATCTATTGGGTCTGTCCCTCTCCCTCTCACGCCAATCCTGTCCCTGTGGGCTGCAGGGCATGCACTCACAGGCCTTTCGCACGGCGCAGGGCATTCACCAAGCGGGGTGGGATGAGCTGGGGTGAGTTGCATTGCATGGTTGGTTGGACGAGCTATGCCTAGTTGAGCAGCTTGTGTAATGCGTGTGACAAGCCACGTCCACACATAATTAGGCTCCAGGTTTTTCTCTTGTGGCACACTCCTCACCTTTTCCTGCTCCCGCTGACTTTCAAAATGGGCAGGTACTGGTTTCAGACTCCTGAGGGGTGGGACACGGATGGCCGCTTTCGCTCATTAGCATACATGCGCCCCCTTGCCATATGGGCAATGCACGCAGCATTAAACAGTGGTAAAAATATTTAATCACACAAACGTGATTAGTTTTGTGATCTTCATTCTCTATTGTTTAAGTTGGTATTTTGTGCTTTGGAAAAAGCCAGGTTGAGGAGATGCTGGATCAAGTGTTCTGCTGAAATCTGTGCAGGGTAACAAAATACATATAGCGGTTATTGGAGTTGTCCCAAAAAGGACTGCGGTTTGCATATGTTTTGGGTGAAGCAACCTGAAAATGTCAGAACCGCCAAGCACTGTAGCTATACTTCGCGAACACTCGGCTTTTCAATTTCCACGTCAGATTGGGGCTGGCGCGCTTGTGGAGCAAATCCTTCCACACGGAATTGCATTAATTTCACGCGGAAAGCGGCGAACAGTATTGCACAGAACAGAGCCAAATGTGGCAGCAATGACCCAGAGCGGTCAATGCGCTCGTTTGAAGTGTGGTGGTGGCTGTGCCAGTTGTTGCCGGGGACCGCTGCTGCCGAAAGGAATGTAGACGGGTACACTTGGCACTAATAAATTGGTTTCCTTTGTTGCTTGCAGCATTGTCGCCATTGCAAGACTCTGGTCTGGTGCAGCTTCCTGATTTTGCTTGATTGCATTTCTGAATTTCTGCTAACAAGTTGACGAGGTGCTTGGGTTGTGTTCAGATGAGAGCCCCAAAGTTTCCAGAGGAGTTATTATTATACTGTTGCCCCTTCACAAACAGGTAACTGTACTCTCTTGAGAAAGCACTGGCAATTGCACCTCGTGCGAAATATTTGTTGCCAGATGGCTACATAAAGGGCATGGGACAGCATTTTTTGCCCAGATGCCCAGGAATACATTTGTCACGAAACCGGCATAAGCTTTCAGTTTGCGCCGGAAAGGCGATTTAATTCTGTCCATCAAAAGATTCCGCGATCGGGTTGTTTTGCCTGGACTGACCTGACGCCAAGCTCCAGTTTTACGTGACTGCCACCTGTCAGCCATAGATTGGAGAAGAAGGCTGTCGGTTTTGGATCTTTCCCTTTCCAGCCAAGCGGCTGCACTTGGCTTGGAACCACAGCAAATGGGAAAACAGTAAAAAGGACAGCACATCGTTCATCCCTCACTAATGGCGGTTCCGTCGCGAGCTCCACGCCCATAACCAAACCCCAATCACATCTTCCCCGCCCTTCCCCTCCGCTGCTCCGTTTCCATTCCGTTCCGCCATGGATTCCGTGTCCCTTCTCCAACCACTTCCCTCTCAACCACCTCTTTCTCCACGCAAGCCACCCCTCCATCACACATCTGCCTCAGTGCACGGCCATTTCACAACGTGCCATTTTCGTCCTGGTTGGCCCAGATCTCCCAGGGTTCAGGCTGGATCTCACACTTGGTGCTGTCCGTAACCTTCATTCAAGAGACTCTATCACAGCAACACAGTTCCTAACCTAATCCTGCTGTTGTAGTGGGTGAATCCTAGACGTCGAGCATTCCCTAGTCGTTCCTCATCGCGATAATATACTAGTTTTCTGTTCGCCGTCACGAAAATGGCGTCGTCAGTAGCCGTAGATTTTATCAACGAGCTGCCTCGGTCGCGGTTGGAGGAGCAGCAATGGGAGCCTCAGGCGCCGTCGGTTTCATCGCTTCTTTCGAACACCTCCCACCACTACCAACACCACCAACACCACCAACCCCACCACCAATACCACCACAACCATCACCGTCAACCCAGCGACATCTCTACACCCATATTCTCCCTAAATGAGGCAATGAGTCACGGTATCGCGTTGTCGCCGCGGGTCGCCGAGTCTCCCGTCGCACGCCATCGCCGAGTTTCGTCGCTCACATCTCCCCCCCACAAACCGTCGCAAAAATCGCAGGCATCGTTCGCACAGTCGGGGTTCCGCAACCTGCACCACAGCAGCTCGTGTGGCGCACGGCAGATGGCGGATACCGCGTCGTCCTTAGATCTCCGCGAGCTCGAGAGCCAATCGAGTGTGACTCTATCGCAGGTCGACGACGGCGACTCCAGCTCCACCACCACGAGCAGCAGCACCGTGTCGTGCCAAAGCGCGTTCGGCGTTTTCGCGCGCCGCAGGCGCCGCGCGAGCAGTCGCAGGGAGACGCCTATTGCCAGCCCTCGCGCCGTCGCGGACCACTTTCGTGACGGTACTGCGGCGGCTGTGATTGGTGGGTTTCCCGCGACTCGCAAAGCGGCGCCAATGGCACCCGCACCAGAGCTGCCGCGTCTGCTTCACCATGAGATGCGCCGTGATATACGGAGGAGCGACGGAGAGGAGAGCGGCGACGAAGGGGACGGCGGAGGGGGCGGCAGCAAAAGTAGTCGAGGCAGCGCGGCGGTTACGATATTGAAGGACGCAGCGCAGACCGTCGCGCGGAAGGTGCGTGGCGCCGACGCCGCCGCGTGGGGGCAGCTCGGCGCGCTGCAGGGGGGCGCGCTGCCCCGACCCCTCGCCAGCGCCGCGCGTCGCCAGAAGCCGCCCCTCGCGCTGAAGCCGCGGCGATTCAACGAGCGCGACGGCTGCCCCTCGCCCGCGAGCAGCGGGGAGTTGGCGCTGATGCGGCCCCCGAAGTCCCCCGCGAGCAGCGGGGAGATTGCGCTCCTCGAGGCGGAGGAGATGCTCTTCGGCGCGAGCGAATGGTCCCCCGCAAGCAGCGGAGAGATGCCGCTCGTTGAATCGAGGGAGTTCGCGCCGCTTCCGCCGACCCCGGAGCGGCGCCGGGCGGACTACGAGGAGGGGAGTGAGGGCGGGAGCGAGGGGGTGGTGGTGGAGGTCGCACCTGGGGGAGGCAGTATGCACCGCTCCACGTCGCCGTCGCTCTGGAACCAGCTGGGATCGGTTTCGGAAAATCTGCTGCTCGCCGCGCGACAAAAGAAAGGCGTTGCCTCTCTCCCCGCTGCGGACGCGCCTTCCGCGCCGGTGCACCCCAGCAACGCCCCCAAGGCAGCCCATACGCGCTATGCGCGCAAGGCGCAGCACCGCCACGGGCTGTCTCTCGGCGACGTGCCCTTCGCGGATTCTCCCGTCGGCATTGACGCGCCGCTGCCGCCGTCTGCTCGATTGCCGGACGCCGTCAGCGCGGCCGGCGCGCCCCCATCGAGTTTCAGCGCGGACAGCATCGCCGTTGGTAGCTACCTTGCGGGCGGCAGCAGCCGGAGCGGCCGCAGCGGCGGCATCGGTGGTAAGAAGAGCAGCAAGGGCAGGGTCGCGGCGCGAGCGAGCGCGTCCGCCACTGAACTGGACCGTTGGAGCGTGCTGCCGTACGGCGGCGGGCGGGAAAAGCCGCGCGAGTCGCGGGAGTCCACGCGAGTCAAGCAGGCGCCTTGCGGCAAAGAGCACGGGGGAGTGACGAGCGGAGCGGCGGCTGTGCCGGGCGACTTCCTCTCGTCGTACTTCGGCGACGCGCCCGACGCTTACGTCGGCGAGTTCGCGCTGCAGGAGGCTCGCAACGCGGCGCGCAACGCGCACAAGAAGACAGCGGCGCAAACCGAAAGCGTTGTCAGTGCGACCCCGCGCAAGCAGTCGGTGGCGGACGCGGTGGTGCGCCACGTGCTGGCGGAGAAGCAAGCGGAGAACGAGCGCGCGCAGGAGCGGCGGAGAGACGAGCAGCAGCAGTGGGCAGACGAGCAGCAGCGGCTGCAGCAGCAGCTGCAGCTGCTCCGGCAGCAGCAGAAGCTGCAGCTGCTGCAAGCGTTCCACGAGACGAACCAGCAGCACCTGCGCCCGTGCGACTTCGTCCTGGGCCGCCCGTACTCGTCGCTGCTGCGGCGCTTCGTGCTGGCGCCGCAGGAGCTGGGCAGCGGGCAGTTCGGCGTGATTCGCAAGTGCGTGGAGCGCGGCACCCACCGCGTGCTGGCGTGCAAGACGATCCTCAAGAGCAACATCGCGGCCATGCAAGACGCCGCGGACATCCGCCATGAGGTTGCTGTGATGGAAGCGCTCAAGGGGCATCCGCACGTGGTGAAGATTGAAGATACGTGCGAGGACGAGGAGGCGGTGCATATTGTCATGGAGCTCTGCTCCGGAGGTGATTTGTTTGATCGCGTGAAGGATGAGGGCCGGCTGAAGGAACGGACGGCTGCGATCGCGTGCCGGCAGGTGGTGCAGGCGCTGATGTGGTGCCACGTGTCAGGCGTGGTGCACCGGGATGTGAAGCCGGAGAACATTCTCCTCAAGGGGCGGAGAGAGGGAGGCAACGGCGCGGACGAGCAGAACAAGGGGAATATGGGCGCGGCTGCGGCGGTGCTGGGAGGAATCATGGCTGCTCCTGCCAAGGGCGCGGGTGGTGCTGGTGATGAGGACGAGATTCATGTCAAGCTCGCCGACTTTGGCGTTGCCACGTTTACCCGAGGTGCGCATTCCGTAGCTCTCTTCTTTCATCTCCCCCTTCTCTCCCTGCCGCCTCTCTCTTATCATTCATCCCTTATTGGTAGCGCTCCATATTGTGCTGCCCACTTTCCCCTGCTCCTCGTCTCTCGCCTATTCACCAACTGTACCATGCCACCCCTCTCCATCGCTCTACACCTTTCAGGTGAGCCGTGCACGGAGGAGCTGGGCACGCTGCAGTACATGGCGCCAGAGGTGCTCGCGGGAACATACGGGCCAGCAGCTGACATCTGGAGCGCGGGCGTGGTGCTGCACATCATGCTCTCGGGCCGCACTCCCTTCTTCGCGTCGCTCGGGAGGACAGTTCAGGAGGCGATTCTGCACGGCCCTGTGCGCATGCGCGGGCCCCACTGGGAAGGTGTGAGTGAGGACGCCAAGAGCCTCGTGCGCGCCATGCTGGATAAGGATGCTGCGACGCGAATCACCGCCAAGGAGATTCTTGGTGAGTTCGCTTAGGCTCAGTGCTTGTCTGCGGGTGGGTGGGGTTGTGGTGGGGAAGGGAGCTGAGTATTTGGGGTGAGTTTGCGTCTGAGCTGCTTGTTTTTGTTTCTATTGAGCTGGATTCATGGCATTCTTGCTTACCTTTGATCGTTGTGTTCTGTTGTTTCAGGTCATCCGTGGATTACAAAACACACACAATGAGGTTATTTCCTAGTTATCCATGTGCTGGGTGGTTTGGACCATAAGCAGCTCAGCAGCCGCGCTGGTTGAAGTTGCTGCTGTAGTGCACTGTCGGCATGTTATTTTGGGGAGCAGGCATTTCTGTGTGCTTGGTGGTGTGGTGGCGATGTGGCTGTCATGTCAACCCTGACTCCATTGATTAATTTATAGCTGTACTTTGTATAGGTTGATCCGTAGTGACATTGCATCGTGCCATATGCTGGAAAATGGAATCGTTTTGAAGCGAGCAGGGTACTCGCTGCCGTGCGGTAGGAACGTGCTCTCCTCCATCTTCCACACTCCCGCTCACAACCGCATCTTCCCCCGATACAGTCACAGTTCTCACATCCAGATACGTGTACAGTGTCTCGCCTCGCTTCAACTGTAACGCAACTGAACACTAGCACAGCAGGTTTTCACGAAACCCTATCCATCCGTACTCCTGCCAGCCAGCCATTCACGTCTGGCGTGGCGTGGCGTGTGTTGTTTTTGATACCGTATGTTACTTACTTCCTCTCACTTTTGACCCGTCTCGCTCCTAGCAGGTATAATTTCCATAATCCACGGCCGTTTCGCTCTTGGATTCGCATGACAGTAGTATGGCATCGCACGATAATATCATGACGTCGCACAGCAGTACCGTGGCTTCGCAGGATGATATCTTACTAACTGCTCTTCCGGGTAGCGCGTCAGGTCGAGTAGCCATTAGCGCGGTTGAAACCCCTCCCATTCTGCCGTCTGTTGCACAGCTATGGTCTGAATTGCACGCTTCAGTTGACTATGGGAACCCTAAGGGTGGCATCACAACGATGCTCGAGCAGCAGCAGCAGCAGCAGCAGCAGCAGCAGCAGCAGCAGCAGCAGCAGCAGCTGGAGCAGCAGCAGCAGCAGCAGCAGGAGCAGCAACAGCAGCAGCAGCAGCACCGAGAGCAGCTGCTGCAGGATTTGCAGTTCTTAGATCCGTCACAGCTTTCGTGGCTTTCAGACTCGACGCAGCTTTCATGGGATTCAGACAATGTCGCAGGCCTCGTTACAAGCAGCGACGAAGAGCTCTTAACGAAGATGCAGTTGCCTATAGGGAAGCCTGACAGTTCGTCGGTAAATTTTCCCAAGCCGTTGGATTTAGACGAAGCTGTTGCTAGGGCCATGATGGTTGGATCTAGCTCGGGGTCAGGCTCGGATTTAGGTTCGGGAGCAGGCTCGGGAACAAGCTCAGGAGCGGGTGAAGTTTTGGCGTCATTGGATGCCGAGCAACTTGAGCTGCAGCAGCAGCGACTGAACTTGGAAATGCAGATGCTGCTTATGCAGCAACAGCAACAGCAGCAGCAGCAGCAGCAGCAGCAGCAGCAGCAGCAAGACCAACAACATCAACAGCAGCAACAGCAGCTTCAGAAACAGCAGCGTCTACAGCAGCAGCAGCAGCAGCAGCAACAGCAAGGGCAGGGACACGAGGATGTATCGGCACTGGCGAAGCAGATGCTCCAGCAGGTGCAGCAGCAACGGCTGCTGCAGCATCTCGGCCAACTTCAGCGACGGCAGCAGCAGCAGCAGCAACAGCAACAGCAGCTAATCCAGCATCGACAAGAGCAGGAGCAACGAATGCTGCTACAGCTTCAGCTTTTGCAGCAACGGCGGCTGTTACAAGGACAAGCACAAAATGTGCCTTCGCCACAGGGACTCATGCTGATGCAGCAGCAGCAGCAGCAGCAGCAGCAGCAACAGCATCAGCTGGAGCAGTTGCAACAGGTGCAGCAGCTGCTGAAGCAGATGCAACAGCAGCAGCGGGTCCAGCAGGCGCAAGTGACACAGCAACAGTATCATCAACTGCAGCAAGCGCTATCGCAACAAATGCTATTGCGGCAACCACTATCGCAGCAACCTATAGCACAGCAAGCGGCATCTCATCAAGCGCAGCAAGCGTTAACACAGCAAGAGAGAGCAGCAGGAGGCATGTTGCCAGCAGCATCAACGCAAACCGACCTGCTCAGCACCGCTCTCAACCCCTGTCACCGAGCCTCCGTGGCTTGGCGGCAGGCTCGGGAGCAAATCCTGCTTCAGCTTCGGAACCAGCCCTTGCCTGGAAACGACCTTTCCACGGGAGGTGCAGCAGTGGGCGGTCCCTCACGCGATGGTCCCTCACACGATGGTCCCTCACACGATGGTCCCTCACACGATGGTCCCTCACACGACGGTCCCTCACATGATGGTCCCTCACTACAAGCTGGGGTCCCAATAGCGTTCTCACACGAGGGGGGGTTGCGAGTATCGCCTGGGGAGGGTGGGGTTCCAGGCGTGCGGGCGCAGAGGGGTGGATTACAGGGCGTCGCAGCAGCGCCAGGGGGTGAATCGCTGGGACTGGTAGCACAGGGAGGTGGGCTGCTGGGTCGAATGGCTCAGAGGGGTGGATCGCCAGGCCTGGGTGCTCCAGTGGTTAGCGTGCAAGCCACGGGGAAAATGACAGGAGATGCGGGGGTGATGGGGGCCGCGGGGGGCGGTGGGATGGGCGGGGGAGGCGAGTGGGAGCTGCTGCAGCAGCTGCTAGGGGGGACGTCTCCGGAGGGCAAGGCTGCTGGTGGCGGCGGGATGGGGGCGGGTTTAGAAGGAGCGCTTCAAGTGCAAGCCATGGGGCTGACACAGCATCCCAACGAGTGCGCTACCGCTGCTGCTACTGGTGCTCCTGATGGTCGTGTTCTTGCTTCCAGCACGCGTGCAGCAGTGGAATTACCTGTGCGGTCATCAGTTGGGGGCAAGAGGCTTAGGGACCAAGCAACAGCTACTACACCTTCTGCTCTTCCTGCTGCTGCTCCTCTGTCTGTGCTGCGGTAGGCGCTGCTGGTCGTGGGGCTGTTGGCAATGCTGCTCCTCTCGCTGCTGCCGTTCCTCCCCCTCCCGCTTTTCAAGCCTGTGAAACAGCCTCGGGATCGCCAGCCACGACGGACTCCCCAGCGTCGTCAGCGTCGGCGCTCTCATCCCCATCGCACTCCACCTCGGGCTCTGGAGGGAGCTCGTCCGGCCAAGGGGGCAGGGTGCTGGGGAAAAGGGCGCCGGGCGGAGGGGTGCTGGGGGGGAGTGTGGCGGGGGCAGGTGTGGCGGGGGCAGGTGTGGCGGGGGCAGATGAGGGAGGGGCAGGTGTGTTGGGGGGAGGTGTGTCTGAGGTAATTGTGTCGCGTTCCCCCCCCACCGCCAGCTCTCATCCGTCTATCCCAGCCCAGAACTCCCCTGGGTGCAATCTGCTGTCCGCTGTCAGCATCACCCCCACAGCCTGCTCGCCCCCACCCAACCCGCTCCCACCCACCCCCACCAGCGCTGGCCCCCACGAAGCCGCAAAGCCCGCATGCATGAGTCCTCCACGCCAGAGCCAAGCGTCTTCTTCCAAGCCCCACTGTGGGCCCGCTGCTGCTCCTTCCAGGAGCCTCTCTGCATCGGCATTGGTGGCTGCATCTGCGGCTGCGTCTGCAGCTGGGGGGTCTAGGAGGGCGCATGGCAGGGCGAGGAGACCCCCACCGTCCGCCCTGGCGTCTCGCCTCGCGGCGGTTCTGAACGACATTCAGTCCAAGCCCGCCCCGCTCTTCGCCTCCGCCACCGCCTCCCGCCTCTCCCCTCCCTCGGGTTCTGCCTCCGTCTCTCCCCCTGCCTTCACCTCTGCCCCTCCGTCGGACTTAGCATTCGCCTCTGCCCGCACGGCTGCCTTCCCCACCCTCGCGTCCCCTGACGCGTCGGGAGCGCGCGGCACGGAGGAAGAGCAGGCAGGGGCACAGGGGGGGGTTGTGGCGGGTGGGGCAGCAGGCAGGGAGGTGGTGGCGGTGGGTGGGAGGGTCCGGGGCATGGATTCCTTCGGATTCTCCACGGCTGCTGCTGCTGGTGGAATTGGGGCTGCTGGTGGTGGAATTGGGGGTGCTGCTGGGTTTGGCAGTGGTACTGGTGGTGGTGCTGGGTGCAGCTACGCTGTTGCGAGGGAACTCTTGGAGGCAATGCCAGGTGGCGCGACCGGATTGGACGACCTTCAGTCGCTGCAGCCCCCAGGGTCTCGCCGCCGCACCTCCGGCCTTTTCGGGGTCGGAGCAGTTTCTCTTGACTATAGAGATGCTGTTTCTATTCACGGGTGTGGCTATAGCGGGTCTGGCCGTGGAGTGCCCTGGGGGGCGTGGGAAGGAGGAGCAATTGGTTTGTCAGATCACCTTATGAAGGGGATGGGGGAGAATGCATCAAGAGGAGGTAACGCTGCAGTGGCAGCACCGTCCGCAGCTTGGTGGGAGGCTCGGGGGCAGGTCGGAGCTTTGGAATTCCCCAGGCCTACTGCCGGACCTGTATCCGCTGAAGTCACGGGCCCGGATGTTTCCGGGAAGTTTCGGTCGGTGGAGAAATTCGCGCGGGCGCAGATGGTGGCGATGGCAGAGGCGGCAGAGGCGGGCGACACCGGGCGGTTTCATTCGGCGTTTGTGCAGCTGAAGCCGCTGGGGAAGGTGCGAGGAAACGCGGTGGAGCGGTTGACACACTACGTGGTGGAGGGGTTGATGAGACGCATGGCTGGGACGGGGTTTCAGCACTTCTGCACGCCCCTTAGGCGCCCTCCCAAGGTAAGACTCCCAGGTAAATCTCCCGAGGTACCAGATTGTGTGTAGAGGTTGACTGTTTATTTGGAGCAAGCAGCTTGAAATCGGGTACATTTGTTATGCAAACTGTACTCGAGTTGTTGCTCTCTTCCCCGCTCCCCTCTCCTCCCTCCCAGGAGCTACACAAGGCCCATGAAGTAACTCTTCTTGCTTCCTCATGAAGCAACCCTTCCCGTTTCCTTCCTTCTCCCCTCTCCCCTCCTTCCCCCTTCCCCTCTCCCCTCCTCCTCTCCCTCCTCCCAGGAGCTAGACGAGGCCCTCACACTATACTCCTCGTCACAGCCCTTCCCGCTCTTCGGCAGCATCTCTCTCGCCCACCTAATTGCCGAAGCAGTGAGCGGCAGCACGCACGTGCACATAGTGGACTTCGGCTGCTTCCAGCCCATCCACCTGCCCGTGCTCATGGACCTCCTCGCCGCCCGCCCCGGGGGCCCTCCTTCCCTGCGCCTCACTGGCATGGACACGGCGAGTTTCATCTGTGCGGGGAGGAAGGACTTTAAAAGGTTGAGGGCGATGGAGGACGTGGGGAGGCGGCTGCGGGGCGTGGCGCGGCACCTGGGCGTGCCGTTTGAGTTTGAGAGTGTCAATGTGGACGAGGACAACCTGCAGCTGCTCTACCAGGTGAGGAAATCCTCATCTCTGCTGGTGCTTTCCATGCCTCCCCCCCCCACCGCTCTCCACTCACTCGTCTTCCCCCGCCCACCCCTTCTCCCCTTCCCCTGGGCAGGTGAAGCGGCAGTGGCACGAGGCGCTGGTGGTGGTGTGCTTTCTCGAGCTGCTGCTGCTGCTGGACTCACCCAATGGCCCTCGCCACTGCGTGCTAAGGGTAAGTAGGTCGATTACCTTCACCCTCTCATGCTTCATGCTGCACGTGAGTAGATCGACACTCCTTGACTCTCTCACCTCACTCTCTCACCTCACTCTCTCACCTGCATGCTGCTCCTTGCACCCACCCACTCATATCCTCCGACCCTTGGGTTTCGCCCCAACCTCTTCCTGCTCCACCATCCACTTGTTCCATTCCCACTTCATCTCTTCCCACTTCGTCTCTTCCCACTTCATCTCTTCCCACTTCGTCTCTTCCCACTTCATCTCTTCCCACTTCGTCTCTTCCCACTTCATCTCTTCCCACTTCATCTCTTCCCACTTCATCTCTTCCCACTTCATCTCTTCCCACTTCATCTCTTCCCACTTCATCTCTTCCCACTTCATCTCTTCCCACTTCATCTCTTCCCACTTCATCTCTTCCCACTTCGTCTCTTCCCACTTCATCTCTTCCCACTTCGTCTCTTCCCACTTCATCTCTTCCCACTTCATCTCTTCCCACTTCATCTCTTCCCACTTCATCTCTTCCCACTTCATCTCTTCCCACTTCATCTCTTCCCACTTCATCTCTTCCCACTTCATCTCTTCCCACTTCATCTCTTCCCACTTCATCTCTTCCCACTTCATCTCTTCCCACTTCATCTCTTCCCACTTCATCTCTTCCCACTTCATCTCTTCCCACTTCGTCTCTTCCCACTTCATCTCTTCCCACTTCATCTCTTCCCACTTCATCTCTTCCCACTTCATCTCTTCCCACTTCGTCTCTTCCCACTTCATCTCTTCCCACTTCATCTCTTCCCACTTCGTCTCTTCCCACCATCCAAAACTCACACCTCCCCCCATCCTCATTCCTACCCTTCCCCTCCCCATCCCTTCCCATCCCTCCTCATTCCTCTCTTCCCTCCCCATCTCCCCTTTCCCCATGCCCCCAAACTTTTTAGTGGATTCACGACATGCACCCGACACTCTTCACCTTCTGTGACGTTGATCTCGACACCAATGACAGCGCCTTCCTCCCGCGCTTCCAAGATATTGTAGACCACCACCTCGCCACCTTCAGCTTCCACGACGTCTTTCTCGGAAACGCCGACAAGCGCCTGCTCTCCGTCTTTGAGGAGATTTATTTCGCGCGCTCTATTATTAACGGAATCGCTTGTGAAGGGGATGAGCGGGTGATGAGGTCGGAGAAGGCGGGGCAATGGAGGAAGCGGTTGTTAATGATGGGGTTTTCACCGTGCGCCATTCCTACATCGGTGATTGACAATGTACATAAGATGCTGAAACGGTTCCCGCTTGGGTTAGGGCTGCAGATAGAGGATGGGACGGTAAGCTTGTTGTGGCGGGGAAGCCGTTCCCTGTTCACGTCGGCCTGGATTCCTTGCATAGGCAAGTGAAGGGCACGTTGTTTTTGTATGATAACGAAGTATACGTGAAGTATATGTATAATTTGCATGAATTTAGTCAACATGACAAAATAGGCTGATTTATCAGGTGTGAAGTTATGTTTGGCAACTGGACAAACTTTGGGTGTTGTCTATCGACGTTTGCCGGAGCAGCTGACATCGAATTGCAACTCACAATGGATCTCAGAATCTGGTGACGTCAGCGATCCTGCTAATTCGTCCAAAACGAAATTTCCCGCACGGTGACGCAACTTCTTCACACGTTCGCCCGTATCTAGGTTCGGCGTTGGTGCTTGCCACGCCACCTGAGCAGAACCAGCCATGTCAGCCATCCGAACCTAGAGTTTCGCGCCGAGCCTTATTTGCCATACTTGCTGGCGTCATGCCTGTGGCCCACCCGTGTCAACGTGGCACCAACATTTGAGATGTTGAGATTGCAACCACCAAATGAACCCTCCTCGTGATTATTTCGTGTGGAGGTTTGTCTTGCCCGCAACGCAGGTCATGCGGGAAAGATTGGTCATGATGCTGAAGAGGAATCTGCCTGACCAGCAACGACCCCAAGAAACTCCTAGAATTTCATATTCTCCCACCGCTCGGCATATATAATCTGCAATTCAATATTGTATGGTATCATTCTCCAGTTGCCTGGACGCTCATTCCCTCGATCCATCTTCAGTTTCTTTTCTTCTCAGATACTCCTGACGACGCACCAGCTGCTCGCAATGGCCGCCGAGGTCGGAGAGGGTAACTGCATCGGCTATGCCGCCAGAGATCAGTCGGGATTTCTCTCGCCCTTCAAGTTCAACCGCAGGTTCGCGACTCTTTCTTCATACTTTTCCCGCGTTTGTGCCGGAACCGTGCCTCTCCACGCACCACTACATGTGTCAGCATGAACGCTCCCCCTCTGCAAGTCCATTCCTCCTACCACCTACCGGACCTTTTAATAAAAATGTTATTTTGGAACATTATAAGTTTCCGTGCGAATGATTCGTAGCAGATGTTGCAATGCGTTCGCCGTTGGAAACACTTAAAGCATCCCTGCGTGTTGTGTGTTGTCGCGCGCAGGGAGGTGGGGCCCAAGGACGTGCGCATCCGCATCACGCACTGCGGCATCTGCCACAGCGACCTGCACCAGGTCAAGAACGAATGGGGCGGCTCGCAGTACCCCATGGTCCCGGGGTACGCCCGTTTCGTCTCTTCATTTTCTTCTCTCCCTTTATCTCTCCCATGTTAAGAAAGCTCTTTCTTTCCGTCGCTTTTTTTTATACCGTTCCGTCGTTCCCACCTTTCTCCTCTGGAAGTGTCTGTTCCATGCATGCTGGTCTTTTAACCCTGGTTCCGCGCTCTCCCCCTCGTTTCTCTTTTTCGTGACAGGCACGAGATTGCGGGGGTGGTGGAGGCGGTGGGGTCCGAGGTGACCAAGGTCACGGTGGGGCAGAGGGCGGGCATCGGGTGCATGGTGGACTCGTGCCGCACGTGCCAGCCATGCGTACAGCACGTGGAGCAGTTCTGCCCGCAGTGCGTGTACACGTACAACAAGGTCGACCCCAAGACGAGCGAAATGACGCAGGGCGGCTACTCCTCTTTCTACGTCTGCGACCAGGAGTACGTCGCTTGAACATCTCGCTTCTTGGACCAAGAATACGATTCTTGAACCTTTCGGTTTTTGTTCCAAGAATATGCCTTTCTGTGCCTCGTGCTATTTGCGCCATACTCCCAAAACTCACAGCTCTTCCTTCGAGAAACCGAATCCTGACGTTTCATCGCATTCTCCCCCCTCCCCCTCACCCCCCCTCTCTCTCCCCGCGATTCCCGCAGCTTCGTGCTGACGATTCCCGACAAGCTGCCGTCTGACGTGGCGGCGCCGCTACTGTGCGCGGGAATCACGGTGTACTCGCCCATGGTCTACTACGGCATTAACCAGCCCGGCAAGCGGTTGGGAGTGGTGGGACTGGGCGGGCTGGGCCACATGGCGGTGAAATTCGGCAAGGCATTCGGCATGCACGTGACGGTGCTGAGCACGAGCCCGAGCAAGGAGAAGGAGGCCAAGGAGGTGATGGGCGCGGATCAGTTCATTGTCACCAAGGATGCCGACGCCATGAAGGTGAGAGGAGGTGGTCTCGAGGTGCTATGGGAGTGAATAGGGTGCGGAGCATTCTAGTGGATGTAGTGGATTGGTACAATTTCCGAAATGGCAGGTAATTGGTAATAAAAACTGACGTGCGCTTGCCACTCTTTCCCGCCACCACCAGGCAGCAGTGGGGACATTGGACGCCATAGTGGACACGGTATCAGCGCAGCATGAGCTGGCGCCATACCTGGAGCTGCTCACGTTCAACGGCAAGATGATTCTTGTTGGAGTTCCCCCAGAGCCCTACGGCCTGCATGCCGGCCAGCTCATTTTTGGTGAGTCATGCTTGTCCATGCCTGACAAGGAATTTGTTGAATTTAAATTAGAGATACCTTGTTGGGTGTAACAAAGGGGTGTGAACATGTTCAATGCTGGTTTCCCCATCTTGCTTTGGGTTGTGACTCTTGTGTTGGTGACTGCTGATTATTCTGACCCTCTTCTTTGCAACGTGCAGGCCGCAAGACTGTGGCTGGTAGTTTGATTGGAGGGATCAAGGAGACCCAGGAGATGCTGGAGTTCTGTGCAGAGAAGGGGGTTGCACCTATGATTGAGAAGATCGACATCCAGGACGTGAACAAGGCGTACGAGAGGATGATGAAGAATGACGTGAAATACCGCTTTGTCATCGAGATTGAGAAGAGTCTCAAGTAGAAACTTGATTAGCGCATAATATTGAATTATTGCGTCTGCAGCCTGAAGCAGAGCAGAGAGTTTCCTTTCGTACTGTACACTTTCTTACGTTGTCAGTCATCATACTTCCATTAAACACATCTTGTGGGAAGTAAACACACTGCATTTTTTACAAGTTAAGTGCAGAAACAGATTATATTATTTTGTTTAGTACTTGCCGTATGTTTTTATGAATTGAAATAATCCGACACAACCAACTACCTCATTTACCGTGTTGACGAGTACTGAAACAGAAGCAGCATACCCCGCTCACGGTACCGCACTCCGCAATTCCCAGCAGGTTGCGCATCCCCGCCCGCGCGCATCAACCCACCAACCTTGTCCACCCCGCGTGACCCCTGTCGCCCTCGATTCTCCCAAACCACCGCAGCCTCCTACCGCCAAGTCACGACAATATCGATGGGGATTATAGGCGAGGTGGATGGCTCGCCATCATACATCATGCTGCTCGCCTCGACTTTTGATTGCTTTGTGCTGGCTGCTTGATTGCTTGCTTGATCCGCTTTGCTTTTCTTGCCATTCCACTCCATTCCATCTCTATCCCCCTCACGTCACGAGTCACAAGTCACGCCGCCTGCAGGCTCCAGCTTAGGTCTTGACAACAATCGATGGTAGTAAGTCCATTCGAGGTGGCTCCCTTCTCAACGCAAGTTGCTCCGAGCATTGTTCCGAATTGGAGTTCCAACTCGCGTACAGCACATCGCTCCTCGTCGCTTCCACTTTCCTGATTGCGAAAGTACCCTCCATTCCTCCTGTTGCTTCCAGCTAAGCTTGCTCACGCTCCCCAAGCTAATAGCTTTCAGTTATAGTGAACTTTCCGCGTCCCGTGCACGCGCTGCGCTCGACATTGCTCTGCGTCAACCGCCGCTTGTCACCGATTCTCCCGCGTCGCCGCGTCCACTAATATGTTCTGTTGCTTCTGTCGCTCGCGAGCCGCGGACGATGACGACGATTACGCCACGTCACTTCCCCCCGCTCCCGCGAATCGCAAGCACGCCGCGCCAACCGCCACCGGAGCATCCGCGGGCGTGCACGAGTTCGCGAGCCAGATGGCGGCGGCCGACGACCGCGTCGCGATGTCGTCCGTCGCCGTGCTTCACGCCGCGCAGATCCGCAGCATCCGCTCCGAGAATGCCGGCGACGCGAGGCCCGTCGGCACGCCGCCGAGCCGCGGCGGGAGTCGCGGAGCGACTCCTCGAGAGTCGCAACGGTCGCCGGGGGTCGCAGGCGATTGGAATCGGATTTATCAAGGCCAGTCCACTCCGGGCGCAGCGTCCGGTGCGGGGTTTGGGTCGAATGCTGCTGCTGTGGGGAGCGGAGTTAGCGGGGCCGGTGGGGTCCATAGCATGTCGGAGCCTCGAATCGCGACACCTGGTGCAACAGGGGACAAACTACCGCTATCGCCTTTATCGGGTATGGTTATAACGGGTCAGGCGCAAGGACACAGTTACAGCCCCGCGCAGGGGGGGCATCATCCCGCGCAGTATGCGCACCCAGGAGAGATCGGAGGGGCGAGCGGGGGTATTGGCGGAGGCGGAGGCGGAGGCGGCGCAGGGGTAGCGGGTGGTCCAATTACGATGGCGGCCGGACCTGGGACGCAACGCCCTGCTCCAATGGCGTCGAGCGCGGCCGCGTCTGCGCCGGGTCGCGCGCGGATACTCGCGTGGCTTCAGGAGTCGGAGTTTAACTACGCGGTAGTTGACGAGGTGGAGAACTCTCCCACAAAGCTTCCCTCGTCAAGCGGTAAAGGGGCAAGCAGCGCCGCTGGTGACAGCGACGCTGTGACTGTAGGCGGAGGTGACAGCAGCGGGGGCACGAATAGCACGAGAGAAGGCAGCCACGACCCCAATAGACCTACACACTCCAACCCAGACGAACCCGCTATAGAGAAACTCGGTTCGTTTCTATCAAGCCTGCTTAACGGCTGCTATGATGACGCCAGCAGCCCCGCGCCTCCCCCGCAGCCGGGCAGCAGCAATCAGCCGTTCGACCCGTTCGCGAGTTCTAGTAACGCGGGGTCGTGGCGCAGAGAGACCGCAGTTGTGACTCTACCGGGGTCCAGAAAGGACCTGCCTCCTGCCGCACCACCGTTTGGCTCGAACGCAGCAGCATTAGTAGGGGGGAGAGGGGGAGGGGGAATGGGGGGGATTGCGGGAGGAAGAGCAGGAGGAGCAGCAGCAGGAGCAACGCGAGCAGCAGCAGCAGATTTAGGAGGCACAGGCGTCGGGGGTTTAGGTGCTGCTGCGGGTTCTCTAGCTGCTCCGGCTGCTGCTGCTGCCTCTTCTGCTTCTGCTCGTGATAACAGTGCTGGCGTTGCTGCTGCCGCCCCCTCTCCTTCCCCTCCCGCTGCCGCTGCTGCTGGCGCTGCCACGCGCAATCCCTCTGCAGTGCGCACGTGGAAAGACGGCGCAGACGCTACCTTGCTCAGCGCTAAGTTTCACTCGCAGGTTCGGACTGCCGGGCCTACAGGCTTGGGAGCAGGCTCGGGAGCCGCGCTGTCCCCTGCTGCTGCCGCTGCTGCGGCGGCTGCAACGGCGGCGGCGGCTGCAGCAACGATGGCGGGCGCGGGGACAGATGCGCGTATGGGCGCGGCGGAGCCCTGTGCGCGCAGCCCCGCGCCTGGTGCACCAGAAGCGGGAGAATCGTCATTATCAGCATCAGTAGCGGTGGTAGCAGGAGCAGCAGGAGGACAGTCAGCAGCAGCAGAAGAAGTAGCGGTAGAGGGTGGGGAGGGGGCTTTGGATTCAGGTGCGAGGGAAGATTCTTTAGCAGTGGGTAGAGATGAAGCGGGCTCAGAAGCAGAGGGGGCAACCACAACCACAGGAACAGGTGTGGCAGGTGGGACAGGTGGGGCAGGTGAGACAGGTGGGACAAATCCTGTTAATGGTGCTGATGCTGCCGATGGTACTGGTGTTGCTGGTGGGGCAGGTGGCACAGGTGGTGCAGGTGCAGCAGTGGGGCGAGGGCGAGAGCGGGACAGGGAGGGCCTGCTGGTGCAGGCGCTGACCAATCAGATGCGGCAGAATGGGGGAGAGGGGGATGGGAGCGGGTGCAGGGCACAGGAAGGGACAGGGAGAGAGGCAGAGTGCGCAGGGGAGCAGGAGTGGCGGGGTGTGGGTGTGAGGGAGGGCCGAGCAGGGGGAGAGAGCGAACTGGTGAGCCGATCAGTGACCGAGGCGTCAGCGGGGGATTTATCGGCCGTGGCCAGCAATGTTGGAGTCACTTTTGACAACTCTCACAAGTGAAGTGACTCCTGCATAGTCGGTCAGTGTTTTGAGATGTCAGCTGCGGGTTTTTCAACAACAGCTAGCACAGGAATTTTGAGAACTCTCACAAGTGACTACGATATAGTCGGTCAGTGACTGTGGTGTCAGCCGGGGGTTTATCAGCAGCGGCTACGGCAGAAGCAGGGCTAGATGGGGGGTTTGTTAGTGAGGCGGCCCAAAGGTGAGTTCAGCTGAGGGTGTATATTCTCTGGGCGGCACTGCAGCAGGGCTGGGTGGGCGGGATGGGGGGGAGGGGCAGCTGGGGCCGCCACAGGAGTGCAGGCGCAGCAGAAGGTGCAAACCTGCTTTGCCTGGAGAGGTATTATGTTGCGGTGGGATGCGGTGCAGTGGGGTTGTGTGGGGCATACTGAGAGGAACTCGAGGTGGAGTGGTGCTCTCTGAGATGCGTGAAAGCTTTTGAAACGCCTCAGAAGGCAGCACATGAGCGAGGGTGCCCACAGGCAGCTGGGGGGTTGACACTTGGGTCGACTCACACGTCAAGCCACCTGTGCTCTGAGGTGTCTCAGGTATCTCAGATATCTCAGGTATCTCAGATATCTCAGGTATCTCATCTCAGGTATCTCAGGTGTCCGTCAGGCAGGCCGCAGCAGATTGTTTTGAAGGGAACCACCCCTGCGTCCTTGCTGTCTCGCTGAATGGTTGGCTTGCGCGGTTGGACAGAGTCCTCTGGGGTGTGGTGTAGTGTACTGGTAGGTGAATTGCTGCATTTATGTTGCATAGGGTTAATTAGTGTAGTTGCATACACTCATGCTAGTGAGTCGTGACATGTTAATGTGTCATGCAGGGTTTCTGAGAAGAGCTGTAGCCTCTGTAGGTGCACTGTAGGGTCAGCAGCATGGTTGTGGGGTATAGGCAGCAGCATATATTATGACCTTAGTTCACTCATGCCTGTGCTATTGCAACATCGTTGTTGGAAGCTGTGCTGGTGTTGAAATGTGGGCATCTTTATAGCCGTGGCTGTTCAGTTCAGGACTTATTTCCCCCACAGGAGCAACAGCAGCAGGTCAGGTACAACAGGTCAGCCACAGAACAGCAAGGCAAGGGAAAAATATGTGCAATGCAATTACGGTAAGTTTCAATGCAAACCAAGTTTCATAACAAACCAAGGTTCACGGTGGCACATTGCCAAGCTCTGAGCATCGGTGCCTCTTGTTGAATAGTCCAGAGATGCCAAGCGGGGCATTAGGCACTTTCAGAGATGCCACCCACAGATGCTTCCCATCCCTCTCCATTTCTGGGACGTCTCAAGGAGCTGGTCATCAGCCCTGCACAGCCTAAGCTGGGCTCAGGCTAAGCAGCAGCAGTGGTGCCTCGTGCTGCATAATTCAGCACGGCCAGGTGGGGCACTACGAGAGATGCAATCCACAGCTTCCCATCCCCTTCCATTTCCGAGACGTCTCATAAACGGATTCAGGCTAAGCAGCACTGGTGCCTCCTCCTGGTGCATAGTCAAGCACGGCCAAGTGAGGTACTATGAGAGATGCGATCCACAGCTTTCCATTTCTCTCCATCACCTCGCTGGGTGCCTGCACCCGCTTCCCTGCCCGGTCCTCCAAGATTTCCGTGATCTGCCCGGACGAGTCCACCTCTGCGATAACCCCGTTGGGCAGCCCGAAAATTCCGGCGTAGAGGAGGAGCGGGTGGAGGTTGAGGCGGAGGAGGATGGAGCGCAGACGGGGCGTGCGAGTGAGGAAATCTGCACAAAAAGGGGAGATCGGGGTGGGGCGAGAGATGCGGGAGAGTGGGTTGAGGAGGGGAGGAGAGTGGGGGATTCGAGGGATGAGGGACGGTGAAAGCGAGGGTTGAAAGAGGCATGGCGGCATCGGGGCTTGCGGTGGTGACCAGGGGATACAATGGTGGGGCATATGCGGTACAGTACAGTGACAAGGTGACATAGGAAGCGGCTGAAAGGAGCGGTGGTGAGAGGGAAAGGGGAACAGGGGAGAGGATTCCCGAACCATAAGCGGAGGTTCGGTAGGCAGGCATGGCAATCCAGAAGCGGCCGCGGGGGTTGAGTCGGGGGTTGTCGGGCACGCCTGGCAGGTCCACCAGCACCTCGTGTGTGCCTGCCTTGCTGCCTTTCAGCCAGTAGCGGTTGCACCTGCTCATGCATGCATGCATGCACACGTACACATATGCACGGCATGCGTATGCACATGCGCACATAAGGAGGTATACAAACGAAGGTATATGAAGGTATATGGGAGCACATGGAGGTATATGGAGGTATGTGGAGGTTACAGGGCGTGCTGCAAGATTCGCCTTTGCTTGCTCCACTCCCTCTTTCCCAATCACCTACCTGCCTCCATGCCAACCACCCACCTGGCTCGGATGGTCTCGCAATACACGAGGAAGGAGCGATCCGCAGAGAGAGCAATCCCGTTAGCGAATGCCACGCCCGCCACCAGCTGAGTCACCTCGCCTGTCGCCACGTCATACTTGTACACTCCGCCGTCCGCCCCCCCGTTCAGAATCATGGAGAGGAAGTTCCTGTTGGGTGGCAGATGGGCGGGGAAGAGGGGAGCGAGGATGATGGGAGGGTTGATGCCAAATATATGGGGAGGAGGGTGGTGGTAGGAGGTGAAAGGAGGGGTGAGACAGGGAGGGAGAAGGGAGTGGCCAGGAGGCTTAAGGGTGAAGCATTAGACTTGAAAAAAAAAGGGGGATTGAGGTGTACCACATATAGTGAGCTGTGCCCCCCCGTGTACCTCATTTCGTATTTTGTACTCGATACAGTGAAATACACTGTTCCGTTTGCATCCTCCGCGTCAATATCAAGGTCGTTCACAAACGACCCTTTCTGCCCGTCCACCAGTTTCCCCCCAACCAGCTGCTCCGCCAGTCCCCCTTTTAAGCCGACCCGATTCAGCCCATAATACGCGTCCGCGATATAAAGCTCTCCGGTTACAGGGTGAAACCGCAGGCCCAAGGGACGGCCGCAACGAGGCTCCTTAGACGGGTCGGGCTGTGACTTTGGCGGAATGTCACACAACAGAGGGGTGCGATTCGGGGAGGTTCGAGCGAAGGGCTCCCATTGGCTGTCGTCCGCGCTCCGCCGCACGACTCGGCCGTCTGCGAGGCCGGAGTAAGGGCCCCGACCGTTGGCGTCGATGGCGAGACTCTCAGGGCCGGTGCCCTCGTGCAAGTACCTGGCATTCGCAGCATCGGCAGCGAAACATTCGCCGCATATATCGGAGAAAAACGAAGAAAAAAGAGAAAATAATCAGACTCAAAAGATTCAGCCATCCCGTCTTTCGGGGATTAACTTACGCTCATAAATACGACTGGGTGTTCCTGTTTTAGTCGAGGAAATTAATATGGTATCGTGCTTTGGAAAAGAAAAACAAGCTGCGGGTTACCAGTCTCGACTAGGTGCTCCTGGAGCGCGCGTTCAAGTGCGATTCCTTTCAGCAATGAGTTATCTTTTCCAAAACTGACGATGAAATAACGACGGTGTTTCTAATTGTGAGAGTTTCCCTTTCTGACACTTTAGTCGCGACAAGAACGGTGGATTACTTGATTTCGGCGGAAGCAAGGCGGTTCGACGGGTCGCTAGCTGCTGGCACGGCACGCGGCGGGAGGAGGACGAGCGACACGTCTACTGGCTGGCGAAGCGCGAGCGGGTCGTTGTACACGAAAGACGCGATTGCCGCTACAAGCACGCCGAGAAGCGCGGCGCGAAGCGCGGCCATGGCTGAAACAGAGGCGAGAAGGGCACTCGAAGACAAAGGGCAGGCAGGGCAGCCGTGCCGTGAGTCGAGTTGGGGAAGCTGTGAGTGCCTGCCAATCCCAATGCCCGATGCCTGTCAGTGCTGTGCTGCTGCTGTTGGAAAATGACTGAACCGGCATTCCCTTCAAGGCTGGGCAAATTCCTCGGTGTTGCTAGTTACACTCATCTCCAACATCGTTGTGGGACATCGACGGGGAAATGATGCTTAGTACAAGTACCAGTACTGGAGGGAACACAGTTTTCTTTCTGAGCATTTGTTGAAGAAACTATTATTATTTAGAGTAACGAACATGGAGATTAACCAGCGTGATGGTATATTACAGACACATTCAGGCGAAAACCAAAATGTCAACCAAAACCGAAGCAAATCAAATGGTTTAGGGGGCACCCCTGGCGCTAACGGGGACTTGGGTCAACCTAGAAAGCGCCAATAAGCGCCTTGCGGGGGTAGTAATTTCCGTTGTCGCTGAAAGACGACGAGGCGCCGGTAGCCATCTCGACAGCGAGCGCGGTCTCGTCGTCAAGACCCTCAGCGCGCACAAAGCGGCAGAAGGCGCAGTCAGAGTGAGTGAGGTCAGAGCACTTGTAGTCGTCAACGGTGCCGTCAATGAAACCCTCGGCGTTGTCGCCCGGCACCACGTACGTCTTGAACAGCTCGCTGTACACCAGCTTCTGTTTCTCCCTGCATTCATGCAAGTAAAAACGAAAGAAAATATAAATGTCAGGGCAGAACGCAGGTGTGTAAAGAATTACAGCAGCAAAAGGCGGTTGATACGGAAGTGATTCGAGTTTGGTGTGCAGCGACTTACAGTCTGCCGGCGAAGTCGGGGCGGTACGTCTGGCCGAGCACGCCGTGCACGTTGGGCGACAGCTTCGCGCTCATCACGTCCACCGTGAAGTGCACCAGCCCGTCCTCCTCCGTGCGAAGCATCGGGATCTCCGGTTGCAGAGTCAGTCGCAGCGCGAGAATGTCGCTGATGCGAATCTCGTACTCGTCCACTAGGTCGTCTCCGACAGGCTTTTTCGCAGCTGCCCACTTGATCTCGACCTGCCCGTCAAAGAAGGACGCGGCCTCGAGGTGCGACCCGGGAACGCCCAGCTTCACCTCCTCAGTGTCAACCACGAGACGCTGGAGATAACCGGTACGGTAGTCGGCAGCCCAGCCCTCACGCGCCTCGAACACAATAGTGTGGTGTCCCCACAGGACGCTGATTTGCCGCATCCACGTCAGCGCCTTGTTGCGGCCTTCCCATTCGCCCCAGCGGCCGTCGAAGTGAGCCTGCACTGCCACGTGGGCGTCGGAAATGAGCGCGTAGTCCTCGCCGGGCCGGCCGCTGAAGTCGAAGCGCGAGAGGTCGGCGCCGACAAAGTGCGGGTCGCCGGTGCCGTTGGCGGGGCAGATCTTGCCGACGAAGATGAACTCGGGGCGCACGCCGTTATCGCGCGACGGGTCGATAAAGTGCTTGTCCTTGCACACCTCCTCGCCGTAGCACGTGCACAGACCTGCGCGGATAACGCCGCAGTGGGCACATTCAAGCACGGAGACGAGGGCAGATTGAGAACGTTTAACAATGGCAGGCGGGAGCGACGACGCGGAGATTGGGGAGTTGGGAAGGTGCTCATAAGTCTACTCGAGGCACGCGTGCTTACCGCCAGTGGTGGGGTCGGTGAAGGGCTCGTACTGCCAGTACACGACGGGGTCGGGGCGGTTGCCCTGGTTGTGGTACTGGCACACCTTCCAGCACTCCTCGTTCGGGTCCTTGGTCGCGCTGTACGTGAATGCCTCGGAGAATTTAGGGTTCACGGAGTCGAAACGGCCGGCCTGCTTCGACTTGGACTGGCATTGGAAAATGGGGCACGAGCGATTGTCCGTGCCGCCGCCCTGGTTGGAGCCCTGCGTTCCTTGTCCGAAAACTTGGCCTACTATGCAGAGCAGCAAGATGAGTGTGGCTTTGGTCTTAGTGGTCGCCATGGCGCTCAGGTTTAGCTTTTCCCCCGGATAGTTCCACTGAACGGATTACGAAATGCAGCACGTTGTGTTTGGATAAATGGAAGGACGTGCTTTCCAGCCGTAGCAGCAAAGCGTCAATCAGGGGAGGAGGGTTGGGGTGACGGCAGGAGCCGTGCGGGCGAAAGGTTGCTCAAGCACATCGTTTTCGCACAATCGCAACGGTCGGGGGGGACGACGAGCAGCACGATAGGTGAAACCAGTACAGCTACACGTACCAGGCTATTTCTACATGTACCCCTTCCTTTCCGCGACTACGAAATACATTGATGCGGCGAGAACAATAGACTACGTACGTAAAAATATAAAATAATACCCACGCTTGACGATGCGAGGGAACTAGATAACAGAAATATGGGCCAAATTTACCAGCCACAGAGCTTCGCACGAATCTTGTTCTTTTAGAAAGTTGTTGGTGAGTGATAACGACAAAGTGGGCCACTTCAAGTGTGCAATCTCAGGTCTCTTCTCAAATTCCTCCCCCCTCAACCAAGATTGCTGCAGCATCAACGCTTGGCTGCTCGAGTTTCTCCTGAGACCGACGGCAGCTTTGAGTCAAAGCAGCGCTGCTGACGTGGCAATCTGTTGATGTCACCTGGTGTAGATCGTTCGAGGGCATGAAACGAAGCGCAGGTCGCTAGGACTCAATCACCTCTTTGCAGTGTCACTGGATACACGGGCCAAGAATCATCATCCGCTATATTTTAGAAATGTCGATATAGCACGATTCATAGTCCAACACATATCGGTCAAGTGTTGCTAAGAAGATAACAGGATTCACGACTCGTTAGAGAATCTTGCCTTAGCGCGGACACGGTGGGACAAGGGTGAGATTCCAAGACCACTGCACAAGGTGTACTACATTAGTACTTGTCAACCACTAGGTCTCTAATCTCCCCCTCATGGCGGCCGATCGGTCAGTACCTAGTCTTCTGACGTGGCTAGTACTCCGAGACACCGCTGTGTCGACCCGCCTGTATAAAGCCACCGAGCATTTGCCGATCTTCCGCTCGTTCCTGATCCTCCTCGAGAGATCCGGCGATGGCCGTCTCCTCCTCCCTCTCTGCTTCGCGCTGCTGTCTCCCGTCTTCACCACCGCGACGATCCGCCAGATCTTTCTAGGAACGTTCCTCGCGTGCATACTCGATCTGGCGGTCGTCGGTGTTCTCAAGGTCGCGTTTCGCCGGCCGCGTCCGCACTACAATCGCGGGATGCTGATCGTCGTGGCGCCCGATCAGTGGTCCTTCCCCAGCGGCCACGCGTCGCGTGCCATCATGATCGCAGCGCTCTTCTTCCACCTCCTCCCACCTATCTCCACCGAATTCGGCCACGTGCTTCCTGCCAACCCCGGCCGTCTGATCCCGCCGGATCTGCAACGGCTACTCCCTGAAAGCTTCACAAACGCTTTATCAGCCGATTTAAGCCCGGAATTCAGGGTTTGGTTGCTTGTATCAGCGATTGCCGTGTGGGGTGCAGCGACTGCTGGTTCCAGAGTGTTCCTGGGACGGCATTTCGTTCTCGATGTGGCCGTGGGTTGCCTCCTAGGGTTTCTAGAAGCGCTTCTAGTCGCCAGGATGGTTTGGCCGGCGCCAGAAGTTTCTGAGAAGCTGCGGGAGGTGGCCCTGACGTGCGGGTTATTCCGAGAGGGGTGCAGCGTGGATGAGGTTCGCAGTGCTGTGGGGCTCTGATGTGATGACACGTCAGCTAAAGCTGCCGGGTTCTGCTGTCGTGACACGTGGCTGTGACTTGTCCAACAGGTTATCCTGGTCATAGTCACTCAATAAGGGTGATATAATACCCATGCTACAGTGCCACTCCCCAATTCCACAATATGTTTATTACTTCTGCGGCACTGCATTCTGTATGACCTACAAGCATGCTGACAGTCGTCTCTCTCCTCTCATTGGCGGAAATCCTTCTTCTCCCACTTCCCTTCACTCCTCTTCTCGTCACTGTGCTCCTCATTGCTCTCTCTCTCTCTCTCTCTCTCTCTCTCTCTCTCTCTCTCTCTCTCTCTCTCTCTCTCTCTCTCTCTCTCTCTCTCTCGCTCTCAATCGATCCTTTCTCTAGATGGCATTCTCAATCCCATCTGCCATCTGTCTGATTCAGTCGACCCCGAGTCCCAATGATGACGGATTTAGTGACATGATGCTTGCACACTCGCTAGTAGCACTACACCCCATCGAAGGGCATGTAATGCCGTGACTGCAGCAGCGCTGCTCTTTCCTGGCTGGTGCGTGTGCTGTCCTGGGAGATGCATGCGAGCAAGTGAGATAATGTGGCAATTCTGAGGGACTTGATACAAAATCTTGAAAAAGGTGTACCGGTACCTATTTGAAAACAACCTCTTTGGGTGGCTGAATGGCAGAAATAAACGCCAGAGTAGAGTAGAGTACAGATGACTGCATGTACTGCGTGTGCGTGTGCACCTAGTGTGTGCGCGCCGGTCAGACGTGCACGCTGCGTGCAAATTTATCGACTGTTGTCTCACAAGAACCAACCAACCAACCCAGTACTTGCCTTCTCAAACAGTACAACCCAATCTCGGAAACTACCTGTGACATGACATGGCTGGCCAAAACACATTCCCACAGAAGCACACAACGCAGCCGTTTTCGCGCACTACCAGGGTGACTGGCATTTCTCAGAGTAGTCACACCCCTTGGTCCTTCGCACAGAGGCGCTCCCCTCCCTTCTGCCCACCGCCCCCTTTACAATCACTCCACATTGTACACCCTTCTCCACAACCTTTTCCCAGGTCCCTCTATAGTCACTCCAGGTTAAGCGCCTTTCTCCACCCCTTGGGGAGAAAGCTTCCAAACCCAAATCCCCCAAACTTGCTTCCGCTTCCTGGGGAAGGCGGTGGTGCCCCCGCTACAGACGCTGCTACAGATGCCGCCCGGTTGTGCCCTGTCCGCACATTTATGCCTAGCGTGCCCCGCACTCCCACCCCTCCATCTGCTCCTTTGGCTCCTGTGGCTGCCCTCCCTCCCCCAACCAGTCCCACCATGCTCTGAGTCCTTGCCCTGCTGCCAGCACTCCTTGCTGTTGGGTAACTTGCTGGAGGGGCTGCTGGAGGGGCAGTCTCTCCCCTCTCTGATGCCGCTCCTGCTTTTGACGCTGCGGGTGACGCGCCATTACTAGCCACCGCTGCTGCTGCTTCGCCATTGCCTCCTACTCCCCTCCCCCCTCCTCCTACTCCCTGTTCCCCTCCTCCTACTCCCTGTTCCCCTCCTCCTACTCCCTGTTCCCCTCCTCCTACTCCCACTCCACCTCCATCATCTCCTCCCCTCTCCGCCCGCGCCTCTTCCCCAGGGCCCCAGGACGACACAGCCACGCCCACAGACGCCAGCTGGGACGCAATCTCCTCCTCCCACGTCAGCCCTGACGGCGCCACGTCACCCACCCGCCCCCGCACCTTCCCATCCCTAGGCCGGCCTTGCGTCGGTGGTAACCCTGCGTTACCCGGACCTGCTTTGGCAGCGTGAGAGGCGGCGTTTGCTCCTCTGTTGTTCCCAACTGCAGCATCACCAGCAGCAGCACCTGAAGCAGCACCTGAAGCGTCACCTGAAACAGCAGGGCCGCTGGCCAGAGTACCAGCAGCGATGGCAGCGGCGGTAACCATGTTGGAGAATTGAGTCGACCAGTTGGCGTTGGTGGCGCTGGTGGTGTGTGTGAGCGTGCGCATCGTGTTGGTATACTCAGTTGAGAACGCCACTGCTGATTCGTATATCACATTGATGCCTGATTGGAAGAGCCCGCTGGGGTTGGACGGGCCAGGAGATGCAGTGGCGATGGTGGGCGGAGCAGTGAGAGTGGCAGGACGGGGGGGAAAGGCGGTAGAACCAGGATTGGGTGTAGGTGGGGGGGTGGATGGAACAGGGTGGGCAGGGGGGTGTGCACTGGTGTTGCCGTGCGGTGCAGGTGAAGGGGGAGTGGAGGAACCCGAAGCAACTGCTGCCACCGCGCTGGCAATGCTGCCGAACAAGCCGTCAGGTGCCACGCGTGCCGCCCAGGAGAAATCAGCAGAGGCTAAGGGGCTGCTCCACCCTGACCCCCCTGCAGAGGCTGCCTGTTGTGCGCCTGGCTGTGCAGGCTCCTGCTGTTCCGTCTTCTCCTCCTCCTGCTGTTGCAGCCGTTGCTGCTGCGGTGCCTGAAACGGGGATTCTGTGTCAGCACTAGCCAGTGACTGCGATTGTTGCTCTCTCTTTTCTCCCCCACGCTGCTGCTGCTGCTGCTGCTTCTGCAGGGGCTGCAGCCGTCTCCCTCCTCTCTTCCACCTCCGCCACCCTGTCAACCCCCCCACTCCCAGCGTCCCCATTCACCGGGCCCCCATTCCCCGCGCCCCCATTCACCGGGCCCCCATTCCCCGCGCCCCCATTTGCAGCCCCGCGCAGCCCCCGTTGAATTCCCCCCTCTCTCGCCCTCCCCGCCACGTTGAATACAAACGCATCATCCTCGTTATCATCGTCCTCGTTTTCGTCCAGCTCCGCCAATTCCTTTTGCAGTCGCGTGCGCCCGCACTCCAGCACCCTCCGCCCCTCTTCTTCCCCCGCTCCCCCCGCTCCGCCTTCCCACGGGGGAGGCTCGGGCGCGCGCGTGAGGAAGCGCTTGGGCGCGCCGGGGTAGAGCATTAGGACGGGGCGGGGAGGCACGACGCCCCTATGCGACGCGATTAAAGACCTAAGGCGCTGCTCTAGCTTCTTTAGCTGTTGTTTTTTCCGCTCAAACAGGAAAACATTAGGCTCCTCCGCGGCTGTTGCTGCCGCTCCGTTTTGCTCTGCTCCGCCTTCGCGCTCCGCGGCTTGTGCCTGCGCCTGCGCCTCCCCCGCGGCGTCAACCGTCGGCAGCAGCTCCGCGGCGCATTCGTCGAGAAGGGACTGCAGAAGCTGACGGACGCGCTGCCGATCCGCGCACTCGTGCGCCGCGGCGGTGACAATGGTGGCGGCCCCGCTGGCGGAGATTCCCGCGCGTGGCGGCTGGGCGCCTGGTTGCTTGCGGTGAACGAGGTGGATGATCATGCGCTGATCGTGGCTCTGGGGGCGTTGGCGGAAAGGCGGAACGAAAGGGGAAGGCATTGGGGGAAGGAAGGGAGAGGTCAGAGAGAGCATGGGAGTGGAGTGAGGTGGGGGGAGGGGGCGGTGAACCCGGAGAAGGGAGCGCGGAACAGCGGAACGGCGCACGACCATCTGGTGAAAGGCGGCCAGCGAACGAAACGGGCGGTGAGAGATTTGATTGACAGAAACAGAGTGTGGAACGATTGGGTTGCATCATGCGACGGAAAAGGCGCTACCATGATCCACTTACGACGGAGAACCATCGCACGTGCGACGGGACTTGGGCGATAGCTTCGCGAAGCACCTCGTTGAAGTCATCCGCTAATGAGCTGGAACTATGCGATATAAGCACATTGCCCGCGTGGCTGACACCTAGGCCCAGAATAAGCTCCTGCTCGTTACCCTGCTCGCGACCCATTCCCATCCGCCTGTTTCGCGAACGCAGTACGTTATATGTGTGACGTTGCAATCAGCTTCTCGTCGAGAACGGTGCTGAAAAAAAATCTAGCAACAGGCAGTATGAGTTATCCGTATATATGGAACTCGGATGTGCTAGCTGATGTTGAAAATAACGGCGCTCTCTTGAGAGATGCTCATGCACCCTAGATTTTAGAATACTAATTTTCCTGGAGAACTAATGCGGGCGAAAATATGATGTGCATAGTTGGAATGAGCCTGCCCGCGAACAACACTCCGACATTAGCGAATGTGGGAGTCGTTTTTCGTGACCGAATCAGGAGCTGCCGTATTCCCTGAGATGTGTGAGAGCCAGTTACGAAAGACACATAGTAACTTGGCGAAAGCCACGCCTACAGCAAAGCACTTGTATCTGTGTGCAAGTCAGTAGCAGCAGAAACCGTAGCGAATGTTGGCTCACCGTTGGCGACAAAAACCGAGCATTTACGTCGCACGAAAGTGAGGTTGGTGGGGAATTTTGTCTGACTCGTCGTGGGTTCAAGCCTGCAATTTCGCGTACGGCCTTATCGAATTCACCTTTGACAGCGGAAGTCAGCCAGTACACGCCTCGGTAAATGGTAACTCCTGGCTCTATTCACATATTATACCTCTGCAATAATCAGGCAAGGGCTTCTATTTGACGCAAATGCAATCTCATATACTCTCCTTTCCTTTCCATCAGCTGCTGGTGTGTGCCAACCTGAAATACAGACATACATCACGAGGTCGTGAGGGTAATAGAATAACTCTATGCATCCGTAGTAAGTGAATCCAGAAAGCACCAGTTGCTCACCTCGACAATTTTGCCTGCGGACATCACCACTATTCTATCTGCGGAACAAATCGTGGATAACCTGGCAGTATGAGGGGCAGGGGGACGCACAAATGTCACGTAGCAGGGTAAGCAAGAATGAAATGGCAATTTGCAGGCAATGAGTGTCATAACAGGTGGTGAGATGCACAACACCGTGACAGGGAATGCAGTCGGAATGAATGAGCAGGAAATTCCAACATACCGATGAGCGATCACAATGATTGTCCGTTTTCTCCTTCCCCTTGCCGAGTCCTCATGCATGGCTTGGTCCAGTGCCATCTGGAGGATCAGTCACATGGGTGAGAGACAAATGACGGAGTGCTGATATATTTGACTAACAGGGTGAGGGATTGACTAGCAGGATGGGGGATTGAGCACACTCAACCTGCACATACTTCCTCAAGACCAAAATCAGCAGCTCATTCACTCTCTTCTCACCGCACACCACATTCTCTCCCCCCCCCCCCCCCCCCCCCCCCCCACACCAATCACCTGCACGTAGTGCTCGCTCTCAGCATCCAAAGCACTCGTGGCCTCATCCAGAATCAGAAGAGTGGGGTCGCGCACTAGAGCCCGCGCAATCGCTATTCTTTGCTTCTGCCCGCCGCTCAGCCGCGCGTTGTCGACCACCGTGTCGTAGCCCTCGGGCAGCCCAGAAACAAACTGATGGACGTTGGCCTGAGTTGCTGCTCTGGTGATTTGCTCTTGAGAAATTTCCTCTCTGCTTCCATAAGCGATGTTGGAAGCAACGTCAGTGCTGAAGAGACGGGGTTCCTGATGGCGTAGTGTGGAGTGGGGAGTTGGGAATGGGGAGTGTGGGGTAGGGAGTGTGGAGTGCATGGTGGGACTGGAGCATGGTGGGACTGGAGCATGGTGGGACTGGAGCATGGTGGGACTGGAGCATGGTGGGACTGGAGCATGGTGGGAAAGATGGTGATCATACTGCATATAAATTTCTTTCACGTGCGCCTGTGGCGATACAGAGGTGGAAAGGCGTTTGACTTTGCATGCAGGGATAGCATGTGCGGCGAGGAGGAGAGGGGGAGAATAGGGGGAGAATAGGGGGAGAATAGGGGGAGAATAGGGGGAGAATAGGGGGAGAATAGGGGGAGAATAGGGGGAGAATAGGGGGAGAATAGGGGGAGAATAGGGGGAAGGGAGTAAAATGAGAGCAAGGGGGTGGGAAGAGCTCACCTGGCTGACGACGCCAATGTGGCTTCTCAGCCATGATGGAAGGAGCAGGTTGGTGGGGCAGAGCGATTCAATGCGGGACAGGAGCGATTAGGATGGATGGGGAAGGAGCAGACAGGAGAAGGGAGCTCACCTGGCTGACGACGCCAATGTGGCTTCTCAGCCATGCGATGTCAATCTCCGGTAGAGGCACGTCGTCTATAAGCACCTGTGAACTAAGCAGGCAGTGCAAGTCAAAGAAATAACTCATCAACTGCATAGCAGAGCAGCGCACAGGCATGCAATATCATCTCCCTGCGCACAGGCATGCAACATCATATCCCTGCGCTCATCCCCTCCTCACCACCCTCACACCTTTCCTGCTCTCCTACTCCCCTTTCTTATTGCATCTGATTCCCCTCTCTGCCACTTCTCTCCAATCACTGCAGCAAGCCCAGCAAGCCCAGAATGCACTTGCCACTGCCTTGGAGCCATGTGTGCTTGGAATCTACCGTCAAGCACGGCCCCCCCCCAGCGCACACCATTGAGCCCCAGCGCACACCATTGAGCCCCTCCCCTGCAGGCTGCAGCAGTACCATGAGAGCGCCCTTGCCTCTGTCATTCAGCCGTGCATTGAGCCTCTCTCAAACAAGCGTCACTCCCTCTCACCTGCCCTTCGGTGGGCTCGTAGAGTCGCTGCAGCAGCCCGACTAGGGTGCTCTTGCCGCTGCCACTGAGACCCACCAGCGCCACCAGCTCGCCTGGATGGATGGTCAGGTTGATGTGATCCAATACGGGTGCCTATAACGAGGGGTGGGCGAAGGGAGGGGAAGTGAGAGAGAGGTACGACCCAACTCGAGTGACTGTAGGGAGGGAGGGTGCAGGAGGGGTATTGGGTTCATGCTGTCCATAGGGTTGGAAGAGGGAGGGGAGACGTGACGATAGTGGAACTGAAGAAGATCCAATGTTTGAAGCAGGCAGGGAGGGACAGTAGCTATATCATCTAGAGCAGTCACTACATGTTACCTCAGGGCGGGTGGGCGCACCTCAGGGCGGGTGGGGTAGCGGAAGGAGAGATTGCGGAACTCCAGCTTGCCGCTCAGCGATGGCAACACACGGCCTGATGGCAAACCGGGGAGGGGAGCAATGCAGGCCAGGTATGGTAGGGGAGCGAGAGGAGTGGGGACGGATGAGTGGGATGAGGGAGATGGGAGCGTTGAATGAAGATAAGTGCGAGCACTCGGACTTACTAAGACCCTTTGTGACCCCTCCCACTCACCATGGTTCTGTGTGAGCTGCTCTGAGGGTGGCAAATCCAGCAGCTGAAACACGCGGTGGCAGGCGCCGACAGAGTCCATGAGGGAGGCCCAGTGATCGCCCACCCACCACGTGGCATGCACCACCCACTCCGCATACAGAATGAACTGCGTCAGCTGCTCCGCTGTTATCCGGCCGGCCATCACCGCCCCTCCTCCCATTATCAGAGCGAGCACCTGAGGGAAAGGGAGAATTGGGAAGAGAGGGTACAGGAGGGAGTGGGGTTTTTGAGGCACCTCGAGAATCGGGAAGAGAGGGTACAGGAGGGAGTGGGGGGTTGCAGCACCTGTGCACCGCCCACTCCGCGTACAGAATGAACTGCGTCAGCTGCTCCGCTGCTATCCTCCCTTGCATCACCGCCCCGCCGCGCCCATGATCAGAGCGAGGACCTGATGGGTGAGTGGGAGGATGGGGGGAGAGGGAGTAGACGAAGGAGGAGGGAAGTGTTTCAACACCACATGACACCTGGGAGTGCAACACATGACTTGCACCATTCACTCTTGAGTAGAGAATGAGCTGAGACAGCTGCCCAGATGGGCCATCACCCTCGCTGTACCGGCATGCCATTGTGGACCTACACCCCGGGAATTTGAAAGTAGAAAGTCTCAACACACGTTCAAGAGCACACCTGTGTGGCGTTGTAGATGGTGTTGCCAGTGCACGTCCACACGCCATACGCCACGGACCTCCTCAGACCCACATTCACTATGCGCTGCAGCGGCACCTCGTACCTGATACACACACACTCGCACGCATGCACAGGTCGGTATAAGCTCATTCAGACACGCAAATAAATCAACTTAATCACACGCGCATGCACACTCGAAGCAGGGGAAAGAACAACAGGAAGTGCAGTCCAGACTGCACTCAAGACGTCACGAAATGCAGGTGGGGTACCCAACTTGATGCACAAAGTGCGGCCTCACCTCTTCACCTCCTTGCTCTCCGTGCCAAACGTCCGCACCACTCGGGCCAGCGAAAGCGTCTCCTCTGCCACCTGCAATGTGGGGTCAATGAGGGGTGGGGATGTCATGGACAGGAGATGCGGATGGCTGGCTTTTCTCTGAGCCCTTTCTAAGGCGAAGGTAAGTCATCCGTCACCTGTGGATGGCATTAACGGGATGGTGGGTGGATTTCTCCCACCCATGCGGGTTCTCGGTGGGGTTTTCTCACCTCATTGGCGGCGGCCACTGTGTCCTGCACCACCATGGAGCTCCGCCGGGAGAAACTGGACGTCAGGGAAGCACAGCGGCGGGTGGGGAGAATGGCATTGGGGAAGGGGAAGCGGTGAGTGGGAGGCATGGCATTGTGGTCAGGGGAAAGCAGGCGAACGTAAAAAGAGGATGAGAGAGGGGTTAGGAAAACAGGATAATGGATGGGGAAGGGAACAATAAAACAGCTGCATGAACTCGGACAGGCAGTGAAAGAAGAAACAAAGTTAGTTATGTCACCAGGACAGTGCTTGTTGATTCTGTTCCACGTAACTGCCATACATACATAGACCATTAAAGCCGGGATCTCAAGTACTTTTTCTGTTTTGCAGTTGGTGAATAGTGCTAGGCTGGGATTGGATGGCGAGGTACAGAAGTTGACGAGGAGTGAAGCGAGGGGTGCGAGAAAAAAACAAGTCACAGGTTGTTTCCGTGCCTTCTAGGCACGGAAACTGGTTCGGTGCCGAAGCTGAAGTACCAGAGAATGTTTCAGATTCCCGAAAGTCTCAAGTCCCCAGCAATTTGTTTTGCAATTGAATCAGGGGCAAAATGGGGAATGTGTCGCACAGTCAACCCCAAACCCGTCACTCCACTTCGCCCACTCAAACAGGGTGACCCTAGCGTCAACTGTTTTGCAGTTGATGCGCAAATCTTTTACTTGAGATCCTGCCTTTAAAAGGCCCACATACCTGCCGTAGACCATGAGCAGGTACCACATGAGGGCACAGAGTGCAGCCGTAACGAGCGCCATCTGCCAGCTCAGGCGAATGAGGAACACAAATGCCCCTATGCCCTGCTCGTGCAAGCAGGTGTGGGAATGGGGGAGGCGGTATGGGGGAATGGGGGAGGCGGTATGGGGGAACGGGGGAGGCGGTATGGGGGAATGCGCATGGGGAAGAGAAAGGGGTGCAGTGTATGAGCGTGGGGTGCAGTGTATGAGCATGTGGTGCAGTGTATGAGCGTGTGGTGCAGTGTATGAGCATGTGGTACAGTGTATGAGCATGTGGTGCAGTGAGTGAGTGTGCGGTGCAGTGAATGAGCATGTGGTGCAGTGAATGAGCATGTGGTGCAGTGAATGAGCATGTGGTGCAGTGTATGAGCATGTGGTGCAGTGTATGAGCATGTGGTGCAGTGAATGAGCATGTGGTGCAGTGAGTGAGCATGTGGTGCAGTGAATGAGCATGTGGTGCAGTGAATGAGCATGTGGTGCAGTGAATGAGCATGTGGTGCAGTGAATGAGCATATGGTGCAGTGAATGAGCATGTGGTGCAGTGTATGAGCATGTGGTCAGGTTTGAGGTCAGGTTTGAGGTCAGGTTTGAGGTCAGGTTTGACATCAGGTTTGAGGTCAGGTTTGACGTCAGGTTTGAGGTCAGGTTTGAGGTCAGGTTTGAGGTCAGGTTTGAGGTCAGGTTTGAGGTCAGGTTTGAGGTCAGGTTTGAGGTCAGGTTTGAGGTCAGGTTTGAGGTCAGGTTTGAGGTCAGGTTTGACGTCAGGTTTGACGTCAGGTTTGAGGTCAGGTTTGAGGTCAGGTTTGAGGTCAGGTTTGAGGTCAGGTTTGACGTCAGGTTTGACGTCAGGTTTGAGGTCAGGTTTGACGTCAGGTTTGAGGTCAGGTTTGAGGTCAGGTTTGAGGTCAGGTTTGAGGTCAGGTTTGAGGTCAGGTTTGACGTCAGGTTTGAGGTCAGGTTTGAGGTCAGGTTTGAGGTCAGGTTTGAGGTCAGGTTTGAGGTCAGGTTTGAGGTCAGGTTTGAGGTCAGGTTTGAGGTCAGGTTTGAGGTCAGGTTTGAGGTCAGGTTTGAGGTCAGGTTTGAGGTCAGGTTTGAGGTCAGGTTTGACGTCAGGTTTGAGGTCAGGTTTGAGGTCAGGTTTGAGGTCAGGTTTGACGTCAGGTTTGAGGTCAGGTTTGACGTCAGGTTTGACGTCAGGTTTGACGTCAGGTTTGACGTCAGGTTTGAGGTCAGGTTTGACGTCAGGTTTGACGTCAGGTTTGAGGTCAGGTTTGAGGTCAGGTTTGAGGTCAGGTTTGAGGTCAGGTTTGAGGTCAGGTTTGATGTCAGGTTTGCAGTCAGGTTTGACGTCAGGTTTGAGGTCAGGTTTGAGGTCAGGTTTGAGGTCAGGTTTGAGGTCAGGTTTGAGGTCAGGTTTGAGGTCAGGTTTGAGGTCAGGTTTGAGGTCAGGTTTGAGGTCAGGTTTGAGGTCAGGTTTGAGGTCAGGTTTGAGGTCAGGTTTGAGGTCAGGTTTGAGGTCAGGTTTGAGGTCAGGTTTGAGGTCAGGTTTGAGGTCAGGTTTGAGGTCAGGTTTGAGGTCAGGTTTGAGGTCAGGTTTGAGATCAGGTTTGAGGTCAGGTTTGAGGTCAGGTTTGAGGTCAGGTTTGAGGTCAGGTTTGACGTCAGGTTTGAGGTCAGGTTTGAGGTCAGGTTTGAGGTCAGGTTTGAGGTCAGGTTTGAGGTCAGGTTTGAGGTCAGGTTTGAGGTCAGGTTTGAGGTCAGGTTTGACGTCAGGTTTGAGGTCAGGTTTGAGGTCAGGTTTGAGGTCAGGTTTGAGGTCAGGTTTGAGATCAGGTTTGAGGTCAGGTTTGAGGTCAGGTTTGAGGTCAGGTTTGAGGTCAGGTTTGAGGTCAGGTTTGAGGTCAGGTTTGAGGTCAGGTTTGACGTCAGGTTTGAGGTCAACTTTGACGTCAGGTTTGAGGTCAGGTTTGACGTCAGGTTTGAGGTCAGGTTTGAGGTCAGGTTTGAGGTCAGGTTTGAGGTCAGGTTTGAGATCAGGTTTGACGTCAGGTTTGACGTCAGGTTTGAGGTCAGGTTTGAGGTCAGGTTTGAGGTCAGGTTTGAGGTCAGGTTTGAGGTCAGGTTTGAGGTCAGGTTTGAGGTCAGGTTTGAGGTCAGGTTTGAGGTCAGATTTGCAGTCAGGTTTGACGTCAGGTTTGACGTCAGGTTTGAGGTCAGGTTTGAGGTCAGGTTTGAGGTCAGGTTTGAGGTCAGGTTTGACGTCAGGTTTGAGGTCAGGTTTGACGTCAGGTTTGAGGTCAGGTTTGAGGTCAGGTTTGAGATCAGGTTTGACGTCAGGTTTGAGGTCAGGTTTGAGGTCAGGTTTGAGGTCAGGTTTGAGGTCAGGTTTGACGTCAGGTTTGACGTCAGGTTTGAGGTCAGGTTTGACGTCAGGTTTGAGGTCAGGTTTGACGTCAGGTTTGAGGTCAGGTTTGAGGTCAGGTTTGAGGTCAGGTTTGAGGTCAGGTTTGAGGTCAGGTTTGAGATCAGGTTTGAGGTCAGGTTTGAGGTCAGGTTTGAGGTCAGGTTTGACGTCAGGTTTGAGGTCAGGTTTGACGTCAGGTTTGAGGTCAGGTTTGACGTCAGGTTTGAGGTCAGGTTTGACGTCAGGTTTGAGGTCAGGTTTGACGTCAGGTTTGAGGTCAGGTTTGAGGTCAGGTTTGAGGTCAGGTTTGAGGTCAGGTTTGAGGTCAGGTTTGAGGTCAGGTTTGAGGTCAGGTTTGAGGTCAGATTTGCAGTCAGGTTTGACGTCAGGTTTGACGTCAGGTTTGAGGTCAGGTTTGAGGTCAGGTTTGAGGTCAGGTTTGAGGTCAGGTTTGACGTCAGGTTTGAGGTCAGGTTTGACGTCAGGTTTGAGGTCAGGTTTGAGGTCAGGTTTGAGATCAGGTTTGACGTCAGGTTTGAGGTCAGGTTTGAGGTCAGGTTTGAGGTCAGGTTTGAGGTCAGGTTTGACGTCAGGTTTGACGTCAGGTTTGAGGTCAGGTTTGACGTCAGGTTTGAGGTCAGGTTTGACGTCAGGTTTGAGGTCAGGTTTGAGGTCAGGTTTGAGGTCAGGTTTGAGGTCAGGTTTGATGTCAGGTTTGCAGTCAGGTTTGACGTCAGGTTTGAGGTCAGGTTTGAGGTCAGGTTTGAGGTCAGGTTTGAGGTCAGGTTTGAGGTCAGGTTTGAGGTCAGGTTTGACGTCAGGTTTGACGTCAGGTTTGAGGTCAGGTTTGAGGTCAGGTTTGAGGTCAGGTTTGAGGTCAGGTTTGAGGTCAGGTTTGAGGTCAGGTTTGAGGTCAGGTTTGAGGTCAGGTTTGAGGTCAGGTTTGAGGTCAGGTTTGAGGTCAGGTTTGAGGTCAGGTTTGACGTCAGGTTTGAGGTCAGGTTTGACGTCAGGTTTGAGGTCAGGTTTGAGGTCAGGTTTGAGATCAGGTTTGACGTCAGGTTTGAGGTCAGGTTTGAGGTCAGGTTTGAGGTCAGGTTTGAGGTCAGGTTTGACGTCAGGTTTGACGTCAGGTTTGAGGTCAGGTTTGACGTCAGGTTTGAGGTCAGGTTTGACGTCAGGTTTGAGGTCAGGTTTGAGGTCAGGTTTGAGGTCAGGTTTGAGGTCAGGTTTGAGATCAGGTTTGACGTCAGGTTTGACGTCAGGTTTGAGGTCAGGTTTGAGGTCAGGTTTGAGGTCAGGTTTGAGGTCAGGTTTGAGGTCAGGTTTGAGGTCAGGTTTGAGGTCAGGTTTGAGGTCAGGTTTGAGGTTAGGTTTGCAGTCAGGTTTGACGTCAGGTTTGACGTCAGGTTTGAGGTCAGGTTTGAGGTCAGGTTTGAGGTCAGGTTTGAGGTCAGGTTTGAGGTCAGGTTTGAGGTCAGGTTTGAGGTCAGGTTTGAGGTCAGGTTTGACGTCAGGTTTGAGGTCAGGTTTGACGTCAGGTTTGAGGTCAGGTTTGAGATCAGGTTTGACGTCAGGTTTGAGGTCAGGTTTGAGGTCAGGTTTGACGTCAGGTTTGACGTCAGGTTTGACGTCAGGTTTGACGTCAGGTTTGAGGTCAGGTTTGACGTCAGGTTTGAGGTCAGGTTTGACGTCAGGTTTGAGGTCAGGTTTGACGTCAGGTTTGAGGTCAGGTTTGCGGTCAGGTTTGAGGTCAGGTTTAGGGTCAGGTTTGACGTCAGGTTTGAGGTCAGGTTTGAGGTCAGGTTTGAGGTCAGGTTTGACGTCAGGTTTGAGGTCAGGTTTGACGTCAGGTTTGACGTCAGGTTTGACGTCAGGTTTGACGTCAGGTTTGAGGTCAGGTTTGAGGTCAGGTTTGAGGTCAGGTTTGAGGTCAGGTTTGAGGTCAGGTTTGAGGTCAGGTTTGAGGTCAGGTTTGACGTCAGGTTTGACGTCAGGTTTGAGGTCAGGTTTGAGGTCAGGTTTGACATCAGGTTTGAGGTCAGGTTTGAGGTCAGGTTTGACGTCAGGTTTGACGTCAGGTTTGACGTCAGGTTTGACGTCAGGTTTGAGGTCAGGTTTGAGGTCAGGTTTGACGTCAGGTTTGACGTCAGGTTTGAGGTCAGGTTTGAGGTCAGGTTTGAGGTCAGGTTTGAGGTCAGGTTTGACGTCAGGTTTGAGGTCAGGTTTGAGGTCAGGTTTGAGGTCAGTATTAACGGCAGGTTTGAGGTCAGGTTTGACGTCAGGTTTGAGGTCAGGTTTGAGGTCAGGTTTGAGGTCAGGTTTGAGGTCAGGTTTGAGGTCAGGTTTGAGGTCAGGTTTGACGTCAGGTTTGAGGTCAGGTTTGAGGTCAGGTTTGACGTCAGGTTTGACGTCAGGTTTGAGGTCAGGTTTGAGGTCAGGTTTGAGGTCAGGTTTGAGGTCAGGTTTGAGGTCAGGTTTGAGGTCAGGTTTGACGTCAGGTTTGAGGTCAGGTTTGACGTCAGGTTTGAGGTCAGGTTTGAGGTCAGGTTTGAGATCAGGTTTGACGTCAGGTTTGAGGTCAGGTTTGAGGTCAGGTTTGAGGTCAGGTTTGAGGTCAGGTTTGACGTCAGGTTTGACGTCAGGTTTGAGGTCAGGT